GCATGACTGCTGTGTGTAAAAAATAAAATGAACCCCCCATTGTGCAGTGAAATAAAGTACGTAGCGTAGGCCCTCCCTCACCTTAGCTGCAAGGAGGGAGAAGAGTAGAGCAGCTGGTGTATATACGAATGGGGGACTCCAATATGGGGTTCGAAGACCTCCTCCCCACCACAACCTGGCAGAGGCATAAGGCGAGTGCAGTCGTATCTCGGAACTCATCCTCGTATGTTTTGGCTCCCAAACAATCGAAAACCGGAAGTGATTGTTCCTGTTTTCAAACGTTCTTTGGAACCCAAACATCCGACGTGGCTTCCGCAGCCAATCAGAAGCCACACCTTGGTTTCTGAACATTTTGGAAGTCAAATGGACTTCCGGAACGGATTCTGTTTGACTTCTGAGGTACCGCTGTATATTACCTGCTTTCATTTGCAGTTTGTAACAAAGTGCAGTTTTTCATTTTATCCATATATATGGAACTGTAGTTTGTCAACAGCTTCTCCCCTATTTGTTTGCAAAACAACAACAGAGAATCTTCTAATTTCCTGGCCTCACACGGAAAGGAGGTGGGGAGAAGAGGGTGTGGGGGAGAACATGTTTCAAAGGCTTGCCATGACTTGTGTATGTAACACAAACCATGGTTTATTGTTGTGTCCAAATCGGGCCAGCGTGTTAAAAATGTGGCAAGCAAGCATTTAGTATACACATAAAAGCAACTCAGGGTTCTTTTGTTACATATTAGTGAAATGAGTTGACTGAGGGGGAGTCAGTAAAATTAAGGAAGAAGGCATTTTCTGAAATATTTGGTGAATCAATCAGCAGGGAAGAACTAAGCACTTTGAGGTAAGAAACTGTTGACAAAGAACTTTCTAGCCTAGATCAGTGTGCTTGCCTCCCAAAGCCGTAAAATCCTCAGCCCCTTTCTCTGATAAGAAAAGAGCAATATCTATAATCTGCAATGTGGTTTTTTAAGCTGGTTTAAGAGGGAAAACAGCATCAGTTATGCTGAAGGATGGTGCTGCTGTATTTTCCTGAGGCAGTTACCAGCTAGCTCAGAGGGAGGTAGAATGTCTCATCTGGGATTAATTTAAAGGCAAGCTTTCTTCCCTGGTGATGAAGGACTTTTGCTTTGTGTGTGTTTTCAATCACTCAGCTGCAATCACACTCTTGGGTTTTTTTTTCTTCTTCTTTCATTTCCACAGGCCCTCATTTAAGTTGCTTTGAGACTGTTGTTACCTACTAATTTAGCTGCAAATTCTACAAACATCCTCAAAAAGAATGCCGCACTTGTTTCTTCAATGCCCACTCACAAAAGGGTGGAATGCAAGCTGCCCCCTCCAAAATATTTGTTTGAAGAGCTCATGGTGGATCAGTGGGCGGGGGGCGGGGGCGGCAAGTGTCTGTGAACAATTGCTGTTTGGTCAGAGTGCCCAACACTGAAATCTCATGTATTGAAATCTCATGAAATCTCATGTACTCAGACATACTGAATTCAGTGGGACTTGCTCATGTGTAGGAGACTGCAGCTCTGCCATTGTTATGGAAGGAAAATAGTATCGGGCAGGCATCTTGAGCAAGTCATTCCAGTTCAATCTCAGTTTCCGAGCCATAAAATGAGATTAGTGATTTAAACCTTACTTTATATTTGATTGAGCCGTTGTTATTATAAGATCTGGACTTGCAATATTTTTTGCTTGCAGGGGCAAAAGTCTACACAGATGCGGAACATTAAAGGAGAAGCATGCTGTGCTAGGATGTTCTGAACCACTATAGTCTGCAGATGAAAGATCACATTAATGCCCACCACTGTGTCAGGGGTGAGGAACCTGTAGTTCGCCACATGTGATTGGACTCCATTTCCCATCAGTCCATGCCACTAGGGTCAATTTGCAGGGTTGGTGGGAGTTGCAGTCTAGCCCTGCATTAACTCCATCAAAACAAACAGCCAGCACAGTAATAATAATAATAAATAATAATTTTTTTTATTTATACCCCGCCCTTCCCGGTTCAGAAAACAGGGCTCAGGGTGGCTAACAACAAATTTAGAACACTTAATTGTAGAAGCAGCATAAAATACAGTATAAAAACATGAATAACAATAAAATTCAAAGTTCAGAAATCAATTTGGGGAAAATCCATCTAATAAGCATTAGATAGTCACCAGGGCTAGCTGGCTGAATTAGTCCTACTTGGGCCAGGGAGGAGGCCAGGGGAGAATTAGCTGTGGGGTCTCAGAGCGCTTAATCTTCATAAAAGGGGAGGGGGAGGGAAGAGAAGGGAAATAAAAGATCAGGCTGAATTCAAATTAAAGGCCAGGCAGAATAGCTCTATCTTACAGGCCTGACAGAAGGAGGTTAAATCCTGAAGGGCCCTAGTCTCATGGGACAATGCATTCCACCAGGTCGGAGCCAGTGAAGGGCTGGCTTGCAACCTTTCTCTCTTGTGTTAATTTTTTCTGTTTGCAGGGATTTAAAGTAAACAAACATGGGGAAGCATTAGGGGTTATCCTACGTCTTCTGCCTGAAGAGTTATAGTCCATTTCACCATCTCAGCATTCTTCCACCTAATTTATCTGCATGTGTGCACCCAGCCTTGAGGGGGAAAATAATGATTGGCGAATCAGTCACACTTATTTAGTCTTGACTTCCTTATCCACTCAAAAGGGACAAGTGGGGTACATCTCCCCATCACATTTCCTTGAGTGTTAAGATAGTAATCATTCTTACCCACATGGCATCTTTGCAGTTCTGCAACAGGGGGATTGGGCGACTTTGAGTGAGTTACTATTTCAGCATTTTAGGCCCATGCCTCTAAAATATAAATGGGAGCAATTCATCTTTTAGGATTCAAGTTCACCCCATCCCACCAACTGAGCTGCAAGGCAGAACTTGCAGTTTCAGAAGCAATCAGGTTGTCCACCTCCGCCACCCAGCTCTGTTTCAATTTGCATTTGCACATTGCTGTACACACCAGAGAAGGGCAGTGGTGTATTCATGCAAAGCATCTTACCTGTTGGTTTCCCTGCACCTGCAACCCTCGCCCTCCTTATTTGTGAAATTACCATCTACACGTGTGTTGTCATCAAGGCCGGCCCAATACATTTTGGCACCTGAGGCAAACCACAAAATGGCATTCCCTCCCTGCCAGGAAAGAAGGGATGAGTGAAGATTTACATCAGGAACAAGGGGGGGGGGGGAGGGGATAAAGATCTACATCAGGATCTGCTGCCCCTGTGGATCCTGCTGCCTGAGGTGGTCTCCTCACCTTGCCTCATGTGGGGGGCTGGCCCCGGTTGTCATTTGCTCATGCGCAGCAGATGTCTGAAATGTATACACCCCACCTTAACTGCAAAGTGAATGTGGCTTACATCTTCAAATTGAATGGAAGGTGGTTTCAGGTATATGTTTCCAACAGGTAGATATGAGTTGTGGCTAACATCATGTGCTTCCAACACCAGTAGTGGGAGTGCACTGGAGCTGGAGTAAATGATAATGTGCACACAGCCTTCATTTCTAGTCACAGGGGTCATGTTGCGGAAAAAAACAACAACCAGTGAAAGCCTTTGGTTATAAAACAAATCTATTAAAATACAGATAGTAAAATGAAGCTGTAGCAGGCAAGAAATGCTTCATTTCAGAAATGGCATTCTATGCTCTGGTAACCTCTAGGTTAGATTATTACTGCAATGCATTATACAGTAGGGTTGCCTCTGAAGATGATTTGGAAACTTCACCTAATGCAGAATTCAGCAGCCAGGTTGCTCACTGGGCAAGATGGTTTGAGCATATTAGACCAATCTTGGTCTGACTGCACTGGCTACCAATTAGTTTCCTGGCCCAATTCAAAGTGCTGGTTTTGACCTATAAAGCCTTAAATGGCTTGGGACTGCAAGGACTGCCTCTCTCCATATGAACCTAGCCGGTCTCTAAGATCATCCTCTGAGGCCCTTCTTCGTGTTCCTCCTCCACGAGAGAGCCAGAGGGTGGCGACACGAGACCAGGCCTTTTCTGCAGTGGCCCCCCCATTTGTGGAATGCTCTCCCTGGGGATGTTCAACTAGTGCCTTCATTTTACACATTTAGGCACCAGGCAAAAACCTTCCTCTTCAACCAGGCCTTTTGCGGACTGACATCTGATGCCCTTTTAAATATGTGTGTGGGGGGTTATTGGTTATTTGTTCTTATTTGTACTCTCTGTTTTGTAGTTTTTATATTGCAATTTTGTGTTGTGAACTGCCCTTAGATATATAGAAATAAATTAAAAAAGCACACACAAATATACACTTAAACCTAAAAATGTAAGGTAGCCCCCCCCCCCAGGAGGGGGAATAAACACATAGTAGTATTGCAGCAGGCACCAAGTGAAACCGCTGGTTTTCAAACAAAAAAAGCCAGCAAAATGTTACTTTCCAGAGGCAGCTGGTGTTAGCACATACTTTTCGAAAGGGAGCTAGGGGGCGTCAATAAATTATAGGCCTGTTAACCTAATATATAGCCAAGATAAATAGATGAAAAGCATTTCTTAACAAAACCCTGTTAGAATCCACCTTGGGCACATTGCAGACTTCATACAGAAGACCTGCAACACAGTCCTTAGGATAGTGTCACCTGCATAAAGCACTTTCAATATGTCTCCAAATTCCCCCCCCCCCCAACACATAGTTTTCTTGCAGAAAATGTTTTTTGGGGGAAATAGTCCCCCCCAAATTTGGCGTGAGGGGGACAGCTGACCCTCTCCATGCAACTTTTCCTTTTTGTGTATTTGCACGTGAGACACAGAAGAGGGGTTAAAAATGTATTTATTGAGAGGGCTAGTTCCTGCCTCTGGGGACAGGTCAAATTTCTGAAGGAAATAATGGAAATATCTCTCTCTCTCATGGCGCCCCCTGAATTCTGCCCTCAGCGTCCCCTCAGCTCAACCCGCCCCCCCGGCCAGGCAGCAGGCAGGAGGGTCTCCGCGCCTTCGTGTGAGGTATTTATAGCCGGCCTTGCGCTACAATCCGGCAGCGGCGGCGGCGGCGGCACCAGGAGTCCAGCGGAGCGCCTGAGGGCGGAGCCGAGCGCAGCTCCGGGGCGGGCACGGCGCGCCGAGGAGCCCGGCTATAATTCCACCTGCAGCCATTTGCGTCGCGGCTTCGGCGGCTAGGCGACAGCGCGGAGCCCCGGCGACACCGGCTGCCACCACCGCCGCGCCTCTCCGCCTTTCTTTCCCTGACCAAAAGGAGTGGCGGCGCCCAATGAACGGCAACGCCGGCGGCGAAGGCGGGATGATGATGGAGGAGGAGGAGGGTAAAGAAGCAAACTGGCCCCGAGGCTTTATTTCTCGTAATGTGGAGGTTCAAAACCCTCCTTTCTGAGGGATACAGCAGGAGCGAAGTCGTGCGCTCCCGCCGCCCTTTCGCGCGCGCGCTGGGGTCGCGTTTGTGCGCTCCTGAGGCGGACGGTGCCTTTTGGCGGCAGGCAGAACTGCACCGGCCCAGGGACGCTTCTTTGTTCTGAGTGCTTTATTGAGTATTTGTGTGGTTGTGTGTGTGTGTGGCGCTTTTGGTGTGCGTGGTTGTGTGTGTGGCGCTTTTGGTGTTCCTTCTCCCCGCCAACCTGACTCTCCCGGCTGCGCCTCGCTGGGCAGCAGCAGCATCCTCGGTGGCGCGCGAGCAAAGTTAAATGGAGAGCTTGAGGTGAAACGGGGCAGACTTTTCCCAAGAACTCCTCCGGGGGGGGGGGACTGTGCGTGTGTGGGAGTCAGGCATGCGGGGGGGGGGGAGGAGGAAGCCGGCATCTCTCCCCAGCAGCAAGTGACTAATGGTTCTCCTGCGCTTATCAGTCGCCACCATTAACTTCTGGCTTTGCAAGGGCGCTTGGGAGGGGAAACCCAAACACGCCGCCACCCACTTAGTATAAACAAACGCACACCTTCAAAAGGGGGGGGGGGGAGAGAACCCAGCAACCCAAAACTTTGTCCACATTCACTCAGTTTTTAGCAAGTGGGCGTGTCCTTTTTAAATAATGAGCAGCAGCAGCAATAATAATAATGATGTAGTGCAATAAAACGTATTCCCATTGCTATGGGCACAAAAATGAAGTTCTTAGCGAAACGCCCCAGAGGAGATGGTTAAAAAAAAAAGTCCAGTGCTTTTATCAGAATGCAACTGGCAATGAAGCCTGGCAGATCCAAAGTTTTTGCATTTTTATTTTTAGATTGAGGTAGGTATCTGTGTTGGTCTGACGCAGTCGAAATAAAAATAAAATAAATAAAATGAAAAAATTGTCCAGTAGCACCTTATAGACCAACTAAGTTTGTTGTGATATAAGCTTTTGTGTTCATGCACACTTCTTCAGATATTTTTATTTTTCTTATTTTATACAATACGGTCGCAGCAAAGAGAAGACCGCAGCATAAAGTTTATGGCGTTATTTTACACGGAACCTATATGGACTGCCAATGTTTTAAGGCCATGTAAATAGTAACCACACTGGCATCCTCAAGAGTTGAGCAGCGATCCTAGTCACAATCAACTTAAGTGTAAGCCCCTTTAAAATTTTGTGGGGCTTGCTTGAGTTTAGCTGCCAGGTAGCTCCATCCACTTCTTTTTTATTATTATTTAAATACATTAAAAAAGTTTTAAAAGGGGGGGGAGGTGAGAATAGGGTATAGTATATTGCTATAACAATTGATCACATTTTTAACCTATTGTATTTTGCAAAAATGAGTTCCAAATTCCATTATACTTGTCCTGCAATAAGCATATTTGTCCTTCTATAAGCAACCTGCTTACAGGTAGCAAGTGTAATCAGGTCTTTGATCCACTGGAGAAATGGAGAGCTCCATGTAGTTTTTATCAGCTTTGCCTGGCTGTGAGTAGGACTGGCCCAAAAGTTGACTTGTAGTGGATGATGAGGATGAAACCTGTTTGAGGAAATGTATTATAAGAGGTGAACAAACTTGCAGGTGTAGGCTGCAGTCTTACGTAGAGTTGGGTGTGCCCAAGCCATCGGTTTCCATGGACTTGGAGCACCTAATTCAATATAACATTGTATTGCTCATACTGCACACATAGGAAGATTAAGCTTTCAAAAGGTTAGAGATAGTGAAAAACTGAGAAATACAAGCGAGTTTTCCAGGTATTTCCCCGAGTGTGCAGAGCTTTCTTTTAGCAGTGTGAACGTTTTCCTTTACTAACTTTAATTTTGGTAAACAACTTTTCAAAAATGTTGCTAATGAAAGCCCTTATTGCTAGTTTAGCAGCATAATGTAGCCACATGCTTTATTTCCCTGTCCTTCCTTTAAGGAACTTATTCCGTGATTCTTCTCTTTCTCCACGCATCCGTGTTCCCAATTCAGTAGCTTGCTCAGAGACATAATGATAAAGCACAGGTCATCCAGCGAGTTTCGTAAAAATTCACACTCGGGTATTTCATATGCAAACCAAAGGCCAAGGTTTACCCTATGGTTTGAAGTGCATGGTTTGTTTGGGAGCGCTGAACTTTGAATCCAGTTCAGACAACCCACTGTCCTTCAATGGCTTAGATCAGCATGATACAGCAGAATGACCAGGGATGAGTAAAAGCAGCTGTGATCTTGGTCATGAATTTAAAGCATTCTTGCGCCACTGTAACAGTCATGGCGTACCCCAGAGACCCCTCTGGGACCCCTCACAGAACTGCAATTCCTAGCACCCTTATCAAACAACAGTTCCCAGGATTCTTTGTGGGAAGACATGATGATTTACATGTATGGGGCGGGTGTGTTCCTCCTCTGTAAGTTTGTTCCTCCTGTAAGTTTGTTCTGAGCCATGGTGTGGCTCAATGTGCTTGTGCAAACCAGGCCACTATGGCAGTAGCACTCCAGGGTTTCAGATGACAATCTTTCCTACCCTGCATGGCGTTTCCAGGGACGCTCCAGGTGGCGCTCTGGGTTAAACCACAGAGCCTAGGACTTGCTGATCAGAAGGTCGGCGGTTTGAATCCCCGCGACGGGGTGAGCTCCCGTTGCTCGGTCCCTGCTCCTGCCAACCTAGCAGTCTGAAAGCATGCCAGTGCAAGTAGATAAATAGGTACCGCTCTGGCAGGAAGGTAAACGGCGTTTCCGTGCGCTGCTCTGGTTCGCCAGAAGCAGCTTAGTCATGCTGGCCTCATGACCCGGAAAGCTGTACGCCGGCTCCCTTGGCCAGTAAAGCGAGATGAGCGCCGCAACTCCAAAGTCGGCCACGACTGGACCTAATGGTCAGGGGTCTCTTTACCTTTACCTTTATGGCGTTTCCAGGGATTGAACTGAAAGCATGCGCCTTGTTTAGGGGTGCCATATTTCAGAAAGGGAAGATCCAGACACAAAAGATGTTGAGCTTTTGTTTGGCAAAGTTGTAGGTTGAGTTGGTTGGATTTTTTTTGCAAAATATCTTTAAAAAATGAAGTTTTCGCCATAATCTACACTTCATGGGTTGCCAAGCATCCGGATTTTCCCGGTCATTTTGGAGATTTTCGCCCAGACACTTTTTGATAGCTGTATTCTTGCTATGTCCGGGAAATTCCGCACGTATGGCAACCCTAGCCTCATCAATATAGTCGTACCTTTGTTCTCGAATGTAATCCGTTCTGGAAGTCCGGTTGACTTCCGAAACATTCAAAAACCAAGGCATGGCTTCTGATTGGCTGCAGGAGCTTCCTGCACTCAAGCGGAAGCCGTGTCAGACATTTGGCTTCCGAAAAACATTAGAAAACTGGAACACTTCAGCATTCGGGAGCCAAAACGTAAGAGTACCACAGTGTTCAAGAACCAAGGTACTACTGTACTGTTGAGCTGTGACCCCTCCCTTGAATATTGCATGTCCAGTTTCATGGCACATCTCTTGCGCAAGTGCTCCCTGTAGTTGCCAAGGTGCCATCCTTTGTGTTTACAAAATAAATAACCCATTTTGGGGGTTTGGGATTTTTTTGTCCATGGATGAAAACTTAATCTCTTTTACGTACAGCTTGAAAAGTTACTATCTTGGCGTCTCTTACTGTACACTCAAGAGTCTTGTTTGAACACAAATGACTTGATGTAGTTAAAACATCAGTTTAGCTTTGCTTTTAATGTTTGTTAAACATATAACAAGTAAATTAAATCATATTATTGCCTGGCACAGCATGCCCCTTTAATATATTACAGTTCTGTTTGCCAGTGAAGAATGAATTGGCCCAGATAGATCTATTTAATGTTCCTGCTGATGTCAGCTTTCTTTGATGGAAAAATATGAATGCAAAGTAATAATCTTATAAAATTAAGTTCCGTTTAGTCCATGCTGGTGTCCAAGGTACTTATTCTGCTTCTTTCAACTGACTAGATTTCGCCTAGATAAAAAGCCATAGGCGAGGAAACTATCACTTTTCCAATGTATGGGATTCCATCACTTTCTGGCAAATTAAGATTGCACAAGTCACCAGGGAGTCTTGCAAAAAAAAATAAAAAATAAAAATCCTTTCCCCAAAAAGATCAGACTTTTTCTGATGAGGAATGTGATGTGGAAATGCACTGGGAAGGGTGAGATAAAACTTGTCACCCTCTTTTTAGATTCAGCATCATCTAACCTCCCGTCAAACAAACTGAGATGAACGCTCAATTAAACAGTGGGGGTGTGTGTGTGTCCCCACTGCTTGAAAATACTGAGTTGAATCCAATTAAGTCTTACTATGGACAGACCAATAAAATCAATGGACTTAAGTTAATCATGCAGTCCTAACTGCTCCTGGAAGGAGTTAGGGTCCCGAGAGGTGGGTCCCTCTGCTGATAGTGAACTCTTCTACACCTGCTGAGAATGTGTGTGGTTGCAGTAACTAACACAAGGTTATCAAAATGGAGTGTTAAACGTCTTGTGGAGGAGCAGGCCAGTTATTGATTCATTGGCTTAAAAACCTGCCAATTTCTAGGTGAAAAAGCCCAATCTGGCTCCCTCCGCTGTGCTAACTTCAAGCTGGTGCAGCAAAAAGAGAATTAGAAGCAAACACAAAGGTAGCTCCACCCGGGCTCCTCATTAGATTGTACATTAAAGGTAAAGAAACCCCTGACCATTAGGTCCAGTCGTGGCCGACTCTGGGGTTGCGGTGCTCATCTCGCTTTATTGGCCGAGGGAGCCGGCGTACAGCTTCCGGGTCATGTGGCCAGCATGACTAAGCCACTTCTGGTGAACCAGAGCAGCGCACGGGAACGCCGTTTCCCTTCCCGCCAGAGCAGTACCTATTTATCTACTTGCACTTAGACGTGCTTTCGAACTCTAGGTTGACAGGAGAAGGGACTGAGCAACGGGAGCTCACCCCGTCGCGGGGTTTCGAACCGTCGACCTTCTGATCAGCAAGTCCTAGGCTCTGTGGTTTAACCCACAGTGCCACCTGATTGTACAGTACTGTAACTTAAATTCGTTTATTTGGATCCTGAAGATTTGCAATTGGAGAAGGTTTGGTTTAAAACTATGGGGAAATGATCATGATTTTAAGAGTGCTGTCTGAGACAGGCACACAGACTGAGCTGCTTAAAATAATTTATAGCCAACATGGCTTTTTTCTTTTCTTCTTTCTGTACAAAAACTAGACATATTGATGACCATCCCTCAGGCAGGCACACACAGTTTGGCACCAATTGAACTGTTACTCCTCCCCCCCCCCAACAAGGAGTTAGTGAGTTATTCCATACCTTAGATCTAAGCAGTGATTCAATCTAAATGAACAATGAAACTTGTGTACCCTGTAATCCAGGGGTAGGCAAGGTTTAACTTGCCTGGGCCGGTTCATTCCAGCGGAGAACCCTCTGTGGGCCGGATCCTGCTCACGTGCCCACGATTTCCGGCGTCTGTGCAGACACAATTTCCAGTGTCTGCGTCTGCACATATGCAATTTTCGGCCCCACGGAAGTGAGTCCCTGCACTGTTTAGCGCAGCGTGCGGGGACTTGCCAAGCAAGCGGCTTGGTTCGGGAGTGGCTCGGGGGGCGGTTAAACGACCCCCGTGGGCCGATTGTGGCCCATGGGCCTTAGGTTGCCTACCCCTGCTTGTAATCCATATATTATATCTATTTTCTTATAATGTATATTAAATCAGTTTCCTGTACTGGAGCATTCTTCCCAGCTGTTTTAGTGGTAGGACTACTTAAATAATCTAACCACGATGATCATATATGACTCAAATAGCTATGGACCCAATGACATTGATGACTGATTTATTCGGCACATCAAACTGAAAAGGTAGAAAATAACTTAAAACTGTGCTTCCGTGAGACCTAAGAAAGCACTTAAACTTCATAAAAGGTTGACAGGCAGAGTAATTCTGTGCAGGGTTATTTGGAAGCAAACTTAACTTGCATTCGATGGGGCTCACTCCCGAATAAGTTTATTTGGATAGGTTTGCAGTCCAAACTATGTACTGGAAGATGTGGCTGCTGTGTGTTGAACACGGGCAAAGTGTGCACTGCCAGAAGAGTTAGGCTATATAGTTTGTAATGGAAAGTGTTGAATTTTAGGTTGGGTTGAGTTGAAATCATTAAAAAATAAATAAATCCTTTATTGGTTTTAAAAACAATTACAAAACAAACAATACGCAACCATCAACAAAAGGCAAGCCAAGGTCAACACTCATTACAAAAGAAAAGAAAAGATTGAATTCACATGTCACGAATGCCAACCTCCCCCCCCCCCCCCCGTTGTGATTCCTAATTTACATTACAACTGCACACTTAACTTTATCTCTCCTAGGTTATTCAGTTGTGTTAATTTTGTAATGTTCTCTTATTTCATGCAGAAATCAATCCAGGCCTACCAAAGAATTTAGATTATTACAATGTTCTTTTAAGCGTTCTCTGTAAATATTCCACTCTCTATTAAGTATTTGATCTGTGTGGTCTCAAAACCTTGCTGTCAATCTTGCTGTCTCTGCATATTCTAACATTTTATTCTTCCAGTCTAGTTTTGAGGAAGTAGACTCTCCTTTCCATACCTTAGCAATTAAATCAAGTCTTTATGTAGCCTTATGAGGCTTTGCCCTCGGGTGGGAAAAATATTGTGTCTGGGAAAGGGAAGTGGGAGTCAACAGACACTCAAGGAATAGTTTCGGAGAAAAAGGTTTTATTTCTACCATCCATGAACTGGTAGAAGGAGCAAGTGTGATAAGTCACAAAAAGCATGCACGAGTTCACAATCATGTGCACAGAGTTTATATACCCATTCCAGTTCCCTCCTCCTCTCTCCTCCTTCCAGAGTCCTGCCCCATGAGTTCCTCTGAGCATGAACAGAAAGCTGTCTTGGGACTATTTTGGACTCTTGGCGCCCTTGCCAGGAAAGGGGTTTCAGAGTGTTCAGATATGTTTCAATCTCTTGTTCTGGCATGGTTCCCAGACAGAAAGCAAGTTGCAATGTGGTTCTTTAGCAAGGCCAGAAGGCATGAGAAAGGCCTGAGAAACAATGGACTGTTCTCTACCTTTGTTACAGCAGAGCGGAATGTTTCTGATGCTTAGCTGCTGAGAAAATGATTTTGAGAAGCTTTGAGCCTGCTTTGGTGGGGGGTGACTTCGGGCCTAGGTGAGGTCACCTGTCCTCACCTTCCTTCATTTATAGTTGAAGGCTCTCCTTGCTTTCCTGCAATGGTGATGGGATAGCAAAGACTACCCTCCATTTTTTGGAGGTGTTAAGAAACATGCTGCATAGGGCAAAAGGAAATTTGAACACTACTGGCATTGTGATTACTAGTATTTTACCAAGTAGACCCTTGCTCCATCGTGAAGGTTCTCATTGGCTTATGGCTAGCTAGCCTCTCTTTCAGTCTAGCCTACCTCTCAGGGCTGTTGGGAGGATAAGTAGAGGAAAACTATCAACCCTGCTCCAGACGAGTGAGATAAAAATGTAAGATTTTTAATGATTCTTACCTTTGTATAGTACACTATGCATCAGAGCCAGCGGTTTCTATACTTGCCCACGCATCTCTCCATTGTCCCAACAGCGAGCAAGATCAGTTTATCACAGAGACTCATTCCGGCCAAGCAAACGCTTTTGAGGTGGGTGCAAAAAAAAGGTCAGCTAGGGGGAATCCTTGGGGCCAGTTGCGTTTGACTCTTTGGTATGCCAGCCTTGCCCTATCCTGTGCCAGCCCCCAATTAAAAGAATAAGACACTTGTAATACCGCTTTTTCTCTTTGCAGAGTTTCCAGCAGGGCAAAGCATTTTTCTTTGGGTTAACTTAAGTTGCATCGGGTAACAGCTTCTGTTCAGAAAGTTACTGTTTTTGGAAACTCAGTGCTGCAAGATATCCAGGCCCTGTGCTTACTCAAGCAGTGCCCATATTTAATTTCAGTACAAATGCTTGAATGCCCAGTGACTCTGACAAGGGGCCTTTTGTCACAGAAAGCTCACGCTTGCCCTGAAGTGTGATCTCCAAGTATGGGTCAGTCTGTAAAAGTGACCTTTTCTATATAAGCTAAATATAGATGCAGACATAACAGGGACATAGTCTGTGTCTTCTTGGAAAGAAGTGTAATTTGGAAAGAGATTTATTGTTCCTAAAAGGGCAAATTAATGGGCATAACCCTCCAGAGAGGTTTAAAAAACAAACACCCATCCCACAAATGTTGTTCTTATCCCTAACAACAACAACAGCAACAACAACAATAATAATAATAGTTGTTATTATTTTATTTATATCCCATCTGACTGCGTTGCCCTAGCCACTATGGGTGAGTTCCAGCGTAGTATAAAAACACAACTAGACATCAAAAACTTCCTGATACTGGGTTGCCTTTAGATGTCTTCAAAAGGTTGTGTAATTGTTTATCTCTTTGACATCTGATAGGAGGGTGTTACACAGGGCAGGTGCCACCACCAAGAAGGCCCTCTGCCTGGTTTCTTATAGCTTCACTTCTCGCAGTGAGGGATAAGTCATTGAAGGAACTTACTGGATTTTACTGTGGGTTTATCTTCGGACTAGATCAGCTGTACAGGTGCATTAAATTTGCCACGTAATCGCTTCCGTCGACTAATGATGGAGAGGTGAGCATAGTAAAAAAAATATATAGTAAAATAAAACAGAACGCTTTAAAACACACATACAAAAGAGAACTTTACATAATGAACAGAAGCAGCACAACACCAGTACCAGAATGAGTAGAAGCATTTGATGGCCTGGGAAAAGAAATATGGCGAAGTACGTGCCAAAGGAGATCATTTTACCAGTGGGCCACCACTGGTATGATCTGCCACCTCGCTTCAGATGTTGGGGGGCATCTGGAGGTGGACCTCAAAAAAGATCTTAACAGACAGGCAGGCTGACATGAAGGCAAATTATCCTTCAACATAACTGGCCCCAAGGCATATAGGGCAAAGCTTTAAAAAGCAGCACTCAATGTTTATTTCTAGTTAGCAGGCCGCACCAGCAGCTTGAACTAGCTTCAATTTCCAGGAAGTCTTAAAACAGGCCCCACTTGCTGTGAGGTTCACCCATGGCAAGAGTGGACGGCTTCCCTCCATCAAATAGTTGCTACCATGAACAAATCCTTGAGTGCTGCAACCAGTTTGAGCCGTGGACTTTACCATACGTTTATGTGTCTTTGTTACAGAGAACCCAGAATCAAGGATATTAGGTGGCATTTCCAGAAACGAGAAATGTGTGCAGGGAGTCATGGTTCTAGCCACAGGGCTACAGAACTGTGATCTGCTGAACTGAACCTTGCTAAATCTCTTGCTTTTTTAATGCACGTCAAGACCACAGAACAGGGTTGTTGTGTCCAGTGCTAGCCATATGCAAGAATTAGGCCCATTGAAACGAATGGACTAACTTGCATTCGTTAATTTGAGTGGGTCTTTTCTGAGCAGAGCTTCATTGCCAACAAGCGTGAGTTTGTCATGGCTTCACTATACATGGGTCTTACCTAAGGTATACTTAGGCATACTTCTTATACCCAGGAAGTATAGCTAATGGTGTCCATCTGTCATACCTTGGATCCCAAACGCCTTGGTACTCGGACGTTTTGGCTCCCAAACGCCGCAAACCCGGAAATGGCTGTTCCGGTTTGCGAACGTTCTTTGGAACTCGAATGTCCAACGGAGCTTCCGCAGCTTCTGATTGGCTGTGGGAGCTTCCCGCAGCCAATCAGAAGTTGCGCTTTGGTTTCCGAACGTTTTGGAAGTCGAAAGGACTTCCGTAACGGATTCTGTTCGACTTCCAAGGTATGACTGTACCAGCTGAACAGTGGACAAAGAAATGTGTGTGGGGGGGGGATCAAGAATGTGTATGATGGGGGAAATCCTCCATTTTACATTTTTCTAGTAAATGTTAGCGAGATGGTATTAAGGAAAACTTACGACGAATGACAAATTAACATCCTATACTTCATTAAACTATCTTGTCAATTAAGCTTCCGAAATTGCTATCACATTAATGCATTGGGATCGTTGTTGCACATTAACTCAATTTTTCATGCTTATTAGACAAGCTGTATTTTATGTGCCAGATTTTTCTCTCTCTTCTGCTTTAAGTAATTCAAGCTAATTCCCCCCCCCCCCCGTGTGTGTGTGTGTGTGTGTGTGTGTGTGTGTGTAGGATTTGTGTCTTGGTAAAAGTCAGTGGTTATGTGTGGAACACCAAGCACTAAAGTATGGAAAACTACAGCAGTTCATTTTAAAGTAATCCAAAACAGGAATCGGCAGCAAATGGCTTCCAGGCCTCTCCTGAAGAAAAGCTTTATGCCTGAATGATTAATTATCCTGTGGGTGCCAGCCAGATAACAGCACCCTGGCTGTTGCTGGGAAAGAGATATGGGTCTTGGTATAAAGCAACTTCCTGTGATATATTTGGCCATTAAAATGTCAGAAGAAGTCACGGTTCAGTTTTTAATTTTTCAAATTATATCTTAAATAACTGAGAATATTAAAACAACTAGAGTGGCTCATTCCCTGTTTTGCTTATGATTTCTGCTCGCCTCTGGCAGTTTCCCTTGTATTATGTCCCCCACTTTTCTGCTTCCAGGGAACTCTTCCCATATTGGTTTGTCTGCCAAAGAATCTCAGTGCATCTGCCACAAAATTCTTGCCCGTTAGAAAAGTCCTGAGGAATGTTTTAGGTTGCATGCTTGAGTAGCCCAAATATTGCAAGATGCAAGCAACCAGGCCAGGATTCTTAGGCCACATCGCAGCCCAGTGTGAACTCAGAATGCATTGAATGCAGCAAAACCTCTCTCCAATGCTAAACACTGCAGGGCAAGATCAGGGGTGGCAGGCAGCTTTGAGGGAGAAGCACTGCCATTACAGTGGTACCTTGGTTCTCAAACTTAATCCGTTCCGGAAGTCCGTTCCAAAACCAAAGCATTCCAAAACCAAGGTGCGCTTTCCCATAGAAAGTAATGCAAAACGGATTAATCCATTCCAGACTTTTAAAAACAATTCCTAAAACAGCAATTTAACATGAATTTTACTTTCTAACGGGATCATTGATCCTTAAAATGAAAGCAATAAACAATGTACTGCAGTCAATCAATCAGTAGCTGACCTGGGTTTCAAACAGTCACAAAAAAGAGCCACAGAAACGCAAAATAAATAGCAAAAACAGACAGTCCTCAGCGTAACGCTCAAAACAAAAGTGTGGCACTCAGATTGGAAGTGTAACACTCAAAACGGAGCACGTTTGGCTTCTGAAAAAAGTTTGCAAACCGGAACACTTAACTTCCGGGTTTGCAGTGTTTGGGTCCCAAGTTGTTTGAGTACCAAGGCGTTTGAGAACCAAGGTACCACTGTATTTAATTTCTTATTGAAGAACTCCCGCGAAATTTCCAGAGCTCCAGAAGCTCAGTTTGAAAAATTGACTCCCCAAAGGGGTGATACCAAAATTTATTTTTTCACTTGTGCATATTTTTTTGCATGTTGCACTGTGTGCTTCTTCAAGCACTGACCTGTTGCATAATCTGCTTGTGCAAGCAATGATGTCACATAAGTCTGAAGTTTGTAGATTGAGGTCGGGGAAACATGCCACAGGGATTGATAAACGCAGGTTCTTGGAACACAGTATTATGGCTTCTTACTATATTATGGCTGCTTATGATGTTAATGAAGTTAAAATGGATTTATTTGAAAGGTAACCAGGAGCTTACATTTGTAGCTGCTGCTGTTCGTTAGGACTGACTTGTTTTGACGTGCGTTATCTGAATTGTGTAGGCTTGTAAACTCTTCAGTGGAAATGCGCTATATAAATATTTTAAATAAATAAAAAAAGATGATTTGCACACATCTGAATAGGATCTAACATTTACTGGGGAGTATACCCCATTGAACAGAGTTGGACTTCCTTCAGAGTAAACATGCATAGAATTGTGCTAAAACGCTGCAGTTCCATGTATACTTTTATGGGGGGGCGGTAGTCTCTGAAATTTTAGTTAGTTACTTCTGAGTAAAAATGTTTAGTATTGCATTGCATGTTTTGGAAGTCTCTAAAATCCCGTTGCAGCAGCTAAACAAAGCAATTGTTTTAAACATTTTTTTAGCTGCTCTTGCATCATAATTTGTGAGTTCTCTAGCATCGAGAGTTTGCAATTTTACTGAAATTCCATTATACAGTGGATACATGAGGATTACCTAGTATTTATTCTTAGGACTTTTATCACGTGTTATGTAAGAGGCGAAACAACCTCTCCTGTTGCTTGTAATTTTAGACATTCTTGTTTTTTAAATGTGTGCACTTCCGCACTGCAGTTTGTTGTGGTATCGCTGCTGATCGTGCACGTTTTAGTTTTGCACAGCAGCCACATAACACTCTTAACCAAAATTCCTTCCCAGATTATCCCATTTTAATCTGATTTACAACCACCACTACCCTATAACCCTATACTGGTAATGTGGACTAAGTTGGGTTTGTATCTAAAAATGCATGCCAGGGTAAACCTAGCCATGGTTTCCTGGGACCGTGATGCTGCTGGAGTGGCCCCACTCCCACCAGAGCAAAGTGGGGCTGCACTGAGCCGCCTGCCCACCCACGTAGGAGGGAGCCCACCTTGCTGATGTGGCCCTTGGCAGCTGGAGAGGAGCACTGGGCTGGGCCAGGCTGGGGTCGCCTATGTGGAGGTACCTGGTTCATGCCCCCACAAAAATTGTCTGCCTGGAGCCCTGGCCCTCCCTGCCACCCCAGACACTACGCCCCTGGCATTCAGACACATTTAGATGGGGCATGTCAACCTGGGAAGGTGGTCTATCTGGGAGAAGAAAAACTCTGATCCTAAGCCTCTGTGGCCTTGTAGGAATATCTTTGGGAGAAGGGTCCCTAAAATGGTTGAATGGCGCCCTGTGCGCCTCCTTCCGGTAGCTCCTGCAGCCAGCTGATGCCAAACATCTTTCTCTGCTTACTTTTGGACCACACAGGCAAGGCTGGGTCTTGACATCTGGGCTAGGACCCTGCTCAGACTTATGCCCCAGGGAGGTCCCTTCTGTGCTGCTAACACAGTACCGTATTTTTTGCTCTATAAGACTCACTTTTTCCCTCCTAAAAAGTAAGGGGAAATGTGTGTGCGTCTTATGGAGCGAATGCAGGCTGCGCAGCTATCCCAGAAGCCAGAACAGCAAGAGGGATTGCTGCTTTCACTGCACAGCGATCCCTCTTGCTGTTCTTACTTTTGAGATTCAGAATATTTTTTTTCTTGTTTTCCTCCTCCAAAAACTAGGTGCGTCTTGTGGTCTGGTGCGTCTTATAGAGTGAAAAATACGGTAGTTTGACTTTACCCCTGGAGGCACACTCCATTGCCTCTCGAGACAGACAGATGTCAACAACAATTCAGACACATAATTTCTCACCAGTAAAACAATGTAGTCTGGAAAAAGAAGTATTTCATCTGCTATTTCTGTGCAAATGGAGTCTTAACTTTTCTGCATTGCAAATTTCTGACCACGTTAGAAAACTTCAGAGCGCTGCATGCTGGGAGCTACACTGCTGTCGACAAAACTTTCTTTTTTGTAGCTTGACAAATACACAAAATAGATTTACTGTGGAGAAATGTATTTGTTTCATCTTGAGACTGACCATTATTTTAATAGTGTGAATTCACAGAGTGGCGACTATACGAAATCAGCATGAGAAGTAAATTCCCTGCCATTCATAAATAATGATATAAGCTTTTGAACACAATGCACGGTACGATGGCAACAAACCAATATTCCTTGTAGGCCATTCAGCTTAAAATCATTGTGGTTCGTCTTTAAAATTTAATTGGTACAACAGGAGATCTATTCTGAAGCGCTGTCTGTTTCTCTTGGCAGTTACCATGAATAAGTAATGAAGGATAGTGATATTTTAAGAGATGTTGATGCTCTAAATATGCATAGTTCTAATACCACTGCATTCAATTATTTACTTACTATATTTTTACCCCTCTTTGCAGACAATTGCTGTTTCTCAAAGCAGCTCGTATCAATAGAGAGAGAGACAAAGAGAGAGAATTCTGCCACCAGGCTTACAAACTAAAAAAAAAAAGACAAGACGCACAAGGAAAGGGGAGTAACAGGTAGCGGTGGGAAACCAGCTCTTTAAAGCCAGAACAAAGTGTTGAGCTAAAAGCACTTATGCCCAGTTTGAGCCAGCCTGATTTTCCTTGATTGGTAGTCTGTCAACTGGTGCCATTGTCTCTTCAGCAGAGAGCCATTTCCCCTTGCTTCTGCCAGCCGCAGGGTCCCCTGGAAGCTAGTGTCCTTTCAGGCAGGGAGGAGCCAACCTTTTGGCTGATGGATGGGACCAGGTTGGTCTCCCGCTTGCCATGATGCTCTCACTGGGAGGCAGGGAGTACAGCTGCCCGGTGACTATTGGTCCCCTGGCTGATGGCAGAGGCCAGGGTGTGCTGATCAAATGACTGATCTGTTCCTGTTTGCTGAGCCTCTCTTGCATCAGTTTGCAATTCATGTACCCATCTGACTAAGCGAGTGAAATTTGGTCTTCTGTATGGAGGGACAGTTTGTTTAGCTCCAAGCGCCCATCCCCTTTTTGTGAGTTATTGCTCTGTTTTTATTGTGAAACACCAGACGGTACTCTTTCTTAATTTTTTATTTTACAGTGCACAATCAGTCTCTTTCACTCTCTCTCTCTCTCTCTGCCTCTGCATGTATGCACTATTTTTGTATATATGCATGCACATGCACAAGGACACATGCACACACATCCTTTTTCATGCTCTGCTGCCGAAGAGGATGAGAAAAATCCAGATGTTTTGCATATTTGGACGTTCACATGAGTAACACACACATTTTATTGATCACAACGCTCCACACACCCCAATAGTGTGCTAAAAGTAATTTTTAAAAAGCTTCACTCTCCCACCCAAAAAAAGCTCAACTCTGCCCCCCCCCCAGCTCAGCGATTGCCGTCAAGGGAACAGCTGATAGGCAGCCTGTTAGACACGTGGGGCTGTTAGCCTCTGGGCAATCCTCCCCCCCCCCCCCCCAATTTCAACAAGTCAGGGCAATTTCCCCACATTTTCTTAATTTGGAGTCCTCAAAAATGGGCGTCGTATACATGAGGGCATCCAATACACTGAAAAATATGGTATATAAAAAAGGATCAGCAAATACTTATAAGCCTGTCATCTTTCTCACAGAGCTTTGCCTGCCATTTTGCAATTATAGTTGTGACAGTCTTATATATAGTTTAATTCAGTGCATGATGCAATTGTCACTGTTTTTTCCCATTTTATCTTACTAATTTACAGCTAAAATGAATAACCAGCGGGAAGCACTGCAGAGAAAGAAGAACGCAATCTTAGTGGATGGTGTAATTTTAAACGGCCCAGTGGCAGATGCAAAAGCCGGAGAGAAATTTGTGGAAGAGGCCAGCAAGATCATAATGGAGGAAGTGATAAAGAAAGCTGCGGATGTAACAGAAAAGGTAGTGATCTCAAATGTAATACTTTTCAGTACATAATTCACAATAAACTGTCACTTTCCTCATCCCTCACATGCCATTATCCTAAACGAGAAGCCAGTTTTTTCCTAGTACGGCCGTACCTTGGTTTTCGAACAGCTTAGTTCTCGAATGGTTTGACTCTCGAATACCGCAAACCTGGAAGTGACTGTTCCGGTTTGCGAACTATTTTTGGAAGCTGAACGTCCGATGGGGCTTCCGTGGCTTCTGATTGGCTGCAGGAGCTTTCTGCAGCCAATCAGAAGCCGTGCTTTGGTTTCCGAAAGTTTTGGAAATCGAAAGGACTTCCGTGACGGATTCCGTTGGACTTCCAAGGTATGACTGTATGTGATTAAAAATTGGCACAGTTCTTCTTTAAAGACTTATTTTCAGTTATTTACATTTGTGTATTTAACTGAGGGTCTGTAGTGGGAGATAATATATGAATGCTGTGTCCTTAGCACGTTTCTTTCCACTAACCCGATATTTTCCCCAAATTAGGTGTGTGAGTGGCACCCTCCTGAAAAGCTGAAAACGTTGCTTGATTTGGAATTGAAAGACACCGGAGAGACCCATCAGAGACTCCTGCAGTTTTGCCAGGATATTATACGTTTCAGTGTCAAAACCAGTACGGATCCTATGTCTATTATCTACTGTTTTTATTCCATTAAATACTATGATGCTCTTTGAAATAGGTTTTCGGAACGTCAGGCTGTTCTTGCTTTTGCTGTCTGACAAACAAGGTGACAGTTTGACAGATTCTTCATTTTCTGCTATGTCAAACCAGAAAGACCCGTAAGGCCCATTTTGGATGTACGACACCAGCTTCATAAGCCATGGTTTATGAAGCTGTGATTGAGCATCAGGGCTGTGCGCTTGTCCATCACCTCCTGATGCTCACCCCTGCGGCTTAATATTCTGGTTGGTTAACCAACATTAAACCAGAGTTTTCTGGTTTAAACAAAGCAACATCCTAATGCTGAAGTTGGTGTGTAAATGGAAAACAGGAAGAAGGGCATGGCTCAAGTATTCGTTCTTGACTCCATAAACTGTGGTTTATGAAGCCAGGAACCTAAGTCTGTAAGAGTTTATTTTACTGTTGCTCTGGGGCAGTTCCTGAAAACTGACATCTGTGGGTGAGTTTTCTATGTCTTGCCTTAATGTGATGCTGCACTTACTGTATGAATTGGGAACATCATGAAATGAGTTTCCCTGCCAATATGCAATTGTGGCTGTTGTGGCAGAAAAAATCAGTGCATGATGGCCCTGGGTCACATTATATAATATCATATCACAGACTGAGGATATTTTTTTTCTCAAGATGTCAAGACTTATCGGTAAGGAATATATTGGACAACATTCCTGTAAAATGCAAATGCAAATCATGGTATAATTAAGTTTAAACCTAACTTTATGAAGAAATGAATATTTCACGGCTTCTTCTAAAGCTTTTATTATGTAGGGGTGTGGGAGGAAAATAAATGTGCAGACAGAGCCCACAGTAAATGTTAATCTATTGCTATTATTATTAATTTCATTTCTGTATCGCTTTATATTTTTTAAGGGGGGGAATCTCAAGGTGGTTTACGACCTACATTAAAACATCAAATAAAACTATCCAGAATTAAACATTACTGAAGATTGCCAAATATAAAGTATACATTCAAAGCAACATAACTAAACGGAAACTAAAATATTATCTTAAAGATAATACATTACAAAGGAGGTCAACTACAGAATGCACATATAGCGCAGCAAAGATAACAAAAAAAATTATCTTAAGGATTTCAAAAGAAAACATTACTAAAGGAATATAAAATGCACATTTAAAACAGCATAATTAGCAAGAGAATCAAGTACTGACTGATTTTGTAGCTGGAGTCAATCTAGGCCCTCCTTCCCAGGCCAGGTGGAAAAAGACCGGCAATTCAGGGAACAGGTCTTCTAGGACTTCCAGCCAGTTCTTTATTCCAGGGCGCACTTAAGGGTACGCAGAACCGGCACCTCTTTTTGTTGTTGTTAAAAAGTGTGACACTTACTATAACAACTTCATGGTGAATGCTAGCACCTATTTTTCTAGAAGAAAAAAGCACTGGTTGTAGCTAATCAATACTTACGAAAGCTTCAGAGGTAAAATTCCCAAGTGTGCATTAATGTTCTAACATCCCATATGATGGATCTAATTCTAACTCTTTTTATCACAGAATGCTAGATAGCTTTAATATGCTCTTTTTCATTATTGATGCTGTTTACCTATTGCTTATGCAGCTTGAACTATTCCCATGTAAGATAACAAACTCTGATAAGCTTTTAATTATTCGTCTTTTAACAGAGCCTCTTGTGTGTCTCTTAAAGGGGACAGCATAAGTTAAAAAGTATAGATAAAGGGAGAAAATACCTTTCTGAAACTTTTGGAGAATCCCCCCCCCCCCCCCAATTATGGGCAGTGTAATAATATATTTATTTGCAAGAAATTATATACTGCCTACGTTAAGAAAACAGGGACGCGGGTGGCGCTGTGGGTAAAACCTCAGTGCCTAGGACTTGCTGATCGTAAGGTCGGCGGTTCGAATCCCCGCGGCGGGGTGAGCTCCCGTCGTTCGGTCCCAGCTCCTGCCCACCTAGCAGTTCGAAAGCACCCCTAAGTGCAAGTAGATAAATAGGTACCGCTTTATAGCGGGAAGGTAAACGGCGTTTCCTGTGCGGCGCTGGTGCTGGCTTGCCAGCTGCAGCTTCGTCACGCTGGCCACGTGACCCGGAAGTGTCTTCGGACGGCGCCGGCTCCCGGCCTCTTGAGCGAGATGAGCGCGCAACCCTAGAGTCGGTCACGACTGGCCCGTACGGGCAGGGGTACCTTTACCTTATGTTAAGAAAAAAATACACTTGCTGTGAAGAGCATAAACATCAGTGATAAAACTGCAACAACAATATAATATTAAAATTTATATCCCACCCTTCCTCTCAAGTGATGAAACAATTAAAACATGTAAAAACAATTCTAGTACAGATGGAGACTAGGGAAGACCACTCCTTCAAAGGTTTGTTAAAAGGGGAAGGTCTTCACTAAGTCGCCATAATTTTCCATGCAGGTTTTTAAAGCCCTATGTGCTCTATATATCCACTATTCCTATTGGGTAAACTTGTCCTCATTGTATATAGAAAGTGAGGGCAGATAATAGAAATTTCAAATGCTCAATTTTTCCCCAGGACCCCTGCAATTAGGTGTGTAGAGGTTTACCTTCTTAGCGACGAAACGGAGACAACCCCCCACCCCCTAAAAAATACTAAAACAAGAAACTATCTTTTTGTCTTTATGCCACCCAGTTTCAATTTGGAGATCTCTCTACTTCTGTAGTTAGAAGTAGAGTTGGGGTTATTCTTTCATTTGGAGAGGCGTTCCACCTCATCAAATAGATCAGACCCAATTCTAAGGGGACACAGGTGTATCAATAAGCAGGTGTGCCTTGAAGAGGCCTGGCTCAAATTCAGCGTCCAGTGGTCCTGTGCGCTACCTTTGTCCCTCCCTGACAGTCCATCTCTCAGGCAAAGAAAAAAGCCTGGAGCCGGGGGGGGGGGGGGAAGGATTAACAGTCAGCGCAGAGCTTCTATCTGTTCAGAAGAGGCTGCAAGGGATACACAGTGTATCTCTTCCTGCAGGTACTTGTGGGACTTAAAAATCCTCCCTTTTCAAGCAAGTGATACGAACATCCCCTGCCCTCTGATATTTCTCAGGAAGGGCTGATCATCATTTCTAGCTGAAACTGAGAGGAGGGCTTGCGCATTGGTTTTCCTGCACCACTTACGCTAACCAGATTTATGTCTTTTTAATCTACAGATCACCCAAGATTTTTTAATCAGTTGTACGCTGGTATTGATTATTACTCTTTAGCAGCGCGTTTCATTACTGAAGCATTAAACCCGAGTGTGTAAGTGCTTTTTATTTTTAATTGATCTGCTGGGTCTGCCATGCTGTTTCAGTGTAAAAAAATCTTATTTCCTGCAGATTTCCATGTACTTTAACGGCATCGATGATAGGGGTGTGGTTTTTCAGATGTCGGATGGATTAAAGCTTATTTTGTCATATTGTAAGTTCAGTATAGACACTCAAGTAAAAATGTAGAGGAAACTCTTGGCTTAAGAATGTTAGAATACCCATGTTAGATTAGACCAAACACTAGTCCAACACTCTGTTTGCATAGGATCCAACCTTACGCTCACAAGGAATATGAGTGTCTTTTTCATGTTCCCAAACAATTGGTATTATGCTGCCTCCGATGGCAGCCCTGTTTAGGGAAGTTTTTAATATTTAATGCTGTATTGTTTTTAACCCTCTATTGGAAGCCGCCCAGAGTGGCAGGGGAAACTCAGCCAGATGGGTGGGGTATAAATAAAATATTATTATTATTATTATTATTATTAAGGCTATGGAAAGGACCCCTGGAAGATTAAGTCCAGTCAAATGTGACTATGGGGTGCAGCGCTCATCTCACTTTCTAACCAAGGGAGCCGGCGTTTGTTCACAGACAACTTTCTGGGTCATGTGGCCAGCATGACCAAACCGCTTCTGGTGCAGAACCAGAGCAGCACATGGAAACGCCATTTACCTTCCCACCAGAGCAGTACCTATTTATCTACTTGCACTTTGACATGCGTTCGAACTGCTAGGTTGGCAGGAGCAGGGACCGAGCAATGGGAGCTCACCCTGTCGCGGGGATTCGAACTGCCGACCTTCTGATCGGCAAGTCCTAGGCTCTGTGGTTTAATCCACAGCGCCACCTGCGTCCACTATAAAACCTCACGTGGGCTTGACTGCTGTTATCCCTGGTACCCTGGAATACTGACTACACTCAAGGAAGGGATCCATCACTTAGCTCGTATTCTTCTTTGTTCAGCTATTCATGCTCTCTACCTCACTACCTTTTCATTCAATTTTCTTAAACACATTTTGTCAAAGCATTGTTCACACAGTTGCCTTTTATGTCACGTTTATATATATTCAGATATACCTATGAAGTGTCCCCAGTGTTTTTGTTAGTGGAAGAAGCAGTCCTAAAGAAAATGATTGAATTCATTGGGTGGGAAGAAGGTGACGGTATATTTAATCCAGGTAAGAAAGTATTCCCCCCCCTTTTCTTCTTGCATGCAATTTAATTTAATTTAAAGTTATATTTTACTGCTTTTGCCAGTGCTGTGTATTGGAGTAAAGCCTTCGTTAGGTCACGAGTGGTTCTTAGGCAATGTCCATACAGGAGTTGCCTTGCTTTAGGCAAGTACATTCCCCTGCTTGGGCAGCCTGGTTTTTACAGAGGGATAGAAGCAATTTATATTACATAGTTCATGGTGCTTCCGCATGCTGTGTGAACAGCAGTGAAATATGAGGCCAGATCCGTACCATTTTTGCGTACTCTGAGGTTCAAATGTGCTACCAATGTTCAAATGATCTTCCAAATATGATCCTCACTGCGAGAAGTGAGGTTACAGGGAACCAGGCAAGTGAGGTTACAGGGCCTTCTCGGTAGTGGCGCCCACCCTGTGGAATGCCCTCCCATCAGATGACAAGGAGATAAGCAACTATACAACCTTTAGAAGACATTTGAAAGCAGCCCTGTATAGGGAAGTTTTAGTATATGCTGGAAGCTGACTGGGGCAACCCAGTCAGATGGGTGGGGTACAAATAATAATAATAAAATTATTGTTGTTGTTGTTGTTGTTGTTGTTTGTTGTTGTTATTCACTCATCTCCTTGAAAGCATTTTTGACAAGGTTACCATTGGAACCTCATGGTAACCAAAAGCCCAGATATATTTATTTTAATTTTAAAATGTTTTTAAACTTTTTTTTCACGCACTGTTAAAAGCTTTCATCTTTTAAATGTATTACTGTGTATATATTTTTAAAACTTCAGATTTTATTTACCTTACAAAAATTAGGTCAACTTGTTTTAACACCTGATTTTATTGATAATTTAAATGCATATTTCATATGGTTTCATGTGAGCAGCTTAGAGGTTTTTTTAATCATTATGTGGTATATAAATCCTGTTAAACATTCAGAAAGTTGTACCTTGATGTGGCTAATTTTTGCTGGTAACCCTTCGCTGACATGGCAAATGTCCACGCCTGAACATTGGGCACCTCAGTGCTTATAAAATGGAAATGCGAAGTATTAATGAGTATGAGTGTTATATGAATCTTTTCCTTTTCCTTCTTTAAAGGTGGCTCTGTTTCTAATATGTATGCGATGAACTTAGCAAGATACAGATACTGCCCTGACATAAAGGAAAGGGGCCTTTCAGGGATGCCTCGACTGGTGGTATTTACGTCAGAAGAGGTAACCAACCTTCCTCCTTTGTAATTATTCAAACAGTACATTATACCGGATTTACGTATAAGCCAAGCAAGCTATAGCTTAGGGCCCCACTCTCTTGGGGGCCCCCCAAAAAATTTAAAGGGAAAAAAACCTGGATGTACATTTCCAAAATATAAGATAAAAAACAAATAAAATAAAACCTACATACAGCAACAGATTTTTGTGTTGTGTAGGCTCCTATGATGTAAGTAACAGGCCCTGCCTGCTAGCCTGCTCCCTGAAATATCACTCGTTTGCTCATTTCTATATATAGGGTGCCTACATTCTGCATGGACTAGTTGCATGGCAACATGTGCAAATGGCTTTAGATACCTATTAGGTTCATAAATGGCCATATAGCATATATTCAAGACAGTGACAATTTGTTGTTGACAAAGGTCAGATGGACATATAAAGGGCCCCATTACCTTCAGTAGCTTAGGGCCTCATCAAACCTAAATCCGGCCCTGTTCGAGAAAATGTATTTGTTATAGCAAGCATAAAAGGCTTACCACTAGCATAGAGAATCAATGCTGGTCTAGGATCCAGGCTTGAACTGGTTCTGTCCGCTTCTGAATCTCTGAGGCTGTGTACACATTACCCAGTTAAAACACAGCTCGGTTCTCAATTTGAATGGAAAGTTAATTGAAGGGGAAATGCGTGGAAACACAGCATTTCATAAGAAACGGCAGGATTGATATGGATTGTGTTGGTGGGATCAGGGCCGTATTTAGGTTTCACGAGGCCCTAAGCTACTGAAGGTAATGGGGCCCTTTATATAGCAGGCGGGGCCCATTACTTACATCGTAGGAGCCTGTTGTTGTTGTTTAGTCGTGTCCGACTCTTTGTGACCCCATGGACCAGAGCACGCCAGGCACTCCTGTCTTCCACTGCCTCCCGCAGTTTGGTCAGACTCATGCTGATAGCTTCGAGAACACTGTCCAACCATCTCGTCCTCTGTCATCCCCTTCTCCGTGTGCCCTCCATCTTTCCCAACATCAGGGTCTTTTCCAGGGAGTCTTCTCTTCTCATGAGGTGGCCAAAGTATTGGAGCCTTAGCTTCACGATCTGTCCTTCCAGTGAGCACTCAGGACTGATTTCCTTAAGAATGGAGAGGTTTGATCTTCTTGCAGTCCATGGGACTCTCAAGAGTCTCCTCCAGCACCAGAATTCAAAAGCATCAATTCTTTGGCGATCAGCCTTCTTTATGGTCCAGCTCTCACTTCCATAAATCACTACTGGGAAAACCATAGCTTTAACTATAGGAGCCTACATAACACAAAACACGGTTGCTGTATGTAGGTTTTATTTCATTTGGTTTTTTATTTTGGAAATGTACACCCAGGTTTATTTCCCTTTAATTTTTTGTGGGGGGCCCCAAGAGAGTGGGGCCCTAAGCTATAGCTTGTTTAGCTTATACGTAAATCCGGCACTTGGTGGGATCACACTGGATGCAGAGGAAATGGAAGTGTGTACATACCCCAAAAAATAAAATATAATTGTAAGAAGTCTCATTGGAAATCCTTCCAGAACTGTTTCTCTTCTGCTCTTTTCTAAGCTCATGTAGTAGACAATATGCTGTTTCAGCACCACTTCACTTGCTCTGCACTCTTGCTCCCTACAAGTTTTGCCCACAGGGAGAAGCCTATTGATAGACTTTATTTACATTGTGGGTGGGGGACACACACCTGTCTGCTTACCTGCAGTCTTTCTGTTCCTTGCTGTATTCCTCTCCCTTGGAGATAGCTTTCCTACAGTGAGTTAAGAGACGAAACATTCATTTATTTCCACCCACCGCTCCAGTGTTGGGAGTAGAGAGATACTGTTTTAAATTACAGCAGAACGGTTCCACGCTCATTTCTCAGTTAAAATAAAAAATAACAATGGCACAACAAAAACATCTGTTTTTTACTTCAAGGGGCTTTCTTTACTTGATTATTACACGCTACTCAACTGATAATGACGAATCACATCTCCCTAAAAGTGACCAAAAAAAAGCCTGTTCTTAATGGTTTGTCAAGAGGGAATAATCTAGTCCAGGAACAAATTGAAATGCATTGTTTGGAATTTATTATTTCAAGCTGATGTAAATGGAGTGTTGTGTTCTTCAGTGATTGTATTTTAACAGCAATTTGCAGTAATCTGCATTTTTCCCCCCCATGGCAAAACAATTTAAAAACTGGACGAAATGTTTCCCCCACTTTTGTGGGACCATTTATCCTGTGTAGAAGCGTGTCTGGGATAGTCAATGTCTTTTTGCAGGGAAGGTGCACTCTAAGAATTTGTGGGTGGGAAGGAGGTACCTGTCAAGTAAGAGGTGGCCAAGGGTTTGTTTTGTTACTGGGACAAACAATGCTATATTATGGGGGCAGCCACCTTTTGCCATCAAGGATGCCCTTGGCAACAACAAAACACTATGGCATTGCCTCATTCTCAGGGACATATTGTCCCGGGAACAGATATGGGCTTCTGTCAGCTACCCAGCTTATTTCCATTCAATGAGAGAACAACCTTTTCCCACCTCATATGTACAGGTAGTTTCATCAGATCAAAACGTAAGAAAAATGCCGGACTGAATACTTCATTGAAACACTTCTATTAACTGCCTACTTTGGTCCGCTTAGTAAATTATGGGAATAAATTTGGGGGGACTTTGACCAGGTATGGACGTAATGACAAGCCATGTTGGTTGTTGCGTGTCGAGGTCCCCAAGCCACCCCCCAATAATTCACACATCAATTTTGGTTTGGGTTTTTGGCACGATTTTGGCCACAACTTTATTTAAATATACACAAGTGAGTGGTTGCTTAGGCATTGGTTCCGACTATCTGTCCTTGCCCAGGGGCAGAACTGACTTCCGGATTCCAGCGGAAGCCAGTGAGGGAAACAATTTTGGGGAGAAAATGAAGCTGGGCCTCAGTCCCTCACTTCTCACCCTCATGCTCCTGGTGGATTCCACGGCCCAAGTCCAATGCCAGGGACAAGGACGAAAAGAATGGCAAGCCCTTGGATTCCTTTAACAGAATTCCCTTTCCGCACCACCATTGGAGGGGTAGGCACTTACCCCTCCACCAACCAATTTGAACCAATGCCTAACCGCCAACCTTACAAGTTGTGACGATTTGCTACGCAGTAGGCAAAAACCAAATGGCACCAGCCAATGAGCCAAATGGACAAAATTCCTACCAGGCCCCTGCCTCAAAGCAGATGACCCCATGACAGGCATAGCAAGGTCAAGCGAACAACCCCCCCAATACAGGGAGGGTGGGCGGGTGATCCGGTGCAAGCAGCCAAGAGGACGCCCAAAGTTGGGCGTCCAGTATTTAAAACCTCTGAACCCCTCCTTCAAAATTGGCAACAAGCAATTCTCCCCAGCGACCCAATTAACCAATTCACTGCCTGGGTCACTCCGCAAATCCGCCCAGCAACAATGGGGTGGCTTGTATCCCCCACCGCAACACGTGCTCTCTGCTAGGGAGAACACGTTTTGTGGGAATGTGGCTACACAAGCCAAAGGTTGCATGCCCTCCCTCTCTTGAAAGCTTCCACTTTTGGACCAACCACAGTTCTCCATTATTTCTGTACTCTTGAGAACTCCATTGTTTGTTTTAGCTAACTGAAATTAGAACAAAGTCGGGACCAAATTATCGTGGGCCCTTAATTGTGATCTTCTCATACTTCTATACTGTTCATAACAAGAGCTGTGATTCATTGTGCTGCCTTTGTCCCCCATCCCCCTGCCCACTTTGGAGATTTTGCTGATCTATTATTTTCTGAGCCCGGAGAGGTTTGACATTTTCTAGTAATTCAATGTCACACTCCCTTTGATTGAGCTTAATAAGTGACTCATAGCTTACTAATAAGGAGCTGTTTTGTGAGAATCACTCGCAATTCGAATGAAACCTTGCTGCTTAAGAGTCCAAATCTCTAGTGAGTGCCACATTGTAGCTTTGCACACGTATTTCATTATTGATGTAATTCAATGTAACACCTATGTATGTTATTATTCACACAACACTCTGAGTGAATGGATTCTAAAGCCTTTGTGAATGTGCCATGTTAGAAAAGATTGGCTGGTGGTAGCTGATGATATCTTCTGTGCATTTAGTTAAAAATTGGGGGAGGGGGGGAAATAAGTCCTGTCAAAAAGGTGGGGCGATCCATCTCATCAGAAAAAGTGTGACAGGATTGAATACCTTTAATATATTCATACCCACACATAAAAGTGCAGTATTTTTCATAATTATGTTCCTCCTTAACTGCATTTGTGTGAACTCTCTTGAAGAAAACTGAATTAATTAACCACCTGGTTTCACCTGCTGTATGCGAAGGAACAATTTAAGGCGTTTTCAGGGTGGTTGGCAAATATATTAATTTAACCCTTAAATAACATAACAATTTGCTCCAGTTTCTTATTCCTCCCTATTTTATTATTATCATTCTACTAAAATAAATAAGCTCTCCTAAATTTTTCTAGATAGCTCAGTCAGTAGAGCAATTACTTTGAGCCGTGAAACCAGAGGTTTATGTCCAGTGCTTAACTAAATTTAAGGTTCAAAAAGCTCAGAATTCCCCCCTCCCCTACTTTGAGAGGGGAGGATAATGCTCACCTATTTTGCAATTCTGTGGCTGTCGTTGGTTTTGTGAAGCCTTGATTTTTGCCTAAAATCTGCAACGTGTGTGCCTCAGGAAAATTATTTGGCGATATGTCTGCTGTTAATTGTTTGATTTTTACCCTTACTCAGTGTCATTATTCCGTGAAGAAGGCAGCATCGTTCTTGGGGATCGGCACACAAAACGTTTACTTCGTCAAAAGTGACGAAAGGTAAGGCGACCGAAGCCGTCGAGGCCGTCTGATGATCCTTTTAAAATGCTGAAGTAGTGCTGAAAGCGAGTAACCTATTACATAACTGAAAAGTTTTAAATCTGTGTCCCATAGAGGTAAGATGATACCTGAGGAACTGGAGAAACAAGTCCAGCGGGCAAGGAAAGAGGTGAGAGGGGGAGAGAGAGTGAGAGAGCAAGAGAGAGTCTGTGTGCCCTGTGAAAGGCATACCTTATGTGCATTTGTGTATGGCAATCTGCTCCAATGGGGGGCAGTGTTGCGCCCGGACCACGGGCCACGGGAGTGATCTGGCGAATGGCTGGGCTGGATGGCTGCCAGCTGGCGATTGACCAATGCTGGCTGGTTTCGGGCAGGTGCTTCCTGGGGGGTGGGGTGGGCCCAGCCGGCCAATGAGTGCCACCCTGGCCCACTCCCAGGGGGATAAATCGTGGCCTGTCCCGGCTCTCCTCCTCAGCCTCTTTCGTCGGATCATGCACGTGAATCTTGCAACACAACGTTGCGAGATTTGCAGCTGCAGCTGCTGCTCAAAAATTGAGAAGAAGGTGCATTAAGGATAATATGATGGGCTGTAAAGATCTAATCAGAAATGAATTTTGGAAGCTTATACACACACACACATACACACACACACACACACACACACATATATATATATATACACACACACACACACACAATACATATATATACATACAATTAGGGTGATACTACATTGTAATGGTGTATATTTTGTATAGTATGCATATATTTCTTTTTTAGTGGTGGTTGAAAGGCCGTGATGGTCGCAGCAACAACAAAAATCATAAATTCAATTTTTGGTGGCGTTGTTAGAATGGAAGAAGGGTGAATGAACGTGAATGAAAGTTAAAACAGGGTAGTTTCTTGTGTTGCAAATGTTTCAGGTCCAGTCTGCTTTGCCACAGATTGCACGGTAAGTCGTGAACGGGCAATGTGATCCCCAGGTATTTTAGTTCATCGCTTAAAAAATAATAACGCTAGAACTCACAAAATGGCATGAAAGAATAACTCTTGCACTGCAAACCTGAGCCATTCTCATTATGCTTCTCACTGAGATTATATCTATAATTGTGCTCAAAATTAAGGAACGCCCCAGCTTTAGTAGGCCGGTAGTATCTTCAGGACACAGTATATGCTTAATGACTATGGCATTTTATCAGACATTTCATTCAGTTTGGGCAGATAGGAGAAATGTGGAATAGAATTAAAATAAATCTGTTCATGAATAAAAGATCAGCTGCTATTTTCTGGGCAAAACAACTATTGACAAGCAAACAGCATTCCCTTCATTGTTTAAATGGATTATTGGTGATAAAATCTCCTTTGATTTTAAAGTGTTTTGCAGTGAAAACAGTACTTGGCTATAGCTTCTCGTCCTGCACTCTTCTTTTAAAAACTATCCTTGCGGATGCATCTATCTGTGCTTAATATGGTTTCATTTCCTTGAAGTGAAGACTATAAGCATTTGAAATGTTCTCTTATCTCATTTCATGTTTGCAAGTGTCTCTGCTGAGTTCCATTCGATAACAGTGTTTGGTGTGGGAGGCGTCCTATCTTCTCTGCTTTGCTGTGCATTGCTTCACAGATTGCAGAAAAAGATTGGTGCCTGTGTTTTCATAGGGTGTTCACAGAACAGATTCTAATGTTTGAAAGGAGATCCATAGATACAAAGACATGGGAAACATATTTTCGGTTCCTCACCTCATGATAGTCTCAAGGGCAGGTTCCTGAATGTAACTTCCTCTTCAAACATTAAAGAAAATGCAAGATGGACACACGGTCCAGTTATGGAGACCTTGCCCCATGAAAACAAAATTTGTTATGGTGTATAATTTGTTCAACAGGTTTTCCTATAAATGCAAATTTTGTGAGGGTTTTTTCCCCCCTCAGGTACTTTTATGTGCCAAATAATATTTTTTTAAAGTTGCGAAACGGTAGAAACAAAATTAGTATGATACACACAATCTTGGTCTGGCAGAAATAGAGGCTTTAAAAAAGTAAAAGAAGCAAACTGAAATAGTTTTTATTTTGATCCTATCGTTTTCATATTGATTGGGCTTGATGGTTGTAATATCTATCTAACCCCACCCCCACCCCAAAAAGGTTGTAGTGTCATTACCATTTTTTGTTGTGGGATTGGGTAGAAAAGAACTATGTTGTGTGTATCTTCATGATGGGATATTCTGTCCGTGTTGTGATGGGTTATGATGGCTCCCTAACACGGTTCCAGAGTTCTTCATTTGTTGCAATGCGCACACAGAGCTCCCTGGTTTCTCATTCACTTCAATGGAGGAACAGCATTTTCTTTTCTTTTCTTTAAGGTATGTTTACCCCCTCCTTTCCCAAAAGAGCCTCAACGCAGCTTGCAGTAAAAAAACAAATTATAATAAGCCACAATAAATAGAACAGGTAAGAAGCAATTTGCAGGAGCCAGTGAAGCAAGCTGAGAAAATATAAATAGCTCCAGCACTATTAAAAGCATCTGAGAATAGCATAGACTTTGACAGGCACCTAAAGGACAACAGTGGTGGTGCCAAGTGAATTTGGGTGCCACCACTGAAAAGGCCTTCTTGAGTTACCTCCAACTTTTGAAGACAGGGACATCCAGGGGAGGATTTCTGAAGAGGATCTGAATTGGTAGAATGATTCCTCTGGAAGAAGTTGGGTTTTTTGATATCCAGATCCTGGTCAGCCACTTAGCTTTAGTGGTAAGCATGACAGATCTTCCAAGTGTCCCTATTTTCCAGGGACGTCCCTGATTTGGAGAATGCCCTGCTTTCCTTTAGGATGTCCCTATTTCCACTAGAGAAATGTTGGAGGGTATGGAGTTATCCAACTTCCAAGCTGTCTGAAGGCAATCCTGTACAGTGGTACCTTAGTTTACGAACTTAATCCGTTCCGGAAGTCCGTTCTTAAACCAAAGCGTTCTTAATCCAAGGCGTGCTTTCCTATAGCAGTGGGGGACTCAACTGACAAATGGAACACACTCAACAGGAAGCGAAATATGTTCTTATTCCAAGGCAAAGTTCACAAACCACAACACCTACTTCCGGGTTTGCAGCTTTCTTAATCCAAGTTGTTCATGAACTAAGCTGTTCTTAAACCAAGGACCACTGTATAGGGAAGGGTTTTTTTTAAAGTTTAAAGTTTTATAATGTTTTTATATATGTTGGAAGCTGCCCAGAGTGGCTGGGGCAACCCAGGAAGACGTGGTGGGGGGAGTATAAATAGTAAAATTATCATTATGGAACGGAACGTCCCTATTTTCCTCAGAGAAATGTTGGAGGGTATGGCATGAGCACTTTGGTTTGGGTCCAGAAGCAACTGTTCAATCTGTGAAAACATTCACTAGACGCTGGCTGTGGTGATCAGCCCCTGTTAATAACTGGGCCATTATACTCTGCACCAGTTGAAAATTCTAGGTGCTTTTCAAAGGCAGTGTGTCAGTCTCTCTACGAATCCTTCTGTCTGTTTGAATAAAGCTGCCGCTGAAGCTACCTTTCCCCAGAAGAAATCACTGGACTGCAGCAAGTATGATTTTATTTTAGCCTGACATTCATGGAAGATTATGGTTTTAAATTCACATTTAAATTATCCAGAATGAAGTGTGGAGAGAAGGAAGGAAGAGGGGTGGGAAAGCCCATTTAATTCACAGGATGTCTCCCCTTCCGTTCCTTCTGCCCGAATGCATGTCAATATCATTGAAGCATTAAAAAAATATTTCCCACTGAAAATGCGTTTGGCAATCATTTCAGCTCGCTCCAGAGTCTCATGGCAAAGTGAAAAGACAATTTCTGAGAAGTACTCCTCCTTTCCCCCCAATGTTAAGCTAAAAACCTATTTAAAGTCTCATCACAGCCAAAAGAATCCAGTTTAGTGGGATTTATGAGGCTGTTCCATTGGCTGCAGGAGAAATTATTTTGGGGGGTTTTTTTGTTCAGCGTTTTAAGTTCGTAACCTGAAAGTCACTTTAATCAATAGTTCAGCGTAATGAAAACTTACAGCTGTTGCTTTGGGAGGAAAATGTTACTTAGCGGTTTTTTTGTGTTTGGCTTTTCAGGAGATAGTGTTTCTTAAGATACTGCAGTGAGAATAATTTAAAAGAAAGGTCCTAAGTATTGCAGATGGTTAGGTTGTTAGCTCCATAGCTTCAGCATATGTATAAATGCAATATAAAGCTCACTCACTCCTGTTCACAAACAACTGCATATAATGGCCTAGTTTGCACAGTACAGTAAATGAAATTATGACTTTCTGGGGCTGCAGAAAGATGCAGGCTCCCAGATAAGAGTTTGCAGCTTCTTTGTTTCTCCCCATTTCTTTTTGCTCCTGCGCAACACGGAGGTAAGCCCAAAATGTGGCTTACTGCAAGTGTGGGGAATCTTTGACTTTCCAGACGTTGTTTAACTATATCTCTAGCAAGCATGGCCAATAGCCAGGGAAGATGAGATTTAGAGTTCAGCAACATCTGGGCAGCCAAAGGTTCCCCATGCCTGGCTTAGTATGGTCACCTGAAGAAACCTTACTACAGCTCATGATTAGTGAGGAGAAAGCTTAAATATAAGACTCTGTTCAGGTGACACACTAAACCATGGTTTGCACGGTCCCTGTAAACCATACTTTGGCTTACTGTGTTGTGTAAACCAGGCCATAGCGTGCACTTTGAAATTTTAGTTTTAGTTTTATATGGCAATTGAGACTCATGCCTTTGGAAACAAATAACAGAAACCCTACTTCCTGTTGTAAGTTTAATACTTTGGGTGGAAAGTCTTTTCCAGCAGATTGATGAAGACTTGCGTGATAACGATGCCAATGTTGAGACGGAGACCCAACGAGTTTATGCACATCAGTATTATCTGATTTTTGCTTTCCAACTGCAGCCCCTAACGTTTTGTCTGCTGCTACTCCTGACGTTTGGAGAGAGTTGGGTTATGGCACACAATGGTCAAAAGGGGCTACTTCATAGCCCTGCTACGTATTTCTTGTGTGACCATTTGGACCATAGGATGCAGCTTGTTGTTGTTTAGTTGTTTAGTTGTTTAGTCATGTCCGACTCTTCATGACCCCATGGACCAGAGCATGCCAGGCACTCCTGTCTTCCACTGCCTCCCACAGTTTGGTCAAACTCATGTTGGTAGCTTCGAGAACACTGTCCAACCATCTCGGCCTCTGTCGTCCCCTTCTCCTTGTGCCCTCAATCTTTCCCAACATCAGGGTCTTTTCCAGGGAGTCTTCTCTTCTCATGAGGTGGCCAAAGTATTGGAGTCTCACCTTCAGGATCTGTCCTTCCAGTGAGCACTCAGGGCTGATTTCCTTAAGAATGGAGAGGTTTGATCTTCTTGCAGTCCATGGGACTCTCAAGAGTCTCCTCCAGCATCATAATTCAAAGCATCAATTCTTTGGCGATCGGCCTTCTTTATGGTCCAGCTTTCACTTCCATACATCACTATTGGGAATACCATAGCTTTAACTATATGGACCTTTGTTGGCAAGGTGATGTCTTCTTTTTAAGATGCTGTCTAGGTTTGTCATTGCTTTTCTCCCAAGAATCAGGCGTCTTTTAATTTCGTGACTGCTGTCACCATCTGCAGTGATCATGGAGCCCAAGAAAGTAAAATCTCTCACTGCCTCCATTTCCTCCCCTTCTATTTGCCAGGAGGTGATAGGATGCAGCTATCTGTCTACAAATCCTACCTAGTAGCAGGGCTTTCCCTCCCTCAAGAACCCACCCATTGTGATTAATATGTCATTGGGTCAGGGCTCATTCATAACTGTAGTTCTGGAGGGGTTTGCATGTGAAGTTGCCACACATCCAATCCCTGCAGTCTTCTCATCCCAATAACTGCAGTCTATGGTGGTTCCACACCTGGTGTCTGCTGGGATTTGTGCTTTTGGTGCGTCCTGCCTCCCTGGGCTTGTCTTGTCCACTTCTCATGCACATGGTCTCCTGCTACTGCATGGGAGTTTTCCGCACATACATCCTGTCCTTTGGTAGACCTTCTATTCACATTTGGCTGCAGATTCAGATTGTTGATGGCAGGAAAAATAAGCACTAATTATGTAATGCAGGTAAGATCCCCTGAGAAGTGAGGAATCTCTTCCTTGCATGAGTAGCCTCCTAGCTGAGCTAATTGGTACTATCATCAGCTGAATGTTGTTATTAGCATTTAATACCAGGGACTCTTCCTACTCTTAGTTCAGAAGAAAGTAACAGGGAAGGGAGAAAGATAGCTATGCTATAGAAAGGCATGGCTATGGCAAGGTAGTAGTAGTAGCACCCTGCCTAGTTATGCTGTTATCTGCTCACGTTATGGTTTCTGACAATGGTGAAATTCGAGGCTATACTGTGCATTTCTTTAAATGTGTTAATAGTCAAAAAGCGCTTATAACAGTGAGTGCCTCTGGTTCATTATTTGAGAAAAGGTCTCTATACATCTTGAACCTATACCACTCCTTCCTTTGCTGCTCCCATCGAGCTTCTAAATTTACGTGGAGAAAGAGAAGAGGAAGGGGAGAGCAGCAGCAGCAGGGGCAATGGAGCTTTGTTGTTGTTTAGTTGTTTCTGACTCTTCGTGACCCCATGGACCAGAGCACACCACGCACTCCTGTCTTCCACTGCCTCCCGCAGTTTGGTCAAACTCGTGTTAGTAGCTTTGAGAACACTGTCCAACCATCTCGTCCTCTGTCGTCCCCTTCTCCTTGTGCCCTCAATCTTTCCCAACATCAGGGTCTTTTCCAGGGAGGCTTCTCTTCTCATGAGATGGCCAAAGTATTGGAGCCTCAGCTTCACGATCTGTCCTTCCAGTGAGCACTCAGGGCTGATTTCCTTCAGAATGGATAGGTTTGATCTTCTTGCAGTCCATGGGACTCTCAAGAGTCTCCTCCAGCACCAGAATTCAAAAGCATCAATTCTTTGGCGATCAGCCTTCTTTATGGTCCAGCTCTCACTTCCATACATCACTACTGGGAAAACCATATGTTTCTGCAAAATAGGGCACCAAGACTACATTCTCCAGTGCACCATTTGTGCACCAGGTCCATTTGTGCTAAGAACTTATCCTTCATAGAATCATAGTTGGAAGGGTCACCTAAGTGCCAACACCCAGCAATGCAGGAATCTCAACTAAAGCATACGTAACAGATGGCCACCCAACCTTTTCTCAAAAATTTCCAAGGAAGGCGAGTCCGCCACCACCCGAGGAAGACCGTTCCACTGTCAAATGGCTCTTACTGTTGGAAAGTTCTTCCTGAAGTTGAGTCAGAATCTCCTTTCTTCTAACTCGAATCCATTGGTTCAGGTCCTAGCCTCCAGTGCAGGAGGAAACAAACTTGTTCCATCTTCCGTGTGACAGCCCTTTAGATATTTGAAGATTGCTATCATATCTCTCCCCTCCCCTGTCTCCTCTTTTCTAGGCTCAACATACCCAGCACCCTCAACTGTTCCTCATAAGGCTTGGTCATCTTGGTCGCCCTCCTCTGCACATGTTCAGCTTGTCAATATTCTTCTTAAATTGTAATGCCCCAAACTGGACACATCACTCCAGGCATAGTCTTGACCAAGGCAGACTATACTTCTGTCCCCACAGCCCAGAATAGCATTGGCCTTTTTTTTGCTGCTGCATCAGACTGTTGACTCGTGCTAAGCTTGTGGTCTACTAAGACCCCTAGATCATTTTCATATGTACTACTGGCAAGCCAGGTGTCCCCCACCTTATATTTGTGCAGCTGGTTCTTCCTGTCTAAGTGTAGAACTTGACATTTCTCTATTGAAATTCATTTTGTTAGTTTGTGTCCAGTTCTGCAATCTGTTAAGGTCCTCTTCAATCCCAATTCTGTTATCCGTGGCATTAGCTACCCCTCCCAGTTTTATATCATCTGCAAATTTTATTAGCATCCCCCCAGTACCTTTATTTGGGATGCGGGTGGCACTGTGGGTTAAACCACTGAGCCTAGGACTTGCCGATCAGAAGGTCTGTGGTTCGAATCCCCGCGACGGGGTGAGCTCCCGTTGCTCGGTCCCTGCTCCTGCCAACCTAGCAGTTCGAAAACACAACAAAGTGCAAGTAGATAAATAGGTACCGCTCGGGCAGGAAGGTAAACGGCATTTCTGTGCGTTGCTCTGGTTTGCCAGAAGTGGCTTAGTCATGCTGGCCACATGGCCCGGAAGCTGTCTGTGGACAAATGCCAGCTCCCTCAGCCAATAAAGCGAGATGAGCCCAGAGTCGGTCACGACTGGACCTAATGGTCAGGGGTCCCTTTACCTTTAATACCTTTACTCAAGTGCATTATCAGGCATAGGCAAACTCGGCCCTCCAGATGTTCTGGGACTACAACTCCCATCATCCCTAGCTAACAGGACCAGTGGTCGGGGATGATGTTGTAGTCCCAAAACATCTGGAGGGCTTGACTTTATAAAGACATTGAACAACAATGGGCCCAGGACAGAACCCTGTGGCACCCCACTTGTCACAGGATGACGAGGAACCGTTAGTGAGCACTCTTGGGGTTTGGTCTATCAACCAGCACTGGGACCCATACTGAACCTGCCCTCATTGGTGGCAATGTGATATTTCCTTGAGGAGCTGGAGGGCACTTTCCCCTTATAGTGGATAAATCCCTTTTGTGCTCACTTGCTTAGAATGGCTAGTCCATTTGTGTTTGGAGCGCTCACAAAGAATCAAGGCTCTTTTGGGACATGCACCCCCTTAGTTACTGCATGCAATGTGACCTTTGGGGGGGGATCTGAAATAGCCCCTCGGATTTCTGATTCAGATCAGGATCATGGCACATAGGAAGGGGATGGTTTATTATTTTTCCATTTAAAAGCAATTGACCCTTGTCTCCCATGCTGTGAGCTTGCTGAATATCACTCTTCCCCCCTGAAGCAAATTGCAATCTGGGGAGGGGGGCAGGTTTATTAGGACCATAGCAGTGGAGGAAAGGTTTGGGTACTCACCCCCACATGCCTCAGTTGCAGGTTTTGATTCACATTAAATTCAGGAAGGCATAAATGCCAGGCACAACTTGTCCCTTATAGAAGAACCCACTTCTCCTTTAATGTTGACCCAACCAATTGGTTGGAATATCTTAAATATCGCAGTAGTCTTGTGCCAGGCTTGCCTTGCCTTGCCATGAAGCAGAATCTGCCAGCACCATCAGGTTATTTTCTGGGGGGGCGGGTGTTCTTTGGTACCATCTAAAAGGCAGGAAATTGCCAGTTGTTTATTTGGTTATATTTTCCACTGCTTGGGAGGGTGAACCATTGCTTAGGCTGCAGTTTGGATTTTCCCCTTCAGGTACCGCAAATGTCTTAAGCTAGCCCTGCCATAACGGAAATCTTTCCAACCTGAATTTAGAGAAAGAGAGAGAATCAGTTTGCTTCCAGTGACATAGGTGTAAAGATTTTGGGACCAGACCGCGAGAGAGCATTGATCATTGACAGTCGATGTTTGACATTCTGGCACTTAAGTAACCCAGGTTTTTCCAATGTTTCGGATAGAATACTTTTAAAAGACCAGTTTGCTGCTGAGAATGTAAAATGTAGGCATTGTTAGTCTTGTCCTAGATTCCCAGACCTTATTGTATTTAGCATGTCGCCCTCACTGGAGAATTTGAACAGTGCAAACAATCTTTTGTTTTGGATCATTCCACAGGGTTCAGCACCATTTTTTGTCAGCGCTACAGCTGGCACCACAGTTCTGGGAGCGTTTGATCCTCTGGATGAAATTGCCGACATCTGCGAGAAACATGACCTTTGGCTGCATGTTGATGTAAGTTAGTTTTATTAACATTTGTTCTTTGTTTCACTTTATTAAGCCTTCCTTTTAACCGTGGAGCCGTTCTCACACATGCTGGGGGGGAAAGTGCAGCCGATTTTGCAAACCCAACTAATGGTGTTCTAAAAACCGAACTACATTTTGTTTAATGCATAAATCTGTGGACTGTCTCTCTCTGAAGAGTTCAGTGTATCTTTATTTTGATGTAGCTTAGCTTGAGAGGTTGTTTTGCCCAGACATATTTGGTAACTTTCACTATCTAAGCCCTGTACAACATTACATTAGTTTTTCATTGTGTAATATTAAGAGCTTGCCTGCATAGTAGTAGTAGTAGTAATAATAATAATAATAATAATAATAATAATAATAATATTATTTATTTGTACCCCGCCCGGAGCTGGGCTCAGAGCGGCTAACATCATATAAATAATACAATAAAAACAAGCAATCAATAGACTAAAATGCATCCCAAAATTAATTCAAATAAATTAAAATTAAAACTGAACAAATGACAATCCTCAGGTTAAAATTGAAAGCGGTTAATACTCGCCAGGACCAACTATTTCCACTGATATTATAAGGACCTGTGAGAGGGCTGGGAACCCTCCTTCGTGCTTCTTCTTATACAAAGAGAAATGTGTCAGACTGAACCCTGACCAAAAGCCTGGTGGAACAGCTCCCTCTTGCAGGCCCTGCGGAAGGATGTCAAATCTCGCAGGGCCCTGTCCTCTTGTGAGAGAGTGTTCCACCAGGCCGGGGCCATGGCCGAAAAGGCCCTGGCTCTGGTCGAGGCCAGTCTAATCTCCCTGGGGCCCAAAATCTTCAGGGTGTTTATTTTTGTAGACTTGGACTTTTCCTCAAAGGTTGTGTATGACACAACATAACCTTTTGTTTTATTATTCCTCCAAGGTGCTCGTGGTTCTTTCATAGGCTCCTTAGTGGAAGAAGGGGAGTTTGAGGGGGACTTCTTCCAGGCACTGGGTTCCCCTTCCTGCCACTATGTGAGGATTAGGTGAGAGCTCTGAAGACTGCTTGCAATCTCCCAGTGGGAGCAATTCCCCATGTCTGTTCGAACTCCTGAAAAAATTAGTCAGAAAATATTAGTCTGGTTGGCTGAGCCATTGGTCTTCTGAGTCCAGGACGAAGGTGGTTAGGAGTTTATTATCCTATTGTTTAGTAAATGTTGAGTTATTTATCCTAAATATCTAGAATGACTCCTAGATTTCCATTTCTGTGCCAGTGGTACTATCCTTTAGCAATACATTGTTTCTCCGTGGGAATTCCTTTAAAAAGAATTATACTTTTCAGTTATATACTTTTCACTGATTTTAATTTTAAAACTTGACTTCCTTCCCCTCTTTCTGAGGTTCCTTAAATTTATTTTTAATATCTTCTGCAAATCCAAATTAACTTATTTATTGATCACACACACACACACCCCTTATATAGCTGCAGGTTATTACAATAATCCTGCCAGTGTTTTTATCTGTTTACAATTTATCTGTAAATATCCAACAAAGCATTTCCATTCTTTTATATATAAAAAAGTTTGTTATCATGATTTCTTCCAGTAGGTTTCGCTATGGGAATTCCAGCACAGTTCTGTTTGCTTAACATCTAAACATTCCAAAACTGTCTGACTTGCAGAAATATCCATTCATGGTGAATGACTAAATAATTTTCAGATTACCTAAGTGATATTACTGTAGGCTTTCAGTAAAGCAGTTTTTGCAAACACAGCTAAGGAGGATTAACGTAACATGAAAGTTTGGTAAGCTTCCACCCCCCACCCCCCAAAAAAACCTGAGAGTTTTTACTATTTTCCTGATCTTCTTGCAGATGGTTTATTGGAAATATGCAAATCTTTTTGTTGTTAAAAGTGCCTTCTTTCGGAATCAGTGAGCTGTTGATTGCTTGGCAATAATGCCTTTGATAAGGCTCTTTATTTCTTCAGAGTAAATCATCTGGAGAAGCTAAAAATAAATTGCTTCCCTAGTATTACGTTTCATGTCATCGGCTGATCTAGCTGTCATAGGGATGTTATTTGATTCCCTTGGGAAGAAGAGGTACCATTCATAATTGTGGTGGGAAGATTTCTCTACAGAGTTGGCCCAAGTAGTCTCTTTGTGTGTTTAAGGATGTGGAAAAATGTCTTCCAGGTATGAGCTGATCCCAGAGGGAAGGATGCAGAGTCTATCAAGGGCATGTCTGCTGTAATTTATCACTCTCTTTTGTCCAGGCCTCCTGAGAAAAAGCTATATATAAAATGTGCTAAATTTGCAGTGGCTTGGGAAGAGATTCAGATCACCAAATATAGGCTGTTATTTATGACCCAAGGCTATATACAGCGTGATCCTATATGTGTCTGCTCTCTTGTTCCTAAATTCCGTGAAACACCCTTTTCTGCTGAAACGGCCTTTCACCTTCCACATGTTCTGAATTCTCCTTGTGCAACTAGAATGCTTATGAGTATTCCACAACTTCAGAGCATATTCCATGATGGCATAGCAGCTTCAGTAGTGGCTGTGTGTGTTGTCTGGTTATTTTATCATTTATTAAATTTATTTATTAAAATTTAATTCTTCCCTTCCTCCTAAAGCAGTCCAGCGTTGCAATTATTCCTAAAACTGACAATAATTCAAGAACCTCCAAGTGTCCCTATTTTCCAGGGACAGTCCTGGATGTAAAGAAGCCGTCCCAGCTTCTGATTTGATCCCAGAATGTCCCACTTTTCCTTAGTAAGGTAAAGGGACCCCTGACCATTAGGTCAGTCATGACCGACTCTGGGGTTGTGGTGCTCATCTCACTTTATTGGCCGAGGGAGCTGGCGTACTGCTTCCAGGTCATGTGGCCAGTATGACTAAGCCGCTTCTGGCAAACTAGAGCAGTGCACGGAAACGCCGTTTACCTTCCCGCCGGAGCGGTACCTATTTATCTACTTGCACTTTGACGTGCTTTCGAACTGTTAGGTTGGCAGGAGCAGGGACCGAGCAACAGGAGCTCACCCCGTTGTGGGGATTTGAACTGCCGACCTTCTGATCGGTGAGTCCTAGGCTCTGTGGTTTAACCCACAGCGCCACCTGCGTCCCTTTTCCTTAGGACGTCGCTATTTTCATGTTGGAGGGTATGGGGTTATGCAACCCCTGAGCCAAAGAGATAACTAACTAACTAACTAACTTCCCTGCATAGGGAAGTTTTTAAATGTTTAATGTTTCATTATGTTTTTACATAAGTTGGCAGCCGCCCATTTTCATTGAAAGAATGTTGGAGGCTATGTAATATCAAGTTAGATAGAATAATTGCTGGGTTTCACCCTGTTTGAGATAAAGAGATGGGAATATAAATCTTCCAGATTAAGAGATGGGAATATAAATCTTCCAGAATTCATTTTGAAGATTCTCACTAGTTATGGTTAGTTTCCATGATTACTCATGTAAATAAACACCTTTGGTTTTATTCAGCTATTCAGTGTTCCGTAACTTAGTCTGCTGACAGAACAATAGTAAAATATTTCTGAAGAATTTCAAACAAACTTTAGACTGATATACGTACGTATATAGCTCAGAGAAGGTACTTACAGCGACATACTGTCCTTGTGTAAGTGAGGCCTTATTCAAGCCAGTATATATATCTTCTTTTGGATTCTTTGAAATGAGTGGCATAATCAAGAGAATCCAGTTCGTACCGTCCCTGCTGTCTAAACTTTTAAAACCCTATAATGAGAGTAATAATAAAATTATACAGTGCTGAACTAACACTTTATAACTTTTAATAAATATCTCCACAGGCATCGTGGGGAGGCTCAGCTTTGCTGTCAAGGAAGCACCGCAAACTTCTGCAAGGCATCCACAGGTAGATGACGTTTAATTTGGAAAGGGGATAATTAAAGTCAAATGCAAGCGTTTTTGAAGTCCCATTGACTTCAGGGTGACCATCATTTCCTCATTGAAACCACAGACACTCACGTTTCATTTCGGATAGATTGTGTCATGCTCACTATGAGGAGGATGATTGGAAACCTGAAAAAAAAAAATGAAGAAAAAGTCTGCTTTATCATATGCAATCACACTGCAATTGCAAAGTAATTTTCTGCTTTTGTCCATTTATCACGTTCGTAGGGCCAATTCAGTGGCATGGAATCCTCATAAGATGCTAATGGCAGGGATCCAGTGTTGCGCCCTTCTGGTGAAAGACAGTTCTGTAAGTCTTCTTTCTTTAATTTCCCAAATGCAACTGAAGTGTGTTTTTGCTGCATTGAGAAAATAGATAAATTAACTTAGGTTTTCCAATACAAAAGCATAACATTGCAGACAATTGCATACAGTGCGTGAGGTGCTGATGAGGGGTGGTGGGAAATACCTGATTTCTGCATGTGAATGACACCCAAACTTCTACTTATTTGCCAGTACAGTGGTACCTCGGGTTAAGTACTTAATTCGTTCCGGAGGTCCGTACTTAACTTGAAACTGTTCTTAATCTGAAGCACCACTTTAGCTAATGGGGCCTCCCGCTGCTGCTGCTGCCACCGCGCCGCCGGAACACGATTTCTGTTCTCATCCCGAAGCAAAGTTCTTAACCTGAGGTAATATTTCTGGGTTAGCAGAGTCTGTAACCTGAAGCGTATGTAACCTGAAGCGTATGTAACCCGAGGTACCACTGTATTTTAAAATTAACAGACCTGTGATTAGCTAATTTAAGATTGTGCGCATGCCCATTTCAAGTAGCAATAGATTAAGGTAAAGGTAAAGGGACCCCTGACCATTAGGTCCAGTCGTGACCAACTCTGGGGTTGCGACGCTCATCTCGCTTTATTGGCCGAGGGAGCCGGCGTACAGCTTCCGGGTCATGTGGCCAGCATGACTAAGCCGCTTCTGGTGAAACCAGAGCAGCACACAGAAACGCCATTTACCTTCCTGCCAGAGTGGTACCTATTTATCTACTTGTACTTTGACTTGCTTTTCAACTGCTAGGTTGGCAGGAGCAGGGACCGAGCAACGGGAGCTCACCCCGTTGTGGGGATTCGACCTGCCGACCTTCTGATCGGCAAGCCCTGTGGTTTAACCCACAGCGCCACCCACATCCCTTAGCAGTAGATTGCATGATTTTAAATAGGTTTGGATCCAGATCAAATTTAAGAAATGTGTATTGGAGTCTACAAATATAGATACAGTTAACATTTTATCATTCTATTTGAGATATATATATATTCATTCTTTTCGGAATTAACGGGATTAGGAAGTGTTTAGAAGTTAAATGCATTAGTGGGCAAAATAATGACTTAAATGAATAGGACTTTGGAAAATATGGGAAGGCATGTTGGAATGTCATTGAATTAACAAAAAAAAGTTGGGGGAAGGTGAAAGGGTTTTTAAATTGATTGAAATGGGAAAGCGCTTGGGATGCAGAGGCAGTGAAATGCAGAGATTAGTAAATCCATTGTAAAAGCACAGATCAATCAAAGCAATTGCTGGGTGTCCTCTTACTTTGACAGGAAGCGCTGGGGAAGATCACAATGTCTCCCAGGCTGTCCTGTTAAAATAAACCTTTCCCTAAACGAACCCTGTCACCACAAGCTTGCATTTAAGTGTCTGCCTTTTTAGCTAGGAGAATCATAACCAAGTAGGCTGGCATACAGCCTTTATACATTTGAGATCCTTTAGAAAATAAAATGTTCACTGTACTGAAAAACATGATATAGATATATTGTCATTTAAAAATTTATACCAAAAGTTGATGTTTGACTGCATCTCCAAATTACAACATTGTTCATCATAGGGTGGATTTGACTTAAATCAAATCGATTTAAATCACGATTTAAATCACTAGTCAGTAAGACTTGATTTAAATCTCTTTTTTTTACAGAAAGACTCATTCTTGCTGGTATAATCTTAATATTTACAACCAGATAAAGTTTTTATTTTTTGAATGATAAATTTTCAGAGTAGTTTTTACCGTTATATCAAAAATTACTGATTTGGTTATACTATTAGAAATACATTGACAGAAAATTATGAAATTATTGTGAGGTTTAGTAAGTTAACTGCTTATATTTGTACAACTTTTCTGCTGTACTTTAATGGAAGGAGAAAAATAATCATTTCCTTAATAACAATTTAAACAATTTATTTAACTAAAACAATAACAGTATAGCATATGTATCCATATTTGTTAACTGATGTGGTTAAACAATTTTTTTAAAAAAACTTACTGCGTTTTAGCGCACTTGAAAAACTTAAATCATTTCCTGATGAATAGCTTTTGGACTATAACATAACTTAAATGTTATGCCAGTGAGAGCCAGTGTGGTGTAGTGGTTAAGAGCGGTAGTTGCGTAATCTGGGGAACCGGGTTCGCGTCTCCGCTCCGCCACATGCAGCTGCTGGGTGACCTTGGGCTAGTCACACTTCTCTGAAGTCTCTCAGCCCCACTCACCTCACAGAGTGTTTGTTGTGGGGGAGGAAGGGAAAGGAGATTTTTAGCTGCTTTGAGACTCCTGAAGGGGAGTGAAAGGCGGGATATCAAATCCAAACTCTTCTTCTTCTTCTTCTTAAATAGAAAACTATCTTTAGGAAGATTTTTCCTCCAAAAGCATTTTATTTTAAAAATCTGATTTAAATAAAGAAAATCCAATTTAAAAAATAATAATCATTGATTTTTATCCACCTTGGTTCATCAAATATATAAAGGTTCCAGATTTGTGTAAATTCAGCGAACAGGTTATTTTTTCATATGATTAGTTGGTAATTATTTTGGATCCAGTAGAGCTGTCCTGGCATAGAGCAGAATGTACATATAGCAATACTGCATGAATATTCACTTTAGCAGGGGAAGATGTTTCATGCACATAGTTCATAATGTACATGAATTGTTCATCAGCATCGTAAGGAGCGTTGTGAGCTCCTGTTTTGGCAGGCTTTGGGTAGCACGTTAGAATCTCTGAGTTTTTGTTTACATCCTAACTCTACGTCTGCATACCCATATACCAGTGGCTAGGCAGATGTGAGATACTCATGCACTGGTGTACAGATACAAAAGAACAAAAAGCATTATGTGGAAAAAGAAAACATGGTTATGTATCGAAGCACAATATGGCTCAAGCTTAACTGACAAGGGTGACAGAAATCGCATCAGGAAGTCTGCTCCATGACTTTGAAAGGCCACGTTCCACACTGGAGAATAATGTTTGCAAACCGGGAAACCTTTCCAATTCCCATGTTGCATAATTAGTATTCCGAGACACAGTTTCTCAGAGAACTGCTAATTTAGTTTTCTGCAGTGTTGAGGTCGTAGAGGGGGGAAAAAGATGAAGGGAGTGATGGCAGGTGGGCAGCAATAGCCATGGAATCAAAACAAGAAGATGCATCCATGGCCACTGTAAGGCTGGGTTCATACGTATACCCCCAATTCTTCATTCTTCATCCAAAGTTGCTTACAACCAAGGCACTTGCAAAGGAAAGATGGGAAGAACTTTAAGGTATACAGTATTTTGAAAAGATACCTGTTTCCATACTTGGAACTGGTTGAAAGTACACACATGTTGACTTCCGGGTTGGTGCCTCCGGCAATGGCTGAATTTCTCTGATCGGGAGGAATTTGCCCCGTGGGAATTTGGGTCTGTACCGCCACGGCAAAGGTGGAGACCTGTAAAAATCACAGGCGGGAGAAGCCTGTGAAGGTGGGATTTGGCGGGCACCTTTTGCGCCTCCCCTACTCGCGGGGGAACCCGATTTCGGGGACCCGGAGCGACGTGGGGTGAGTGGCGCGGTGCTTCGAATCGTCTTGCTTCTTCCACGGAGCGAAGCCGCATAGCTGTTGCCGGAGAGAACTGACTTTTTCCTGTGGACAATTTGACTCCAAAGTAATTACCTGTGAGTAGAGCTGATACGGGAGCATCGGATTTTAAACGTTTAATTGGACATCGAAACGGGGAGGTTCAAAACAGGAAGTCCGCCTTCCCTATTTGTAAATAGACTGAGGCAAGGAGTCTGTAAGCTGAAGTCTTGGAAAGCCTTTTGTAAAAGATTAAATTTCCATCGGCAAAGAGTATAAAATCCCCCTTGGAGGCAGGAGAAGAGGGGGGGAAGTTGTGGACTGAGTATGCCTGCAGGAGAGAGTAAAGAGAGTTAAAATACTGCCGCTCTGACCCTGGAAACGGGCTGCTAGTAGGACTGACGTTTTGGAATGTCCATTGACAGCACTTAGAATGTTCCTTGACAGCTAGCAAAATAAGAGAGATATATTGTTTCTACTGTCTCCGGCTGCTTCTAAAAAGGAGTAATAAAGTAACTGAAAACTGAAACTAACTTTGGATTGTACGAGTTGCGCTTAAAGGTGACATTCTTGATTATTATAAATAGAAACTGTTTCCCCCTAGTGGAAGTTTCTGAAATTGATTACTTTATAAGAGCTGGGCTAGGGGAGTTTCCAGCTGCAAGATAAAAACTGTGTGACTCTGGGATTGACCTTGAATCTCTTAAGTGTTATGGCAAATGGAAAGGAAAGAACAGATGAAATGTTAACAGAAGAGGCCTTAGTGGTCGCATTATTGAAAATAAATGACTCGCTGGAACAGCTTCACAAGAAAACAGAAGTGATGAATGTGAAAGCGGATGCTGCAAATAATAAAATTGATTTAATTGTAGAAAGTTTAAATAATCTGGGACAAAAGGTGAACACCAACACAGAAACCACCCAGAAATTGACACAGGAATCTACTTTAATACGGCAAACTGCGGATGAAGTCAGGGAGAAAACCTTTGCTGCTGAATGTAAAACAACACAATTGGAGTGTGAGAGAGCCCCATACATTCAAAAGCAACTTGACGAATATAAGCTGACATTTGCTATGATGGAGCTTAAAGAAAAACAAATGAATTTGAGGATCAGAACCCCACCAGAACTGGGAAAGGAAAGTTCGACAGAGCTTCAGGAGGAGACAGGATCAACATCGGCTGAGAAAGAGAGATTTTTGGCGGTCAGTAGGACCGCCAAAAATGTGAATTTACTTAAGGGCAACTGTGAAGGACGTTGGATTGAAGAGAAGGGGGATTGGGAAATATGGACAAATCTGAAGTTGTTATGGTTGGGCCGAGCTGTTGTGGTGGGGATGAGGGTTGCTGTGTTGCCGGGGATGTTGCTTTTGTGTCAAAAAGTGCAAGTTTTGGATGGGAGGGATTGTTTCAGGAGGTGGCAGAGGGATGTTCCTGGATTGGTTTGGCAGGGCAGGAAGCCTCGAGTAAAATTTAAGATATTGATGGATGCTAAAGAAGGAGGTGGACCTGCCCTGCCAGACACCTAAACTTTGTTGTGAATCATCTGCTTTTTGCTGGCTGAGAGAATGGCTGTCTCTTAAAAGCACTGAAGTGTTGGATAATGGCAGATGAAGTTGATGGACTAGACGGAATTGGCGGAAAAGATTGGCAAGATCCGAGACCAGGGAGAAGAGTCGGTGGAAGAAGACTGGGAAAAGTTTAAAGACTATTTATAGAAATATTGTAAAATTAATGAATGTTAGAAGAATGTTGGAATGAAATTATATGGCTTCAGTAGAAATGTTATAAGGAATTAAGCATAAATAGATTAATAGAGTATTAAAGGAAAATAAGGTTAAAAGGTGTTAAGATAATTATAGGATAGAAAACAGGGGAAGATGGTAAGGAATTGCTGAAATAATTAATAGAAGTGGAATACAAAAAGGGAGGTGTGAGGAGGCCGTGGAAATATGGGAAAGAAAGATAAGATATTGGAAGTTTTTTCTTTTTTCTTTTTTTCTTCTTTTTTTTTTCTTCTTTCTTTTGATGTGTTTTTAAATTGTTTTTGTTTTGTTTTGTTAATTTTTATGTAGTGTTTTTGTATTATAATGTATTGTTTTTTATTTTGTAAGTGTTTAAATTGTTGTAAAAGCAATAAATATTATTATAAAAAAAAAGAAAGTACACACATGTTGAATTCCTGCAGTTTTGAGATAATTATCTAAGTCAGCGGCGTTGCGTATTTAGCAGATTAATTGCGCTGCAGAAAGCGTGCTGGGGAGACCACACGTTCAGGAAACAACGAAGAAACGCAAAAATATCTTTTGCTTGGCTTTAATTACAAAAACAAAAACTCCTCTTACATTAAATCTATGAGTATGATTCACCAGGGTACTGAGAGAGGCACACGCTGCTCTTTGTATACTATACCCAATTGCTGACACAGCTTAATTAACACAACTTAACAGCACCTGCTATACAATGAACCTTAATATTTAAATAAACCATTCAACAAATGGTGTCCAATTTTTTTTCAAAGAGTGCCAGATTTGATGAAGTGAAGGGCCGTGAGGGGCGACCAAAGGGCCAACCAGTTATTGACCTATTTTTAGGATTGAAGTTGTTGACCTTTTTTTAGGGTTTTACCCCAGGAAGTAAACTGCCACAGGGGCTGGATTAAACCAACCGGCAGGCTTTTTTTTTTTTATAATAATTTTTATTAAAATTTCAATCAGAAATTAAACAACAAAAAAAGAAAGGAAAAACATCAAAGAAATATACACAGATACACCATACAAATATCAAAGAGAAAATAAAAAAAACACAAAAGACAAAAATCAACAATAAAAAAGAACATAACAATTAAAAACAATATCTCTTTTCCATTTCCGTTTTTAAATTTACTTATTTTCTGGACTTCCTCGTACCTCCCTCTTTTGTATTCCAATCCAAATTGTTAGTCCAGCAATTTCTTTTCCACCTTTTTAATCCCAGTCTTTAATTTAATATAATATTGAAATATATAACTTCAACTTCTTTAAACCTAATCTTTAGTCTTAATGTAATGTAACATTAAAATTTTACCTCTTAATTGTCAAATTTCCATTTCATTAAACATCTTTAATCCTAATCTTTAGTCTTAATCTGTCATTAACCTTAACCTGTACAGCTGGAAACCGCTTATTTTCAGTCCAACATCACTCTAACATTCTTTAATTTTGCAATGTTTCTGAAGATAGTCTTTGAATTTCTTCCAATCTTCCTCCACCGACTCTTCTCCCTGGTCATGGATTCTACCAGTCATTTCCGCCAGTTCCATATAGTCCATAAGTTTCATCTGCCATTCCTCCAGCATGGGAAGTTCTTGTGTCTTCCAATACTTTGCGATGAGTATTCTTGCTGCTGTTGTTGCATACATAAAGAAAGTTCTATCCTTTTTTAACACCATTTGGCCGACTATGCCCAGGAGAAAGGCCTCTGGTTTTCTTTTTGCCCTTCAATCTGCAGGCTCCATTTCCTGAGTCAGTGTTTCGATTTCTTCGTTTATTTCCTCTTGGGTTAAGGCTAAGGGGTTGGGACTTGCCTCAGGCCGCCATGAGCTCATTGCTGAAGTGAGATTTCAGCCAGAGGACTTAGTGGCTCCAATCTCATTTCCTCATACTGCAACCCACAAACATAATAGGGAGTCAGACACATTGAATACATGAGGCCTTAACTTCCAGGTGACATGTCTAGGATTGCATTGTTAATCACTCTACTGCAGCCATCCGTCTTCATGAGGAAGATTAGTCGCTTCTTGTTGGCAAAGTGTTGCTCATTCTTAATTTCCATGCATAATTATTTGTCAGTTTGCTGGGATGGGCTGCAATGTTTAGTCAGTTAATTGGTTAGGTGAATTGTTTGAAAACATTTTGATTGACTGGGGGAAAAAAAGGTCCTCAGTTAACCCGGCAGCAAATCTCGTAATACTACTATAATACTACTATAAAAAAACCTTGTAGATGAAAAGGCCCACCTGTCAGCTCTAAAAAGTGTAGATAAAGAGAGGCATTGCTTCCCGGGTGAGAGAGTTCTCCTTCCAAGATGCTACCTGCTGTGATACATCATCTGAAAACAGAGAATGTGTCTTGTTTTTTCTTTAGAACTATTTTTCAGATACAGTGGTACCTCAGGTTAAGTACTTAATTCGTTCTGGAGGTCTGTACTTAACCTGAAACTGTTCTTAACCTGAAGCACCACTTTAGCTAATGAGGCCTCCTGCTGTTGCCGCGCCGCCGGAGCACCGATTTCTGTTCTCATCCTGAAGCAAAGTTCTTAACCTGAAGCACTATTTCTGGGTTAGCGGAGTCTGTAACCTGAAGCGTCTGTAACCTGAAGCGTATGTAACCTGAGATACCACTGTAACACAAACTTATATGCATCAAGGTCTAAAATCCTTGCTTAATCAGCAGAGATTTCTTCCATCTTATGACAACCCTGGTTAAAATCACAGGATCAGGGAGGTTGTCACACAAATTGCTTAGAACTGTGGTGCCCGTGGAGTCTCCGCAAGCCACCCATTTGTGAGATGTCATACTGCACATAGATATTGAATGTCTGCTGAAAACGTTCCTGTTCTGCCAGGCAATTAAGAATACACCCCCACAATGGTCAGTTGGTGTTTGTTTTTCATTTCTTTCTGCTGTTAACTTTTTATGATTTTATCAACTGGTTTTTATGTTTTCATACTGTTGTAAACGGCTGTGATTTTCGCCCCCGATACAGTGGTATATAAATATTATTTTTAAAAATAAATAGATATATAAATATTCTCCTAGAGACTTCCATTGATCTATTTATTTGTTCAATGTCAGGCTTCGGGAAATTCTATCCCTCCCCTGGTCGCAGCAAGAAGCATAGAAAAGATAGAAAAACAAAGAAGAGTTCTTACTTAATGAGTTTATTCAATCATCACAGCGAGAGATGAAGGAAGGCAGTCCGTCTCCCATTAATGGCGTCGCTCCAACTGAGCTCCTTCCCCCTCCCTTCCAAGCAACACCACTTCCCCATACGGTGGCTGCCAGGGGCTAATTTTCTCTGAGTCTTTTGCTCTTGCACTCTCAACGAACGCCGCGATCTGGGAGAAAGGGGGTTCAGAAATACTCTCCAGTGAGAACATGTTAACTGGCTGCTCTGCCTCCCCTGGCTCTGCCTCCCCTCTCCTTTCTCCCAACTCTTCTGTCTGTCTGTCTCTGAGCTGTGACCTTCCTCAAACCACTGCTGTAATTCAACGCTGCCTTCCTCTTCTCTGGAAGCTTCAGGAGAAGTGGGGCGGCGATCTCCACCATTCTTCCTCCATCTCGTCCCCTTCAGTCCAGTCTCTGACATTCAAGCACATAGTTAAGCTGATGGAATTTGCTTCCATGTGATGTAGTGATAGGTGGATAGGTGGATTTTAAAAGAGCTAAGAAGGCAAACCTGCGGAAGTTAATGTTATCCATGGCTGCTGGTCACAATGGCTACATGCTGCCTCCAGGAGGAGAAGGATGCCTCTGAACTCCACTTTCTGCTCAACAACTGTCGGAGAGGGAGATTGCTATCTTGTCCTGTGTTTGTGTCAACAAAGGCAACTGGTTGGCCACTGTAGAATTGGGATGCTGGATTTATAGTCCCTTTTAGGACTATAAATGGCTCCTCTCTTCCTTAAAGTAAAGGTAAAGGGACCCCTGACCATTAGGTCCAGTCATGGCCGACTCTGGGGTTGCGGCACTCATCTCGCTTTATTGGCTCAGGGAGCCGGAGTACAGCTTCCGGGTCATGTGGCCAGTATGACTAAGCCGCTTCTGGCGAACCAGAGCAGCGCACGGAAACACCGTTTACCTTCCCGCTGGAGCGGTACCTATTTACCTACTTGCACTTTGACGTGCTTTTGAACTGCTAGGTTGGCAGGAGCTGGGACCAAGGAACGGGAGCTCACCCCGTCGCAGGGATTTGAACCACTGACCTTTTGATCAGCAAGTCCTAGGCTCTGGTTGAATCCACAGCGCCATCCACGTCCCCCTCTCTTCCTTAAGTAGATTTAATTGTCAGAAGCTGTCTGGCTAAAAAAAAATTTTAAGCTGTTTGTACTTTTAATATTGTGTGCTGTTTTAGTGCTTTATAGCTGCTTTAGATCATTATTATTATTATTGTGAATGGTTTTAGAATTGCTTAAGTTATTGTTTTAATTCACTCTGCTTCCTTGTTGAGGAAATGCGGGGTATAAATGTTTTAGCAGATGAATATTGGATAGATAGATACGCAGAGAGGAATCTTCTGCTCCAACCTGTCAGTACCCATAGATGAGAAAATTGGCTCCTTTTCAATCCAGGACTTGTGTTTTGTACATGATGCTGAATAGCTTGTGTCTGGTATGCATATGTTTTAGGTTTTGCCTTGACATATTCCCCCCTCTGTTTTATTATAAGCTTGACAGAGCTATCTGTGCTATATTGTAATGCAGATTAAAGGCTGTACATTCAGTTACAGAAATACAGACACTTTCATTAGGCATAATGTCAGAGTCCTTGTAAACCCGTTCCTGCAGCAGACAGGCAGGAAGAGGTGCAGAGAAGTGCCATCAAATACTAAACTTATTTTCTGTCTGTTCACAGTGGACATCTTCTATATTCAGTTTTAAAGTGGATTGTGTGAGATGATATTCGGCAATATCATTATGAATCGGTGTGCGGTTCTATAGCCTTCACGCTCTGCTGGGAAATTGGGCAGGATATCTTTAACCTGAACATTGGCTTGCAGGCCAATTATATTTCCAAAAGCAACTTATTGGACAGAGCTGAATCAGAATTGAAATTGGCCCCATTACTGGCTTTAATTCTCTTTTCTAGCTCTTCTGTTTCTCTCCAGCACCTTCTGACTACATGCTTCCAGTGACTTTTTTGCTCAGCGCCTCTTGCCCAGTTATCAATCTGCATCCTTCTCCCACAACTTTCCATTCTGACCTGTGTGCCTCTAATGCAAATAAATTTTATAAATAAAAATTATTATTATTATTATTATGCATTTCCAAGTATTTTCGTACTTCCATAAGTGTGCAGGATTTCGTAGTCAAAACGTTTGGTGTTCCTTGGTGCAGAATTCATACCTGATTGATGCACAGACTTTGCTTCTCCTCATCCTTTTCCTTTTTCAAGCCCTTCTCTGTATCATTTCTCACTTTTTCATGTGCCCAATTTTGTGACTCAGTGGTCAGAACTTAGCATCTTGGGAAACATGGGATGTCTCCCAGTAGCTCCCTGAGTGATCTTCTTCTTTGGCGATCACTCGTAGCCAAGTAAGATTGTCTTCCATAAACACGGTTTTACTTTCTTTTTTTAAAAAAAATAATTTTTTATTAAGTTTTCAGTAAAAGATTAAACAGAAAAACATAAAAAAGAAATACACAAATACACATAAAAAAGAAATACACAAATACACAGTACATAATCCAAAGGAAGAAAAAAAAAACAATTAAAAAGAATCACCTTTTCATTTCCGTGTTTAAATTTACTTATTTTCTGGACCTCCTCATACCTCCCTCTTTTGTATTCCAGTCCAAATTGTTTGTCCAGCAATTTCTTTTCCACTTTTTTTATTCCCAATCTTTAATCTTTAATATAATATAGCATTAAAATTTTACCTCTTAAAATACCAAATTTCCATTTCCTTAAACTTCTTTAATCCTAATCTTTAATCTTAATCTATCTATAACTTTAAATCCTGTACAGCTGGAAACCACTTATTTTCAATCCAACATCACTCTAGCATTCTTTAATTTTGCAGTGTTTCTGTAGATAGTCTTTGAATTTCTTCCAATCTTCCTCCACCGACTCTTCTCCCTGGTCACGGTTTTAACAATGAGTCCGTAAGTGACTGTGGAGGCCAATTCTGGATTCACACGTCCTTCCACATTGGTTTTTTCTTTATTTTCCTTTTACAGTATCTCGCTTTCTTTTTCTTTGGGTTTCTCCTTTCCTTGCCTTTTTCTCCCTTCTGGCTTTGTTCTCTTTTAGACCAAGTAGCTGTTTTATCTCAGTGTGTTATAAAAAATATACTTTGTAATGGGTATGTAATTTTGTATATCTTTCAATAAGTATCAATAAACATTTTTTAAATTTATTTTTTCAAGGCTAGTTCGGTGAAGATGTAAACTCAGTGTTGGGCTACTGTGAAAAAGGCAGATTCTATGCTAGGGATTGTTAGGAAAGAACCTGAAGATAAAAGTGCTGATTCCATAATGCCATTATACAAATCTCTGCTGTGTGTACACCTTTGGTCACCTCACCTCAAAAAGACTGCACTCAAAAAAGAGTACAGTCATACCTTGGTTTTCTAATTTAATCCGTTCTGGGAGTCCATTCAACTCCTGGAACAGTTCGAAAACCAAGGTGCGGCTTCCGATTGGCTGCTGGAGCTTCCTGCAGCCAATCGGAAGCTGTGTGAGCCGCGTTGGACATTCGGCTTCTGAAAACCATTCGAAAACCAGAACAATTACTTTGGTTTTCGATCATTCCAGCAGTCAAAACGTTTGAGTTCAAAGGCGTTCGGCTTCTAAGGTTCCACTGTATTTTAGCATTGGAGCGACTCCCCCTATGAGAGTCGCAGTATTTGGGACTTCTTAGTCAAGAGAAAGAGCGAGTTAAGGCAGAAATGTATAAAATCATGCATGACATGGGAGACAGTGCATAGAGAACAGTTTTTCACCTTCTCGGACATGCAGTGAAGCTAAATGTTGGAAAACTCAGGGAGGTCAAAGGAGCTACCATATTTTTCGCTCTATAACACGCACCCGACCATAACATGCACGTAGTTTTTAGAGGAGTAAAACAAGAAAAAAAATATTCTAAACGAAACAGTGGATGTATGATTTTTGTGGTTCATGCTGTGGCCACAGACATGTGATCTGACAGTGAGTTTGGAGTAGCCCAATGCAAAAATCCTGAGGATCCATGTGGATCCATGCTTTGTAACCACGTTTTAAGTGGGGAGGGAAGGAAAAGCACTCAAGGGACAAGGAGCACGCGTGGGGTGGGTGGAGAAGGATGCTGCTAATAATGCAGAAGAGGGGTATAAGGGGAGAAGGCTCCTCTCCTCTCCCGCTTTGCTCCTTTAAAGCAAGCCGACTCTGCTTTTCTTCCTCCTCCCCGCTCATCCCCGGCTTAGCGAGCTGAAAAACTTTGCTGCTATGTAGCGAGCTGAGTGGGGAGGAGAGAGGGACAGAGAGCCTGCTTGCTTTAAAGGAACCAACCGGACAGGAGCCGCTTACACTCGTGTAAGCGGCTCCTCTCCTCTCCCACTTTGCTCCTTTAAAGAAGCAGGCTCTCTGTCCCTCTCTCCTCCCCACTCAGCGGCTCTTCTCCTGCTCTTCTCGCGCCTTGCTGTTTCAAAGCGAGCCACGGAGGAGGGAAGGAAGGGGAACCATGGATCCTCTGCTCACGACTGCAGCAGATCCCCCCCGCCACCCGTAGGCATTCCCTCCATAACACGCACAGACATTTCCCCTTACTTTCTAGGAGGAAAAAAGTGAGTGTTATGGTGCAAAAAATATGGTACTTCCTCACACAGCACATAGTTAAACTACAGCATTCACTCCCACAAGAGGCAGTGATGATGGCCACCAACTTCGATGGTTTTAAAAGAGGATTTGACATATTCTGGGAGGATACTGCTATCAGTGGCTTCTAGCTATGATGACGGTGCTGTGCCCCCATGCCAGCTGCTGGAAAAAGGTCAGCTATTGTGATAACAGGGTCCTGGACTAGAAGGGCCGTTGGCCTGATCCTGCAGGCTCTTATGTACCCAGCTGCGAAGACCACGCTGGGAATATATTACATCCCCAAGACCTCGACAGGTAGTCTAGGGTACTGTCCAGATTCTGCTGAACTCCAATGCCTATCAACCCTGGCCAGTGACCTGGAAGATACTACGTTGGCTAGCCTTGCGTAATCATAAATTATTAACACAAAAATCAGATATTCAGAGCTGGTGTAGTTTGGTGGCTAAGATGTGAGATTTGAATCTGGTCCCTAGTTCACATCTGTCAGAAGCTACCTGGAATTATTATTATTTATTGAATACCGCCCTATACCCAGAAGTCTCATCGATGTTTTTTTGTACATTTTCTGTGCACAAAAGTGATTCCTCTGCTGACATCTCAGTTGAGGTTCTCTGGTGAAAAGGTTTTTGTACCAGCCCACAACAGTTATTAGAATGTTATCTGTAGATTCCTAAACCTAATGGTTAAGTTCAAGACATAGTCTTAGAAATCCTAGGTTAATAAAATGTTATAATTTGAGGCTGGGGATGGGAGGGCCTTTCTTTTTCTTCTTCCAACAATCTTCTGTACAACCATGCGAGAAAATACCAAAGGTTAGACTGTCAGAATCCTAAGAAAACTTCTGAAACCAATAAAAATTGCATAGCAATTGAGACATCTCACCTTTTAATCTGAGCAGCTTATTTTTAGCCCCGTGTTTCTCATTCCTTCAGCTTGCTCTTTACATACCTATATTGGTTGATTTTGCTGTCCTTGAAATTCATTTTCAAGACACATTCATTGTGGTTTACTATTCCAGTGCTCATCACTACTCAGATGTTATGCGTTAGGAGGTGAGAAATAAAGAGGCAAAGACACAGGTTGTGGGATAAACTAGAGCCACTTTCACACAATTGTAGAGTTGCAAGAGACCCTGACAGTCATCTAGTCCAGCCCCTTGAAATGCAGCAATCTCAACTAAAGCATCCCTGACAGGTGGTCATCCCAACTTCTTCTTAGAAACCTTCAAGGAAGGAGAGCCCACCACCTCCCAAGGGAGTCCGTACTACTGTCAAACACAGGCTTCCTCAAACTTGGCCCTCCAGATGTTTTTGGCCTACAACTCCCATGATCCCTAGCTAGCAGGACCAGTGGTCAGGGACGATGGGAATTGTAGTCTCAAAACATCTGGAGGGCCGAGTTTGAGGAAGCCTGGTCAAACAGATCTTACTGTCAGATACAGTGGTACCTCTGGATGCGAACGGGATCCGTTCCGGAGCCCCGTTCGCATCCAGAAGTGAACGCAACCCACGTCTGCGTGTGCGCGGGTCGTGATTTGCGTCTTCTGCGCATGCGCATGACGTCATTTTGACCGTCTGTGCTCCGTTACTTCTGGGTCGCTCGCAACCCGAAAATACTTATCCCGAAGCTACTTCAACCCGAGGTATGACTGTAATTCTTTCTGATGTTTAGTTGGAATCTACTTTCTTGTGACTTGAATCCATTGATTTGGGTCCCAGCCTCCAGAGCAGGAGAAAACAAGCTTGCTCCATCTTCCATGTGACAGCCCTTTATAACTTCAGCACTTAAGAACTTATTAAACTTTCTGAACTGCATCAGGGGAATTAGACCACGTGGTGGAAAATCCCAAAAGCTTCTTAAACTCCTAAGCCTGCTGGCCATGGGCTAGCCCACCCCGCAGAGTGTCAGGCTGGTCTTAAACCCAACTCTTTCCCCTCTTCCGCACCCTTAAAGGCAGATGTTCCCCATCCATGGCCTCCCCAAGCTGCACAACCTGGAGTGAGTGACCCAGGTTCCCCTCAAAAGTGGTTCATATTGTGTACCACAAGGTCGCAAAGCCCTGTGTGCGAGTCTCTGGAGTCGCTATTCGCCTGAAAGTGCCTCAGGATACTTAATATTTTTTCCACCTCTTAACTTTCCTTTCCCTCCCACCATACAGGCCTTCTGAAACCAATAAAAATTGCATAGCAAGTATCTGCTATCCACAGGCTTTATATTGACTGTTTATTGAGAGACCTCACATTTACATTTCAATTTCTTACTTTTAGTCCTGTGTTTCCCATTCCTTCTGCATTCTGTTTGCAGGTGTTGTTCCTGAAATTCATTTTCAAGGCACATTCATTGCAGTTTAAGATTCCAGTGCTCTAGATGTTTTGCAATGGCATTTTCTATGGAATTAATTTGGAGAGTAAAAAGCCAATGAATCACTGAGTGAAATAATTTCATTTTAAAGCTGGAATCATCATGTAATAAAATGGTCTCCCTGCTGCCTGGTTTTAAATGTGAAGCACTATAGAATTTTAGAGAGAGATCAGAGTTGATGCTCTTCTTGAGTGTATCTTTATGGTGCGGAGTGAGAGAGTTATATGATAACATTTAGAAGCTGCGCATGGTAATAATGAAACATTTCACTGCCCATCGGTGCAGGTGCTAATGTGGAAAACCTTCGAGCATGTGGCTGTCATTTGTCTCTGAAGCCCATAAACCACTGAGAATTGTGAAAGAAACATCATGTAGCCTTGAACAAGATTCAGCAACAATTTACTTAACAGTGCAATCCTATACATGTCTACTCAGAAATAAGGCCTACTGAGTTCAATGGGGCCTGCTCTCAAATAAGGGAGGATAGGATTACGGGGGGGGGGGGGGACAAACATAAAAAGATCCTGGCCTGAGATAGTAGTAATCATTTTAATAATAATAATAATTTATTATTTATACCCCGCCCATCTGGCTGGGTTTCCCCAGCCACTCTGGGCGGCTTCCAACAGAATATTAAAATACAATAGTCTATTGTAGTCTCCATCGTTCTGCCCGGACACTGAGGTCCAGCGCCGAGGGCCTTCTGGCCGTTCCCTCACTGCAAGAAGCCAAGCTACAGGGAACCAGGCAGAGGGCCTTCTCGGTAGTGGCACCTGCCCTGTGGAATGCCCTCCCACCAATGTCAAAGAGAAAAATAACTACCAAACTTTTAGAAGACATCTGAAGGCAGCTTTTAATGTTTAATAGGTTATTGTATTTTAGTGTTTTGTTGGAAGCCTCCCAGAGCGGCTGGGGAAGCCCAGCCAGATGGGCAGGGTATAAATAAATTATTATTATTATTATTATTATTATTATTTAAACATTAAAAGCTTCCCTAAACAGGGCTGCCTTCAGATGTCTTCTAAAAGTCTGGTAGTTGTTTTTCTCTTTGACATTCGATGGGGGGGGGGGCGTTCCAAAGGGTGGGTGCCACTACCGAAAAGGCCCTTTGCCTGGTTCCCTGTAACTTGGAGATGTTGTGTGCCTGTGTTTTAAATACAAATTCCTGGAGCTCCTTGGCTATTGTTGAGTCAGTTTCTGGAAAGAGTTTACAGCAGTTATTCCGAGCTATAGGACAGATGCAGAATTGGATAGTGCGGTTCAAGCACAAGGTTTGTAGGGATTCAATGTGCCAAGTAATTACACCCATTGCCTTGCATTAAATTTAAATTACAGCAAATCTGTTTTGTGAATAAAATCAAGGCCCTACTAATTTATGGAATGAAATTCAGTTCCTAATACAGATGGAGATAAGTTAGCCACCAGCTACCCGAATTTATTCCCCTTAAATCCTCCTTTTTCCAAAGAGGTTTGGAATTGCTGAGCTCATCATTTTGCTGGTATCTTGGTAACCATGGCTCCTATTTTGAAACTGTAGCTCCCACAGCAAAGCCAGAACTTAAAGGGTCCGTGCTGCACACAAAAAAGGGAAGCATCAGCTACATTATTGCATTCCAACATTTTTAATTACCTGTCGTGAATACTGTAAAGGTAAGACTCATGCTGTTTCATCTCATGTTGCCTCTTATAACAGGACTTGCTTAAGCGATGCTACTCTGCCAACGCGTCCTACCTGTTCCAGCAAGACAAGTTCTATGACGTCAGCTACGACACAGGTGACAAATCGATCCAGTGTAGCAGAAGAGCAGATGCGTTCAAGTTCTGGATGACCTGGAAGGCCCTGGGCACAACTGGCCTGGAGGAGAGAGTAAACAGAGCCCTTGCATTAGCCAGGTAAAGGTAAAGGGACCCCTGACCATTAGGTCCAGTCGTGACCAACTCTGGGGTTGCGGCGCTCATCTCGCTTTATTGGCCGAGGGAGCCAGCGTTTGTCAGCAGACAGCTTCCAGGTCATGTGGCCAGCATGACTAAGCCGCTTCTGGCGAACCAGAGCAGTGCACAGAAACGCTGTTTACCTTCCCGCCGGAGCAGCACCTATTTATCTACTTGCACTGGTGTGCTTTCGAACTGCTAAGTTGGCAGGAGCAGGGACCGGGCAACGGGAGCTCACCCCGTTGCGGGGATTCGAACCGCCAACCTTCTGATCAGCAAGTCCTAGGCTCTGTGGTTTAACCCACAGCACCACCCGCGTCCAGGCGTTAGCCTTTCAATTCTGAAGGTTTTGACACCAAGTGTATAAAATCATGTCAAGTTAAGGAATGATGAGTTGTTGCGAGAAGATCCATCTATTAAGCTTAACGTGTATTTTTACTAAGTGCCCTAACGTAGCCTTGCCGGAAAATTCTGGACATGTACGGAAATTGGACGCCTAAAATGGCATCCGCGGGGAATATTTTTCTGGGGGCTTTTCATGGAGTGCACTGTGAGGGCTCCATCCACCCATGGCGCCACTGCTGTTGGCACTGGCTGCTGCCTCCCTCGCTTGGACGTGTGCGGCTGCCCTGTCGGGGAACCACTTTAGCATGAGGCAGCAGGACTGTGTCCTGAGCTTGGAGGCCCCTTGCAGTGCCATCACCTGGCATGCCTTTCCCTGGGCCCTGAACCCACCGTTTACATCTCTGAGCCTGCCCACCCAGCCAACAAGGTGTGAGCGCTCCTCCCTGACGCTTCCCACTGTCTCCTGCAGGTAAATGGAAGGCAGCGTGGGCTCGTGTGCAAGTGTGTGTGTGTGTGTGTGTGTGTGTGTGTTATTCCAGAAACTGGAAGCGAGAGCATTGCTTTCACTCTCCATGAGCTCTGTGATCCAGGGAGTTTGGGTGGCCTCTAGCCTTAGCAGAATAGGCTCTCCCCCACCCTCCCCTCTCAGCCTGAGGCAACTCTGTTGTTGCAGGAGGCTGGGTGGGTCCTTGCAGGCAGCGGTGGGAAAGGAGAGTGGATTTGAAGGGGAGCTGCAGAGACAGCAGGGCAGCAATGGCCAGAGGCGTCCACCAAGGAAAGCAGGAAGGCAGAGGGTCCAGGGTGGGTATTGGGCTTTGGGGAAATGAGGGGCACCAGTTACGGCAGCTGCATTATTACATGGAATGGATTAACTGTGATGGTGGGGCGGGCAGTGGGCGCTGCCTCGCCTCCTCTGCCTTCTTGTAGGGGTCAGTTGTGGATTTTTCGGCGTTTTCCTTAAAAAAGGTCAACAATTTTGGTGTTTTCCGTTTTGAAATACAGTGGTACCTCGGGTTACATACGCTTCAGGTTTCATACGCTTCAGGTTACAGACTCCACTAACCCAGAAATAGTGCTTCAGGTTAAGAACTTTGCTTCAGGATGAGAACAGAAATCATGCTCCGGCGGCAGCAGGAGGCCCCATTAGCTTCAGGTTAAGAACAGTTTCAGGTTAAGTACAGACCTCCAGAACAAATTAAGTACTTAACCCGAGGTACCACTGTATGACAAGCCTACCTAATGTGAAAGTATAGCCGGGAAAATGAGAGACCCTGAAACGAATTGTCACAGTTCAGTTATTATAATGTTAGTCTTGTAAACCATGATTCTAATAATAATATTAAAAGCTTCCCTAAACATTAAAACATTAAAAGATTCCCTAAACATTCCCTAAAATGTAACCTCTTGAAAGTTTCAGAGGGCACAGAACACTATGCCTAGATTTTTTTTAGTGCTTCGTTGTGTGGGGGGTTACAGGGTGGTGAGTATCAGAGTTGAGTTTAGACGTCTGGATTTGTACTATCACCTCCATCGCACTAATCTGGTCCTGGGGTGGGTGGGAGTGTCAGTTTGTGGTTTGCCTCAAGGCCCCAAAATGTATTTCCCCGGGACATTCACAGAATTACAGAAGCAATCCTGTGGTTTCTGATTTCATCTGGGAATACCCTGGTTTCCCCCCTCCAGGATTACATCTGCAGAAAAGACTCCGCTATGTAGAATGAACTCAGCCAGAAATGAAGTTCTATAGAGGCAGATACTCTGAAAAACAAAGCCGTTGTGGTTTTGCGGAATAGATGTCCTTGAAGCTTGCTGAACAAACCATTTGAGGCACATCCTATTATCCTGTGTATATTCAGAGTCTGTTGGTTGATTCCCCCTACCAGCAAAAGAATTGCTCATCAGGGTCACTCTCCCCAAGTTCACTTTGCTAAGAATATACAGATTAATGATCCTGTTGAGATCAATACTTCCCTTTGATGGCTAGCATTTAGCCAGTGGTGTATCTAAGCAAAAGTGGCATTGTTTTCCAAAGAAGAAAAGTGCCTTCATCTGATAATGACCAGCAGCGATATTCAGCACAGGAGCTAGCTCTGGGGCATTAGGCACCAAGACTTTACAGCTGAAACATCAGTTTCTCTGGGCGATAAGCCAGGTTGGTTAGCTACATGACCAACTGTACTGCATGTTTCCGGATATGTTACAGTAAGCTTCCCTCTGATGCTGCAGAGATAATATTTCAAGGTCCCTGAATATAGACTTGTCTTCATTCTGGAGCTAGCCTACTGACCTTGAGGTCAATAATTTTTTCCATTGCCAGACTGAACTGCAAAGGTTTTTGTTGTTGTTTTTTTAAACTCATGCTACAGTGTGGTTCGTGTCTTGCACCATCAGTGCACCTTCACCATTTATTAGCATTTCCCCCTGCTTTCTGGGCAGTATTGGGCTCCATAGCTTCTTATTAGACAGAAGATCCGAGACTTGTGTTGAGCCATTTTCCTTACAAGACCTTAGCATTTGAGATAAGTGCGACAGAGGGCTCAGCTGATCCCTAAGGGGACATTTTGTGAGCTTTGTAGCAGTGCTGCAGAAACCTTGTTAATTTGAGCTTAGAGCAATATGTTCCAAAGATATGTTTGCCTCGCTGCTTGTGGCACAGCATCGCCGCTGCGCACTCCTTGGTTGTCTTCTTTTTGTGGTCTACACAATGTGAATAATAGCAACCTTCTGTGCAGCATGTTTTGAGAAGGAATGAAAAAGAACATTCCAGGCAATTGAAGGTTATAATGATACTAATGCAATGATAAGCATGAGTTGAAATTATCGTTTTTGTTGCAGTGCATTCATTTATACAGTGTTGGTGCTAGTGGCAACAGTTCACCATGGCAATCTTGGTTGCATGGATATGCGTCGGAGAGAAAGAAGTCACATGCGCAAGTCTTGTTAACAATAAACATCTTGTCAAGTCCCCATGCTCTGACGTAAACACTCTGTAGAGTGTTCCTTTCATTGACTCCCTGGGCAGCCTTGATAAAAATCTCTTTGCTGCCGTATACATGGATGATTCTGAAAGTGCAGAACCATTCTAAACTAGGTTGTATTTCATTTTACTTATTTGCCTCGGACTTCATCCTTTGCTTCTTGTGCCTGAGGGTTTGCTGTGAAAGCCAGGCCACCAAAGGACAGCAAAAGGAAAGGCTATTGTGGAAGTCCGCTCACCTGGTTCTGTGTAGCCTTTGATCAGGTCGGGGGAAATGGTTTCTGTATGTTTACTGCGGAAAACGGCTGTGCTCAGTGCTGATAGGCTGGGACGTGTGATGTCATAAACACACCTCCCTGCAGGGAAGGCAGGCTGTCTGTTTCTTTAAATATTTGAAGCGCTACACATAGAAACATATTGCTCTGCTTTCCTTTGGACCGCATCAGCGAGGCTGAGAGGGAGGGTCTTGTCATCTGGGCAGCCCAGGACCTCCATGCATACCACACAGGGTTGCACACCGTGGAACATCACAAAAGCAACAACACGTACATTATTCCACTGAATATTTCTTCTGTCTTCCACAAATTGAAAGTCCCATATTTTTCACTCTATAAGAAGCACCAGACCATAAGACGCACCTAGTTTTGGGAGGAGGAAAACAAGAAAAAAAATATTCTGAATCCCAGAAGCCAGGACAGTAAGAGGGATCTGGCTTCTGGGATAGCCTCTTGCTGTTCTGGCTTCTGGGATAGCCGTGTGAAGCCTCTTCAGGGCAGCGGGATGAAGGCTCCCCCAAGAGCCGCACTCCCTTTAAAGAGCACGCAGAGCATGTGTGCGGCTCTTGGAGGCTTTTCCCCGAGGCGGGAGAAGGGCAGCCCTTCTCCCTCCTCGGAGAAAAGCCCCCAAGAGCCGCACACACGCTCCACACGGCTCTTTAAAGGGAGCGTTGAGCAGAGCCTCCCACCTGCATTCGCTCCATAAGATGCACACACATTTCCCCTTATTTTTTAGGAGGGGAAAAGTGCGTCATAGAGCGAAAAATGCACATTTAGTCAAGTAATGTGCATGCAGTAGTTTAAAACACACACACACACACACACACAAGCCACGCTCCCTGCTTGCAGCACGGGGAAAGGGCAAGACAAATGATGGAATCAGCAACTGAATCACTGCTAAGTATTTCTGCCATTCATTGTGATGGCAGGAAGAAGTCTCCCAGGGGAAACTGCAGTGGCTCCTTTTTCATACTATGTTTCTGCACAGCCTTAGTTTAACACTAGTCAGAGAACAGGAATACTATAATGATTTTTTTGATATATATATAAAAAATCATACTGCAAAAATACAATGGAACAGAAATGGTGCCAGTGGTTATAGAGTTTTGCATGGGCTTAATATTGACTGTGCCTCCTGCTTGCTTCCCCTCCGATTATTCATCAAATTTATTGTGGCCAATTATGATTTTTAAAAAATTATATTTCATAAGCCACCCGTCTTTCCGTGGCAAACTTAGGCCCCATTGTGGGTTGCTGCTGGCACAGCTAAAGGTGGTTAAGCGGTGTGGGAATTGGGGAAGGTGAAAAGAAGGGTAGTGTAAGTTTGGAGAGAGGAATCAAGGCGACATTGCCTAGCGCAGGAGGGAGATACAGAACTGGCCAGAGTGGGATAGAATACCCAGCTAGGCTATTCTTGGTCCCATAGGCAGTAAATCTACTTAGGTGTTAAGAGTTACTTCAAAGAAGCAGGGGGGGAGGCTGAGTCAGAGGCCCTATATAGGCAATTAGACATAATGTCCGTTAGACTTGTTACCAAGCAATATTCCTGCTATTAAGCCTTAGCTAGAATACGAACACAACCATTCAGGAACAGTGGGCTGATACGATTAATTCTTGTTAGAAGAGATTGTTCTTTCCCCCACCTGGAAATGCTCTGAATGTAGCCATCATAGGAATTTCGGTTTTTGTTTGTGACTCTTGTTCTTTGGCTAATGTGGGGCTGTATTTTGATTAAAAAAAACAAACTGTTTCTGCCATGATGTGAAGAACAGACCACATACTGGGGCCATCCATTTTTAATATACTTTGCTCCTTTGGGTTACCCAAAACAATAAATTATGATAAAATAATTATAAAACACACACATATATATTCTTTTAGCTCTTCTCCCCAGGTTAGATCAGTTGGGGCATGTGCAGGTAAAAGTTAGCAGCTTGGGATGAGCAATTTTGGGTGGGGTGAGACACAAAGCAGCAGAAAATGGAATATAGGTCTTGTGAATAAATAGGTTGTTTTCATTTATTACATGTTAACCAAATAAACATCTTGTTAATACCAAAAGGGAAATTGCCAGGTGCTTGCCCATCACTGGAGCGCCTTCGCAGTCATTTGTTGCAACACTGAATGCTAGAGGAATATGATAGAATACTCCCTGCACCCTTTCCCTTCTTTCTCCTTAAATAAAACACACCTTCTCATGACTGTAGATTTTGGGTACCTTGGGAATTAATATTAAGTTATTCTGCAGAAACATTCAGTCACCATTGCATCATTTTGAGTTCCATCGCAAAGGATCAATAAGAAGGGCCCACCGATATTCCATTTGCAAACCCCACCAAGCATACAGTAGTCATTTTAGGCAAATAAATTCTCTCTAATTCTTGGACCAGTTTTGTGTTGGTATGGTGAGTAGAATTGGAGAATTAGTTCCGTGTCTTTCAGCCCAATGTATACACTCATATTCTTTAGATATGAGTGTATACATTGAGCAAGGCATGGTAAATTTTGTAGCTAAGCATCAGGCTTAGTAATTTACACCAACCGCGTGTTTAACAATGCATCTCATATTCAGTAATGTAGGCAGCTGACAGAATCTTAAAACTCAAAAGTTAGTGTATTTGTGTATATCTTTATGTTTAATTGCAGATACCTAGTGGATGAAATTAAGAAGAGAGAAGGATTCCAGCTGCTGTTGGAGGTTTGTGCCAAATATTGTGTATGTCCAATCATTTTGAAACTGGTGGTGCAAAGCTAGTTGATGCAGGCAGTATTTATTATTATTATAGTGGTTGTTTTTGTTATTTATTGAATTCATATTTCATATCATCATCCTGATTGCTTCCGGGAGAGCAGACCTTTAGAATGTAAGTTCTACAGCTAACTGAGCTGCTGTCGGAGAACTAAAAAAACCAAAACAAAACTTTAACAACATAAACTGACAGTGTGAATTCTTCTTGAATGAATAGGCCTAGATTACTTGCTCCATAAGGAACAAGCTTTACTTAGTATGGCAGGAAGTCTGAGTCTAAATGACCCAGTGGCTTATCTGTGGCTAGCAAAATAGTCAGGTGATACGCCTCTCCCTTTTTCTCCCTGAAAACTAAATTCAGTATTCAGCAAGCGCAAGTCTATGCATAGCATACCTGGGCCCAGTTCGTGCTAGAGGAAAAGCTTAACTTCATCTCATTTCATAGCAGCAGGTGGCATGCTTGCTGATCTCTTCCTGCTGACAACTGTATTCTCCTTGATGATTAAACCGTATTTAATACATTCTTTGAAGGAAGGCAGAAAATGATATTATGAAAAGAACCAGTGCCCTTTCATGAAAGAATTTAGCACAGCTGGTAGTTTCTACCCACTTGGGAGGAAGATTAGAACTGTAATTGAGGTAGTGTTCACACTGGGGGGAAATGACAATGCGCAGTAGATACTGCCCTCCCTCGCCCATTATGGTCTCTCTCTCTCTCTCCCCCCGCCCCCGCCAACTTTTATTAATCGGAAGTGTTCAGAAAGAACTGGCTATGTGCGGGAGGAAATGTGCTGCAGCTGCCATTGTTCCTTTACAAAATATTTCCAGCCAAAATGTTGATAGAGGACTCGGCTAGACTGGTGAAGAAAAAGCGAATTATATGTGTTGTTTGTGCAATATAACGTTGTGCCTGCAGATGGCGATGTGGAGTCCCCCTTTTCTCTACCTGGTTTCCCTGTTTAAATTTACAACGCTTTAAACTGAAACGCTTCTTTGATGTGTCTAGATCCAGCCAGAGAGGGGAATTTCATTCTTTAATTCTTGTGTGGGTGGGTGGGTTTGGGGTTTTTTAGTACATGCATGTATACACACACATTACTTGAAAGAATGGAATCCCACGCTGCAATTACGGGTGAATGAAAGACCTGGAATAAGTAAAAGGTCAACCTTTGTGTTCCTATAGAGAAATATTAAATGAGGTTGGCAGTTAATGACATTTAATGAGATTGGCAGGCCAGGCTGATTATTAAGATCATGGGTGAGGTGGAATTTGCCCTCTTCCTATATTGACTCTTGTATATGTACAAAATGAGTGGATTTGCCAACTTTCTTTGTATGCATCTTGAAAACTTTAAATTGTTTCTCTCCTTTAGCCGGAGTATGCAAATATTTGCTTCTGGTACATTCCACCTAGTCTGAGAAACATGGAGAAAGGGCAGGAGTTCTGGGAGAAGCTCAATCATGTGAGTACCATATTTTGTTCATGGGATTTCTGACTTGGATATTGTGCTTTAAACAGTTGCGTGCAGCACTAGTTTTCTGGAGAAAGAGGTGCTGGAACTCTCCATGAACACCTCCTTTGTTCTCTTATAATGGCAATGGCGCCCACCTGAGAGATGCCGGAACTGAGTTCCGGTGAGTTCCGGCTGAAAGAAGAAGAGTTTGGATTTGATATCCCGCTTTATCACTACCCGAAGGAGTCTCAAAGCGGCTAACATTCTCCTTTCCCTTCCTCCCCCACAACAAACACTCTGTGAGGTGAGTGAGGCTGAGAGACTTCAGAGAAGTGTGACTAGCCCAAGGTCACCCAGCAGCTGCATGTGGAGGAGCGAGGAAGCGAACCCGGTTCACCAGATTACGAGTCTATCACTCTTAACCACTCAGCAGGTGGTGCTTTTCCCAGTATGCAGTGTGTTGATAATACCTTTATCTGTTGGATTTCTGCTTGTCCTCTAGCTCTTAAAGGCATAGGAGCCCTATCAGGAGGGAAGAAGTTGGCAATCACAGTTCTGTACACTGGTTGAGGATTTATGTTCCTGATACGCATTGGAATAAAAGTGAAACCTTCTTTTGCCACGTGCTCACAATCCTGGTTCACCTTCAGAGTGTTATTTTGAACCTAGATAGGTATCTGCAGGATTCTAAATTTTGCCGCGATCTCAGTTTAGACAAGGCTAATTAAGTTCCCCCCTTAATATAATAGATGCAGACATTATACAAGCCTTCCGCTTGCTATCAAAGCTGCTAACAGATGGCAGACCTGAGCGAAGATGAACAACTGTGCCTGCATCCATTGTCTAGACAGAGCATTCATTACCTGTTTTAGACATTTAACATTGTCCTTGGAACTTGCTCTGCATTATCAATGGATAATACGAGGGGGTGGCGGGGGAAAGCTTAAGTCTGAAATCCCAGCCCCACTTACCTGTGAGTAAGCCCCATTAAATTCAATAGGACTTGACTTATTAGTAAGCATGGTTAGGTGGTACAGCCTGTAAATGGAATTAGAAATCAGAATGGGGTAGAATTCATAGCAAAAGGTTTTTTTGGTAACCTTTATAAATGATGGGAAAAGCTTGAGGAAAGGAGGGGGGACATTTAGCAATTGGTTCTTCTGATAAAAGGTGTTGAACATCAAGTTAATTGAAGAAAAAAATTTGCAATAAGCAGGATACGGAATAGCTTATACTGCTTACTGTGCCTTGTTTCAGCCACCCCTCTTCCTGCCATCTTTAATATTTGCTGTATAAAAGGTGAAGGGACCCCTGACCATTAGGTCCAGTCGTGACCGACTCTGGGGTTGCGGCGCTCATCTCGCTTTATTGGCCAAGGGAGCCGGCGTACTGCTTCCGGGTCATGTGGCCAGCATGACTAAGCCGCTTCTGGCGAACCAGAGCAGCACATGGAAACACCGTTTACCTTTCCACCGGAGCAGTACCTATTTATCTACTTGCACTGGCGTGCTTTCGAACTGCTAGGTTGGCAGGAGCAGGGACTGAGCAACGGGAGCTCACCCCCTCGCAGGGATTCAAACCGCCGACCTTCTGATCGGCAAGTCCTAGGCTCTATGGTTTAACCCACAGCGCCACCCGCGTCCCTCTTGTAATCCATATATCGTATTTATTTTCTTACAATGTATATTAAATCTGTTTCCTGTACACAGCACCACCCGCGTCCCTATTTGCTATATAAGCACTTGGAATATAAAGCCAAAGTGGAAGGAGAACAACGTAGCTGAAATTCGACAGCAGAGCACATGTGTAGTTAATTCTGGTCCTGTATTACTGGATATTAGATTCTGCTGTGGCTGGATTAATCTCTCATTATCACTGACTGTTGGTCATGCTGGCTAGGACAGGTGGGAGTGGATATCACAACAACAGCTTGAAGGACTAAAGATGTAAAAGGAATCCATTGAGAATGGATTAGCAAGTGAATTTCCTTCAGGCTGCCCGTTCAACCCCTGTTGCAGCATGGAAAGCTTTTGAATGTAGGTCTGTACAATTAAGGTTACTTTTTACCATGAACACATTATGTGTAAATTGATACATAAATGGCTTTGCAATATACATTATTTACATATTAATTGATGTGTATAGGTGCTGCTCTGCTGTTCTGAAGTGTTATTTAAAGGCAACCTTTATACACTAATACTCCAATCCTAGCCATGTCTACTCAGAAGCAAATCCTATTGAATTCAGTGAGACATGCACCTAGGTAAATAGGATTAGGACTTCAGACTTAATCTACTACCTGTTGTAAAGTTTTCTTAAAATGATGGAATGCATTGCTTATCATTGTTCGTTTCACATGGAAAGAAGTGATCTCTGTTGCTGCTTGTGGATTTTATCTGCACTCCTCAATTAAATCCTAGCTTCTTTGTCAAAGTGGGGAGAACCAACTGGATTTGACTGCCTGTTTTTTGGCTACCCTGAGGCCAAGATGGATGAGCCTCTTCCCTGTCTCCCTCTTGATATTACACAGAGCAAATCTGTACAATTTGCAGCTTCACATTTAACTTAAACTGGCTGTCTCAGGTTGATTCAAAAGGAACCAATAATTTTATGAATGTCTAATCCCAGTAGATGGTTCGGTTCCCTTAAAAGATGCTAAGTGCTTAAAGCAGTGATTCATACTCTTGGGCTCAGCACGTCTATTATATATGTTGGTTTATCTTATGAAATAAATATGGTGACTATGATAAAGCCTAGATGTAATCAGTATTTGCCCTTAAGAGCTTATGTCACTTGTAATTAGCTGTGAGCAATTAGATGACTGCGATCGTGAATCCCTTTGCTAAACAGGGCTCACTGAATAAGCGTGATTATGCAGGTGTAAGAAACAAGGAAAGCATTTCTGTCTGTGCAAAAATATAATCTGGCAAATGGAAACCCAATGTTACAAACAGCTAGCAGTTTATAGCTATGACAATAATTTTTGCTAACCTTATGATGAAAACTGCTGTTGAATTTAAACTTCTGTAGCTTTGTAGATAGTGGGACAAACCTTGAGCTGCTTTTGCTAGTACTGTACATGCCCCCTGGTGGAATTTCCGCTTCTTCTCACTTACAAGAATTATGCAATTAAACCCAACAGGAAGGGAAGTTTGTGACCTATAGAGAGCTATAAAGATGGTGTTTTGCTCCGTGTCATGCATTTGTGGGTCTGGGGCTGAAATTCAAACATTACTTTCTTTCATCTGTGAAATGCTATCAATTTGAAATATGTGCTTTCATACACCTTACGACGACAAATCCTGCACAATGTAGATGGATTGTAGAAGTGACTCAGCCCCTTATAAATTGCGATTAGAGTGTGTGACCCGTTCCTGTCTTTGGCCTGAAGACCAGCGTTTTGTGAAATATACTGTGTGCTGAGTTATTTCAGTACACTGGTACCTCAGGTTAAGTACTTAATTATTTCCGGAGGTCCGTACTTAACCTGAAACTGTTCTTAACCTGAAGCACCACTTTAGCTAATGGGGTCTCCCGCTGCTGCTGCGCCACTGGAGCACTATTTCTGTTCTCATCTTGAAGCAAAGTTCTTAACCTGAAGCACTATTTCTGGGTTAGCAGAGTCTGTAACCTGAAGCGTATGTAACCCGAGGTACCAAGGTACAGGGGAACTTCGTGTTACATACTGCCCTCCTTACGAATGCTTCGGGTTACGAGCTCCGCTAACCTGGAAGCAGATGCTCCCGATTGCGAACTTTGCCCCGGGATGCGAGCGGAAGTCGCGCACTGGCGGCGCGGCACCAGCAGAAGGCGCCATTAGCGAAAGCACGCCTCATGTTAAGAACGGTTTCAGGTTACAAACGGACCTCCAGAACGAATTAAGTTCGTAACTGGAGGTACCACTGTACAGATCTAGGTGCCTCAGAAAGACCACACATGCCGTGAGAGTTCATTCCTATATTGCTCTGGAACGTGTCCAGAGGAGGGCAACCAAAATGGTCAAAAGCCTGGAAACGATGCCTTATGAGGAACGGCTAAGGGAGCTGGGCATGTTTAGCCTGGAGAAGAGGAGGTTAAGGGGTGATATGATAGCCATGTTCAAATATATAAAAGGATGTCACATAGAGGAGGGAGAAAGGTTGTTTTCTGCTGCTCCAGAGAAGTGGACACGGAGCAATGGATCCAAACTACAAGAAAGAAGATTCCACCTAAACATTAGGAAGAACTTCCTGACAGTAAGAGCTGTTCGACAGTGGAATTTGCTGCCAAGGAGTGTGGTGGAGTCTCCTTCTTTGGAGGTCTTTAAGCAGAGGCTTGACAACCATATGTCAGGAGTGCTCTGATGGTGTTTCCTGCTTGGCAGGGGGTTGGACTCGATGGCCCTTGTGGTCTCTTCCAACTCTATGATTCTCTGATTCTCTGATTCTATGCTCTATCTGTATATGATAAAAGATGTTTTCAAGTGTTCTTTTTGTACTTTTACCAAGGAACAGGTTGGGATTCTGCTGACAGAGACCAGCTTGATTATCAATGAGTAGGGGGCAGTTTTTGTCTCCTCCCCAATAATGTCCCTAAGGAGACTTCTCTACTTTGCCCCATCAGAAAGAAAAGCAAAACATTCACTGATGTTCTAGAAAATAAAGTGCTTTACGTTGGGACACTTTTGTGAGGATGGTCAATTTGGCTTCCATCATCCACCAACACAAGGAGTCCCTTGTATGCTGACTACAGACATAACGAGGGGCTGGGATATATAATATAATTATTATGGAAATTAAGTCGTGGCTAGTAAGGAAGACCCAGGAGGACACTCAAAGTATATTCCTGATTATTCCTTTGCAGGAACCGCTCCCCCCAATGCTTTGTGGGCAAAATTCACAGTTTCCTGCCGGTTGACAGGCACAAAATTTAAAAGCACCGTATTTTGCCTACAAATGTACACTCCTGTTTCTTCCTTTGCAGCAGTTGCAGCTTGAAGTTTCTTGTACCTGGTATACGTATTTGACATCAGGCATAGGAAAGGTGGCCGTCACTCGTCAAAAATGGCTCCCTAGACAGAGTCCCCATCAGCCCCAGCCACCATGGCCAATTGTCAGCAAAGACACAAGTGGTAGTCCAGAACATCTGGGGGGAACCAGGCTGGAGAAGACCAAGTTAGAAGGGAAGGGAAAAGTTGTGTACTTGCAGGGGGAGGCTGCTATTAATTGCTCAGTCTGTCATAGCAGCATTACCATTAACATGTAAAATTAAGCGTTCATTGTTAGAAGCCAGTTCGTTATTGCTACTTCATGAAAAAGAGCATCTTGCATTCTGACCTTAATTCTTAATACAGTAGTACCCATGCATTTCAATGGGTTTGCAGTGAGTAGGACTAGCGTTGGCTACAACAACCCTTCATTGCCAGTTAGCCATATAAATGAAGCATGGAACCACTGCTGTTCTTTTACCAAAATGCCAGGGAAAATAAAACCAGAGGCAAGTGGCTTTCGCACCAACAGAAAGCAGTCACTGTAATCCTGTCCGTGTGTTTCAGAATTGTTCCACTTCACCAGAGCCTAAAGCATCTGCAGCTCAGGTTTTACAAAAATTAAAAAAGAAATTGCAAGGCACATAGTAGCCGTTGCTGGCAAAAAAGCAATACATTGGTACCTTGGTTCTCAAACGTCTCAGTACTCCAACAACTTGGAACCCAAACACTGCAAACCTGGAAGTAAGTGTTCTGGTTTGTGAACTTTTTGCGGAAGCCGAACGTGCTCCATTTTGAGTGTTACGCTGAGGTCTGCCTGCTTTTGCTATTTATTTTGCATTTTTGTAGCTCTTTTTCTGTTTGGTTTTTGTGACTGTGTGGAACCCAGTTCAGCTACTGATTGATTGATTGATTGATTGTGTGACTGCAGTACATTGTTTATTGCTTACATTTTATGGATCAGTGGTCTCATTAGGTAGCAAAATGCTTGTTAAATTGTTGTTTTAGGGGTTGTTTTTAAAAGTCTGGAATGGATTAATCTGTTTTGCATTACTTTCTATGGGAAGGCGCCCCTTGGTTTTGGAATGCTTTGGTTTTGGAACGGAATTCCGGAATGGATTAAGTTTGAGAACCAAGGTACCACTGTATATATCCCAGCATATCTTTGAAAGAAGAAAGCCTTCTTCCTTCTACTTTCCTCATCACATAATTATCTTCTTAATTCCATCAGCTTTAAATGAGGGTGAACTGTTACAGGAAATACACCCCCAAAAAATATTTTTATTCAAAGCACCCCATCTTTTAACAAAAAAAGACAAACACACACACAAAAAAACACTTCATTTATCAAACCAGTCTTGACCAGTAGTGAAAGAATAGGCCATCAGGGGGCACCAGTGCAACAGAAATGTATTTAAACTTCTAATTAGTGTGCACGTTCTTAATCGCTTCTTGGTGCAATCATGCAAATCTCAATCTAAAAGAAAAGTCTGCTCCAGTTTTTAATATATATTTTTAAACATCAGCATATTTCCCCTCTGATGCATTTATAGGATGATCTGTTTTTCTGGGGAGCTAAGCTACTACCAGGGAATAACTTACAGCTTGTTAGTATTGTCTTCCGCCTTCCATCAGGCAAATATCTGTTCTCCTTTCTTATATGAGACTTTATGTACTGGGTTATATTTTTTGGAGTATTCTGAGTCTTTAATTCATATCTTCTTCTTTTTTTAGAAAAAGAGAAAGACTGTGCTCAGTTGGATTTGCTTCCTAGTAAGGGTTTTTAGGAGTCAAGTGATGGGACACAAATCCCTATGTAAGAATAGGTTTTTTAAGGATTGCTTTGGTAAAATAGGAAAGGTCTATTTATTGAAGCTGAGAAAAGTGCCTACAAATATTGGCTGTTAGCAGGTATAAATTCAGTGAGTGTATCATAAACTTCTCATTTTGCAGGAAAGATTGCCCAGGACATTAGTAAATTTGATCTGACTATAATTGAGTACAAGTATTATTTGTTGGAAAGTATAGTATTTACAAGATGGGGGCCGGCAGGATGACAGAAGTTGTTAAAAGAGGATCAGAAAACATCAGTTAGGGCCTAATTTCGCCAAATGTGTGAGAACACATTAGTGGGCTATAAAGGAAAAAAATTAGTCTCTGGAGTCTTCTGTGAATGCAAAGGAGGCTGCCCAGTGCATATTTACATTGATTCCTAATCTGGCATTGAGTTCTTCCTACCATGCTCTCCCAAAGAGGGCTAATTCTGTTGTCTTTGTATCGGAGTGGCTGGATTATTCACTCACTCCCGACTTAGTGATGTGACAGAATTTCTTGGATTTAAGGGAGCCTGCTCACTGTGTCTCTGCACTCCATTGCAGAGAGGTTGTCCCTGGGCTTTCCCCCCCTTCCTTCAAAGCAGAAGACATATCCAGAACAGTGACTCATTCAGAGATACAAAGGAGGGCTTCGTGGGTCGACATTTCTTACTACTGCATAAGTTAAAAGTCAATATGCACCTAATATTAATTCAGAAAAAAGTGCTGATTGAAGGTATCTTCACCCCATTCACTGTTAGGCTGCATGATAAAGTAACAATGCTTTAGAAAACATTAGCAAATTGGATAGTTTTGTAAAATTAAACAGGAGAGGGTGTCGCTCTGTTATTTCCCTGCCTGCTTGTTAAACAGAACTTTAATCTGAAGATGCCTTCACAGTAGTAGTCACTGAAGTTTTCTTTTATTTATGTATTAAGGTTTGTAGATGTATTTCCACACAGCAATTATATATGTCCAATATTATTGGGTAGGATGCAGTGTTTTTTTCAGGGGGGCACAGGGGTACATATGCCCCATTTTGTAAATCTTTGTACTTTTGTCCATTTATTGTATTTATTTTCCCCGATTTGAACTATAAAATGGTGATTTTCTTGAGTCAAAATGAGAGTACCCCTAAACATTTTTTTTAAAGAAAAAAAGCACTGGTAGGATGACTTCATGTACTTAAGCAAGGGCAGATCCTAAAGAGAGATCCTGAAGAACCTAAGTTTTACCATTAAAAGGATAATATAGGCAAACTTTGAGGATGTACTGGGATGCAGCTTACCCATTTCTAAATAGGTATTTCTTTACAAATCCATCGTTTTCCAAATTGTGGAAATAACATTAGCCAGCATAGCCTTTTTAGACTTGCGGAAAAAAGCCAAGTAAAGCCCTAGAGCATGGGTAGGCAAACTAAGGCCCACCTTCTAAATCCAGCCTGCGGATGGTCTGGGAATCAGTGTGTTTTTACATGAGTAGAATGTGTCCTTTTATTTAAGATGCACCTCTGGGTTATTTGTGGGGCATACGAATTCGTTCATTTTCCCCGCCCCCATATAGTCCTGCCCCCCACAAGATCTGAGGGACAGTGGACCGACCCCCTGCTTGAAAGTTTGCTGATTCCTGCCCTAGAGAGCTAGTTGCCTTCTCCTTCACCATACAGACACATAGTTTGCTTATTGATCTCTCCATCACACCTGACCAGCCACCCCCTCAACTGCAAAATTTTGCAGAAGGGTTTTTTGTTTTTGCATGAAAAAGAGCTGACATACTCAGCTTTTAAAAAAAATAAAATAAATTCACCTTGTCGTCTATGAATGAAAGCTTACTCATTTTTGGTCCACAGTGTTTGGAGTAACAAGCCCTGAAATGTCCAGGAACATGCCACAGAATCAAAGCAAGATTTACAGGAGTGATATTTTCCTGAAAGGAAGAAAGAGGGAGAATATATAATTGATTGAATAAGGGGTTAATAGCTGTCACCCATGAATAGTCTCCAAATGGTATTTGAAAAAGTAGGGAAAGAGGTGCAAGTCCTGTATATCTGAAGAACTATAATGTTATTTACATAATGGCTTGTGTTCATTTAATGGCCTTGGCTTGTATTGTTTGAAGTCCGTTGTATTCTTCTGCTGCCTCGTCTATGTCTCTATCAATAATTGCTTTTACTTTTGCTAAATTGTGTTCCTGTGATTTTGTCTTCTGTTACCCAAAATATCTTGGACATCTGATACTTGAAGATACTGGCTTTCACATTTAAAACATCCAGTCTTTCAAGGGAGCCCGCTGGACGTGCTGAAAAATTATCCCAATCCTGTTGTAGAGATGACAGTCCATTTTGAAATTATCTCCGCCATGTGCGCAGTTCCTTAATTCGCTCGCTAGATGGAGATCAAAAGCAACATAAATGATATCCCCCTCCTCTTTTCCCTCAGTCACCCAGCAGAAAATGAAAACGTATCGACTACCTCCTTTCCCAAGCATTTAAACTTTTTCTTTCCACTTCCAGAAAGATTAATCTTTTTTTCCACAATCCTTTTGGCGATTAAGCTAGGAGGATGGTTTGGAGGGATGGTGAACTGTTAAATCGTTACGTGCTATTGTTACAGCAATTATCGTGCTGCTTATTTTGTGGCACAAAGGAAGCCATTTCTCTCCCTATCGTTATCAGCTGACCATAATAAAGTGACCCGTAACTGCAGGGTAAAATTAGATTGTTATTCTTGTAACAGAGGAATTAATCTATAGCAGCAAGGCCAAACTGTATCTTGGAAGTTATGTGTGGTTCCCAAGGCAGTTAAGAGAGCAACTCTTGGTTGGCTTATCTCCTTTTACAAGGTTCTCTATCTTTCTCTTGTCAGAACCTGGAACCAAGGATATGGAAGCAGCAAAACCTGGGCAGAAAAGTTTTATAGTTGTTGCAGTAGCAGCCTGGGCTATGGGGAGATAGACAGTCTTGGGGAAGCGTGCTTCTCAGATACATGAAGATATTTATTATGTAAATACCTCCTTAGCTTTCAGAATTCCTGGATTATAACTACATATGTGAAAAGCGATTTGCCCTGTCTTTGGCTAACTTTCCTTGCTTAGTTGTAGGCTTGCTGGGAAGGAACTGTTGTAGAAAACATAGGAAGAGCTCCTTTTTCATATAATTGTGGCGTTGGAAGGAACCACTAGGGTCATCTAGTCCAACCCCTGCTTTTAGGCAGGCATCCTTCCCTGGGTTCAAGGGTTGAACCGGACACCTTCTGCATGCAAAGCAGATGTCCACCAGTGAGCTATGGCCTTCCCTCAATCTGTGTTAAAACGGATAACCAAAAGTGGTCCTTTATGCAACTCACCTAGCAATAGATTTCTCTGCTCATTTCATCAGTCAGGTGACTTCAAAATTAGATGGTCATTGGCGGGGGTTTGTACTTGTTACCAATTGGGTAATAATATACATTAACAGTAAGACAATTATGGACTACCCTTTTGGGCCAGATTTGCCAAGATGCATTTTTGAATCTAAACGATTCTGGGAACTTTGCATTGCATTTTAACTTACTACATTTGGATTATCTTGTTTGATGTTGTGGGGGGTTTTTTGTGAGTCACATTGTACTGGCCATTGCGCACAAACAATAAAAATCTGTCTGGCTGACTCATAAACTTTATATGGTAATATTTCACAGGAACTCTTCACAGTTCCAGAGCGTTGGTTCCAGCACTTTGAAAGCTGCCAGAGCTAAACAAATGTTTAAGTAGTAATAGTAGTAGTATCAGTCACTGGAACTGTTACAGAAAATAATATATATATATTTCCTGCTGGAAAAGATGAGAAAATGAAATGGAGCAGTTTTACAATGTAGCTATTTATTTCGTATTGACTGTAGGTCATAAAAAAAAAAACACAAGTTTTTATATACTTGGAAACACCAGCCCAGCATGTCTTCACAGCACATGTAACGTGGAGCTCAGCAGGGCAGGGCAACTATTTTTTAAAACTTTTTAAAATTCAAAATTAAAACAAAACATATTATCCAGAAAAATATCATCCTTATTTTCCCCTTCCCCCCCATTTTTCCTCCCTCCCCCCATCCTCCACACAAAACCCACCCCCCCAACCCCCAACTTCCCTCAGTTCCAGTCTTTGGTTTCTCTGAGACTGCTGTTTCCTGCATGTTACACAGTTGTATAGATCCTCAAACTATTTAGCTGATTATCATCAATAAAAAAAGTTTGTGAATGTTTATTCAAAGCCAGCCAAGGAGTCCGGTTCGCTTTGTTGCGTCTTCAAATACTTTGTAAAGGGTTCCCATTCATCTTTAAAGTCACAGTTATCCTTGTCCCGTAGCTTATATGTCAGTTTTGCCAGTTTTGCATAGTCCATCAATTTTTCTTGCCATGATTCTTTAGTTGGGGTTTCTTCAGTCTTCCATCCTTGTGCTATTAGAACTCTTGCGGCCGTTGTCGCATACATGAAGATGTTTTTCAGCTTTTTTGGCAGGTCTTTCCCTACAATCCCTAACAAAAATGCTTCAGGTTTTTTAACAAATGTTAAATGGAACATTTTCTTCAATTCATTGTATATCATTTCCCAATTTTTTAAAATTACATTACAATCCCACCACATATGATAAAATGTCCCTTCCTTTTCCTTACACTTCCAACATATATTTGAACTAGTTTTGTGCATTTTCCCTAACTTCACTGGTGTCGTGTACCATCTGTACATCATCTTCATGTAATTCTCCTTCAGTAGGGAACAATCTGTAAATTTTAAATCAGTTTTCCATAATTTTTCCCAATCTTCCATCACAATGTTGTGACCTACATCTTGTGCCCATTTAATCATAACTGATTTTACCTCTTCATCTTTCGTCTCCCATTCTAATAATATGCTGTATGCGGCCTTCAGTAATTTCACTTTCCCTTCGATCACTTCTGTTTGAAACCTAGATCTTGTGTAACTGAATCCTTTCTTGCTGTCTTCTTTATGTGTTTCATTTGGTTGTCGATAATGCAACCAACGTTTAACCAGTAATTAATACGGTGGCAGGGCACAACTGCAGCAGGAGTAATGGAATAATTTTATGCAATAATCTTGACAATGAAGATCTCAAAACATCATTGGCTGATGCATTCTGTGCAGCAAAGCATCACTATGCTATCGGAGGAGCATTTCGCCCCTTGATTCTGGATGCATTCGCACCCGCATTCGCAAACAGCAGAATAATAATAATAATAATAATAATAATAATAATTTTATTTATACCCCGCCCATCTGGCTGGGTTTCCCCAGCCACTCTGGGTGGCTTCCAGCAAAATATGAAAAATACATTAAAACATCAAATATTAAAAGCTTCCCTAAACAGGGCTGCCTTCAAGATGTCTTCTAAAAGTCAGATAGTTCTTTATTTCCTTGACATCTGATGGGAGGGTGTTCCACAGGGCGGGCACTACTACTGAGAAGGCCCTCTGCCTGGTTCCCTGTAACCTCACATCTCGCAGTGAGGGAACCGCCAGAAAGCCCTCGGAGCTGGACCTCAGTGTCCGGGCAGTATTTTACTCCCATATTGTCTTCAGAAGGAGAATACGTCACTCCAGCACTGTTCGCCGTTGAGCGAAGAGCAGCTATCTCTTGTCATAAGAGAACTTGGCTCATACTGTTCTCCCCAATCATAGGTGCCCAGGAAAGTCAAAGCAATTTCACTTTACCGCTGAACCACTTGTATTGTCCAAAATAGCAAGGGAGGTCACAGTACTTTTGCCTCAAAATACTGTGGGCCACTGAGGACATGATTCTGCACCTGTATGTATGTACAGCTGTGGCACCCGTAATGGAACCGAGCATGCTAAATACAACCACCGGTTTGCTAAAAGACACACAAGAAAGTCACAAGAAGACTGTGGCACAAGAGGCCACTGGAATGGAAGCCGTAATGAATGGTCAGGGCAACTCCAAACTCCAGAGCCAGGTAAGGAATTTCAATTCCTCATCTGAAGCTTTGACAAACTTATTCTACATATCAAATTCCCATTTACATGGCAGAGTCTTGGGCTGCATTATTATAGATGGCGAAAGGCGTCCCACGTAATGGCCGTGGAAAGGCTTTTGTAAGCCATTAAGCCCGATACCTTTTAGGTTTCTGAATTTCTGAAACATGGAAGAACAAGCAGAATTAAACACCTTTCTTTGCTGTTACCTCTCTCTGCCATGTCATTCATTTCACCCCTGTCAAAACCCTAGTGATAGTATAGCTGCTATATTAAGGCATGTCTTTCTGCATCAGAATTGCACAAAACTGTCAGAACGTTATGAACAGCTAGCTTAAAAAAGGGAGGGAGAATGAGCCTAACGTTCATTCTAGGTGTGAAAGTAAACTAAAATAATTTAGGGCGAAGCTAGCTGCTACTTGTACATTAGCGATATTTGCTGCCGTCAGGGAATGCACCCAGACTACTAAGCAGTAGAGAAGATTAATATGCCATCTTCCTAATTCAGTTTGGAATGCATCTGATGGTGTAGAAGAATAACGCTTCTGATTCCCAGGTATTTCCATAAAAGTAATAATGCAGCAATGTAAAACTGAATGTGTATACAGTATAATAAGATGTAAGAAATTGTGCTTGCTTGTGACAACTGTTTGGTATGTATCCTGGAGTCATGGGAGGAGGAGACCGTATTGTAACCACAGTATCTCAAAGAAAGGAATCATTTGGTTTCAGGTCCAGAGACCGAAGTGATTTCTCATTATTTTATTTTTAACACCATTCTAATTCTCAACTTGTGCTTATAGATGCCTGCGTTCTTAACTTTCCACATCTGTCTTGTTAATGCTATATTCTTCTCAGGCTGGGGCGGATATAAGGAAAATCTAAACCCACAAAGTATAAATACAGTTAGTTTCAGAAATACAAGTGATGGCATTTAAAAAACCAGCAACAACTATTTAACATTTTGATATATTGAATATTATTAGATTTAATAATCAGGACTACGGTAATTGCGACTTGCGTTGTGGTAATGAATATTGACACATGACTCACAAGTGTACTGAATTTAATTAACACTAATAGAACGGATTGAATAATAGGAGGATTAACATCTGTTAGAGAGCCAAAACAGCGAGATTTATAGCTCTTTGAATAAATATTGGCCTCTAGAATATGAGGTCAATAAATCTTATGTCTGACCTTCTCTTAAACTGGCACCTGAATCCATATAGAGGACTCTGTAAGTGTTTGTGAAGTTCAGCTCCCCACCTCCTTTACTTCTCCCTGTTTGAAAAATCAGTGAGAAGATTAGGAGTCTTCTTACTGATTACAAAACAGAAGCACCCTAGTCCTTTTCTTCAAAAATCAGATTTTTCAAGCGAGATTACTAAATTGACAGGGGGGAATCAGCATAAAGAAACATTATTAAAAATGACCCTACTCAGATGTGACACTAAGCCATGGTCTTCATCTCCATTTCCCTTCCTTCTACCACCTCATATGTGGTGATTAAAGAGTTCCCAATCCTAGTTTAGGAGCAAACCATAGTTTGCTGTTTCATCCAAACTTATGTGTGCAATAATTTGCCTGCAAACCGATTGTTATGTACTGAGTTGAATAGGATCCAAAATGCAGCAGTCTGATTGGTCCGCAGGAGCCATCCAATCCAACTCCAGGTGAAAGTGAATCCACAATCTGATTGGCCTACAGGAGAATCCCTGAATTAGCCAATCACATGGGGGCCATTGTGTAAATAATTTATATAAGGCAGACATTTTGGGGCAACTTCCATTCCTCACTACTATGAGCTGAATAAAGAGCATGAAATCCACACTCGACTCCGAGTATATTTCACCAGAGTATATTTCACCCTGGACCAGAACTTATGTACTCTGCATGCAAGGGGAGCCTGAGGCTCATGACTATAATTCTAAACCTTGATTTCATGTGATACCAGCACCCAATATTATTATGGTTACTAATTTGTTCTTTAATTCACTGTAAATAGCTTGCACTCCTCTCCAGCAAATAGACTGGCATGGGATTCTGGACTAGCTGTGCTCTAAATCACCATGTTTTGGGGGACCTTCCACTGTAATAGTGGAAATAGTTTGCGAGACACTTCAGCTCAGTTGTAATTTTTCTATGTTTCTCGACTTCTTCTACCCTCTAAGCTGGCTCTCCACCGGTTTCGAGACTTTTGTATTAAGCAGCGTATTAAAATGTGACATGTGGAAACCACTACACACACAGCTGGAAAACACTGTTTGAAAATTGACTCTGAATAAAGCTCACAGCATTTTATTAATTTTGCTATAAAGAGCAGCATCTATACAGAGGGAGCACATAATGTGGCAGATTGTGACCCTGTGCTCACTTTTTAAAGCATTGGTTGTGGTTACGATAAGGCTGAAAGGCCAGAAATTCTTCATGGTGCATCCACCACAACAAATTATTACAGCATCATTTGTTTCTGATTGTGACTACGCCAACAAAACATTCCTGTCTGAAGAAGAGTACGCAGTGGTTAAAACTTTTTTAAAAAGAAATTATTTTAAGGACCATAAATAATAACCATAGGTAAAGGTAAAGGGACCCCTGACCGTCAGGTCCAGTCATGGCCAACTCTGGAGTTGCGGCGCTCATCTCGCTTTACTGGCCGAGGGAGCCATTGTACAGCTTCCGGGTCATGTGGCCAGCATGACTTAAGACGCTTTTGGAGAACCAGAGCAGTGCACGGAAATGCCGTTTACCTTCCCGCTGGAGTGGTACCTATTTATCTACTTGCACTTTGACGTGCTTTCGAACTGCTAGGTGGGCAGGAGCTGGGACTGAGCAATGGGAGCTCACCCCGTTGCGGGGATTTGAACTGCTGACCTTCTGATCGACAAGCCCTGGGCTCTCTGGTTTAGACCACAGCGCCACCCGCGTCCCTAATAACCATATTCCAAACAAAAAATTCAGGATCCATATTCTCATCACTGTGTGTCCTGCCCCCTCATTTGTTTTCAAAGTCATTTGTAAAATGCAATAATAATAATAAAGATGTCCTTTTACATTAGCAGATATCTAAAGCCCCTGCAAACTGTTTCCACTGTTAATTCCCTTGGGCTTTCTGGAAAAAGTGAAGAGACTCTAGATTTAAAATTTCTGAATTAATGTGCTGTAAGGTGAACTCTTAACTCTGCTTAAAATATTAATCTGTAATTAATCAATGGTGAAGGCTTATTGCTATTCATTTTTAATTATAATATTTGGATTGGGATGTTCTCACATAACAAAGGTTACTACTCTTTTGCGTTTTAGGGCAAGCATTAATTTTAAAGTTTTTATTGGAGCAGTTGTAAAATATTTAATGAGAACCATATAACTGCATTTAATAAAATTGTTTATTGGCAATATAGCTATAAAGAGAATTAGAATTCCAACTGGTGAACAGCTTTTGCCTTTTAGCAAAGAAAGAAAGAAAGAAAGAAAGAAAGAAAGAAAGAAAGAAAGAAATAGCAGAAATATTCTGTGGACATCGGATATGGTTATTTTCTCTTAATTTAGAACTTATTCTAATGTAATGTTTGATATTCCCAGGAAGATTTTATTGGGAAAAAGTGGGGGAAATTACACTGCGAAGATCTACACAGCTTTTGCAGGGCTAATCCTAAAAACACATGGCAGCTAGAATTATGAAACTGACATGAGACTATCCCAGGAAAATATGCATAGATAACCTCTCATTTTAAAAAATGTGAATGCTCCTGGGATCACTTAAAAAAGGCATATTGTGAGAAATACCTGTGTTAAGAACTATTTTGGATCTTAAGCTGCCAACAAACCATAGAATCGTAGAATTGCAGAGTTGGAAAGGAATCATCTAGTTGAAAGTGTCATCTAGTCGCCGTCTCCCCTGCAATGTAGAAATCACAGCTAAATAAACCCTGAGAGATGGCTAACCAATCTCTGTTTAAAAGCGGGTCATTCCACGTCATTTCAAAGAGGTCATGTCACCCTCTGTCTCGGATATTGATGAAATTTGGTGTACACCCTTCCCTTATGGTTGGAAAAAAAAAACCCTTAAATTTCCCCCCTCTATCTCACACGGTTTTACTTTTATAGCACTTCAAAGTTTCGTTAAATCTGAGTTGTCTGTCCCTCTTGAGACCCTCGGCACAAGATATGCTTGTGCACATTTTAATTTTTTCCCTCCATAACCAATGATCAGATCTCTTTGAAAGTTTACACAGAGCTCAATAAAATGATGAGGATTTCAAAGGGGGGTGGGGATACACCAGCACTCAAAAGATTTTATAAATGCCTAAAAAAAATATAAATGCACTTGTAGCCTAGTTTTTTTGGTGGAAAAACTAGGTTTAGAAAACCTGATATACAGCGTGTCAGATTGCTTACCGGGGCAAGACAGTTTGAGCATGTTGCACTGATCCTGGTCCAACTATGCTGGCTGCCCGTTGGTTTCCAGGCCCAACCCAAAGTGCTGTTTCTGACCTATAAAGCCTTAAATGGCTCAGGAACACAATACCTCATGGACTGCCACCACCCAACCTCTCCCCATATGAACCAACCCAGACCCTGTGATCATCATTGTGTGCATCCTCCATGAGAGGTATGGGGCAACACAAAAACAGGGTCTCTTTTGTGGTGGCTACCCGTTTGTGGAATGCTCTCTTGGGGAGGCTCGCCTGGTGCCTTCATTACATATCTTTAGGCATCAGGCAAAGACATTTCTCTTTAACCAGGCCTTTGGCTGATTAACATTCTATGTCATGTTAAATGTGTCTGTGGAAGTGGGAGTTACTGGTTTGTTCTTGTTCTTGTTTTTATTATGTACTTTGTGTTCTCATTTTGTATTTTTATGCTGTGATCATAGTCTAACCCCCTTCAGTGCATAAATCTCAACATGTGGTCCCCCATCCAATTCGAAACCATACCAGACCCAGCTTTGCTTTGCAAATGTGCTAGCAGTTTACAAATATAATAAATAATATATATATATTTTAAAAAGTCATTAAAGAAAACACTCACAGTTTACCACTGTTTAGAAAACATTAGGCAGCCTCCCCACCTTCTCATGCTTACAGGAAAGCCCAAGTGAGGATGCAGTGAGGTTTTCCAGAAATGTGGGCACCTAGGGAGGCTGCATAATGTAGACCTTTGGAAAGATGCTTTGGAGAATGAAAGGAAGGACATTCCGAAACATCCTCTGCCATCTTGAAAGTGAAATAAGCAATATACCTTGCCCATGAACTTTCTGCAAAATGTTATCCTGTCTTTCATGATATTTCAGATGTTCTTTTCTCATAAATTGGTAGAGAATGGTAAGGGGGAAAAATATATGCAAGAGAAATTTTCAGCACAGCCTTGGTCCGTACATGACTGCTACATGCAAGTTACTTGCAATAATATCTGCTTGGCTCAATATGCAGAGATGGGAAAGACCGATTTTAAACAAACCCGAGAAAGGCATAGAAATAAAGGACATGGATAATAGATTTTTGAAATAGAGGTTTCCCCTAATTCTTTTTAATGAGGTTGTATGGCCACGCAGCGCTGTATATTTTGCTGATTCTTTTACTTTCCTTGGAGTTGATCTGAAGGTCATTGCAATGATTTTGTGCTAAACCATATACAAGAGTTTGGGCTTTCTTAAATGTTAATGCTTCCCTTTAGATCTACCTAAAACAGGCACAACTATCATTATAACTCTTTAATCCCTACTGCAATGCAAATCTGGAGGTTGCTACACATGCTAGCTCAGATAACGGTAATATTCAGTGTGAATAATAGGGAGCCGTTCCAAATCTCTCATGAGACATTTATTTTTCTACAGTACTGTACAACTCTCTCTCTCTCCTTTTAATAGCCAATCATCAAATAATGCATCCTTTCCCACTGAACGTACATTTGTACTGTGATTTTTTTTTTGTTCCCCTAGAGGAAGAGAGCAACAAAAAACAAAACTCACCCCAGTGCACACAAACCATGAAAAGATCTTTAAAATATTCTTTTGAGATGACTTGCTGCAATTTCTTTACTCTGGGGGGGGCGGGAGAATCACTTTGCAGGAGGTTGGGGGCTGTTCTCTGAACAATATTTTAATGACATGCTTTATAGATGAGTATTAAGTAAATGACCTGGTTGTGTGTAAACAAATAACTATAGATAGATATTGATATAGATGTTAACACCGTAGCTCTTGTACTTTTGATATGACCAACCAGGACTTACTACAATGATAAGGATAACTTCTGCTAATTAATAGACCACCTTTAGTTTTAATTTTCCGTGCTCTTGGTGACCTTCATACTTTGTATTTGCAAGGATTGATATTAGGCAGGCAATTTTCTTCTACATTGTTAAATACTTTCTTGTTTAATTTTGCCCCATTAGGCTAATACATTTTTAACAAGCAATTTTATTTTATTCGGTACATTTAAAAAGAAAAATCTGGTTTTACTTGGCTTTTGATCAGTGTTAACTTGCTTTTGACATTAGATTTTTATCAGTGTTTTTAATGTTTATTTTTATGTAAACCGCTTAGACGTTATGAGTGACTAAGTGGTATATAAATCCTGATAACTGCTAAATGCTACTTGTATTATAGGAAGAGTGATTGTGGCATGAAAACCAGTGTGTGGAAGAAGTAGATAGAGGTTAGAGCTTGTATTCAAGCTCCTCCTTCACGCAGAAGGAGATGTTGGCCAGTAGCTAATATCTACACCATGGGTAAGCAAACTAAGGCCCGGGGGATGGATCTGGCCCAGTCGCCTTCTAAATCCAGCCTGCGGAACGTCCGGGGATCAGCGTGTTTTTACATGAGTAGAATGTGTGCTTTTATTTACAATGCATCTCTGGGTTATTTGTGGGGCATAGGAATTCGTTCATTATTTTTTTAAAAAATATAGTCCAGCCCCCCACAAGGTCTGAGGGACAGTGGACTGGACCCCTGCTGAAAAAGTTTGCTGACCCCTGATCTACACACCTTCTTTTCTGCATGTAGGAGAAGAAGGGAGCAAGCCCCCTCTTGCCCAGTTGCCTCTGTCACTCTCCCATCAGTTGGACGCCATCTGTGTACAGCAAGGAGCCTTCTCTACTTTGCAGGCTCGCTTTGTAAGCCTGGAGGACCGTGGTTCTAAAATGCACAGGCTTCCTCCTCTCCCTGCAGTCATCTCATGGGGGTCGGACAAGAGGGTCATGCCAGCAGGGTAGCAAGATCTCTCTTCTCCCCTTCCTCCTCCTTGGGACGACTAAAAGAATGCTTGAAGCAGCCTTGTCTCCCAGCTTTATTTACTTGGAAGAGCAATTATATCCTTCTAAACGTGTGTGGGACGCGGGTGGTGCTGTGGGTTAAACCACAGAACCTAGGACTTGCCGATCAGAAGGTCGGCGGTTCGAATCCCCGCGACAGGGTGAGCTCCCGTTGCTCGGTCCCTGCTCCTGCCAATCTAGCAGTTCGAAAGCACGTCAAAGTGCAAGTAGATAAATAGGTACCACTCTGGCGGGAAGGTAAGCGGCGTTTCCGCCCGCTGCTCTGGTTCGCCAGAAGCGGCTTAGTCATGCTGGCCACATGACCCGGAAGCTGTACGCCGGCTCCCTCAGCCAATAAAGCGAGATGAGCGCCGCAACCCCAGTCGGTCATGACTGGACCTAATGGTCAGGGATCCCTTCACCTTTAAACATGGTTGTGCGAGGGGTGTTACTGGTTAGCTCGAGTTTTAATCTATGTTTTGTGTTTTTATGCTGCGGAACACCAACAAGATCTTCTTCTTATTTTATTTACCATTATTTATTATCATCTTCGTGTTTTCATTATGTATTTTGTGTTTTTAATCTTGTATCTTTATGCTGAGATCTACGGATGAAAAGCGGTATACAAATCAAATAGATAAATAGCATGAAACAAGCTACTTCCACATGTGCTTCCCAGAGCTTTCTTCAGAAAGAACTGGAAGCACATAAATAGAACAGAGATGCCACCAGAATTTGAACCTTCCGTAGCCAAGCCCAGCACAATGTTCATTATATCTACAAATGAGGAAAAAGCTTCATAACTTCTTAAAAGCTGTTTAAACAAGTTGTTTTAAAACCATTAGTTCCATGTCATCGGTTAAGCTTTGAGGACTGGGAAGGATCCATAGCTCAGTAGTAGAGCACATGTGAATTTAGTCCCTGGTATCTGTAATAGTCTCCTGCCAACCTAGCAGTTCGAAAGCACGTCAAAGTGCAAGTAGATAAATAGGTACCACTCTGGTGGGAAGGTAAATGGCGTTTCCGTGCGCTGCTCTGGTTCGCCAGAAGCGGCTTAGTCATGCTGGCCACATGACCCAGAAGCTGTACGCTGGCTCCCTCGGCCAGTAAAGTGAGATGAGCGCCGCAACCCCAGAGTCGGCCACGACTGGACCTAATGGTCAGGGGTCCCTTTACCCTTACCTTTATCTGTAATAGTCAAGCTAGGGAGGTCTTCTGCTCCCAGAAAGCACTGGGCTGCTTGATCTTATTCCATATATACAGAACACATTGAAACTCATCGGTGCACCTAATGGGGCTTTGCTAATTTCCTTTCCTTTCCCAAGCCCTACTCCTGACTTTTGGCAGCTGCTTTCGGGCCCCACAGGAGAATACAGCAGGATGGGCACTCCTATTCAGCCCTAGCGTTTCACAACCTGGATTTCCTAAATAGTTTTTGTTTATCAAATCGCAGTATTTCTCAAGTCTGCTTTCGGGTCACAATGTTTCATGGCCGCAATTCCCCATATCGTAGCTGACAGAGACCAATGACACTTGACTGGTCATCTGGCTTATGTGCCTGGTGGTGAAGTCAATGAGGTGAACCTGCCATCTTTGGAATTATGACTAAACACGTCTAAGCCAGAAACCGTCCCCCATCCCCCCAATAAATGAAACGGGTAGGGCAAATACGGAGGCATCTGTTTCTTCCTCTTCATAACATCCAGTAGCTCTGAGGAATGTGGAAGCGGCTACAATTATTTTGACAAATGCCTTTATCTCTCCATTTTGTTGTACGATGCAGTGCAAGGGAAACTCTGGTGCACTCATGCGCAGCAATAATTTATTAGTGGTTTAGGGATGTCGGCCCAGAACAAATTCTAGACAAAAGAAAAACATGTTTGGGTTTTTACAGACTGCTTTGGCAAAAGGACCAAAGCTGCAATTGGGAGTGCCAACATTTGGTATTTCGTTTATCCCAGTCGGGGTGACAGCTGACAAATGACCTCGGTTTGGTTTTAATTACCGCTGGAGATGGGGGGGGGGGAGCCTTTGAATTCATCTGCAACCAATTTCACAATACAAAGCAATAAACAAGCAAAGTATTTGTGGCATTTCACTGATTTTTATTTTTTTTAACGCCAGTAAACGAAGGGTGCAGTTTTAACACCATGAAACAATGGCCTGTTTGGGGGTTGTGATGAGTTCCTAGGACTGAAATCAAGACCCAATATTTGGTATTTTGCACCTGATTCTCTAATGTGCTCTGGGGGCTGCAGCTCTTTCTGAAACCATGCTGCCCTTCATTTCAATTAAATTTATCTCTCTTTAAAAAAAAAGTATTCAGAAGTTATTAACGGAATCTGCTCTCCTTTCAGCCATGTGAGAAGGATGACTGGTGAAAGGGAGTGGGTAGCTGAATTTTGCTGACACATGATGGTAGTGGTATTATGGGTTGCATTTCAGCATAGAAAAGCCTATGGCAGGAATTCCCACATATGATCGATTTGCAGAATGTGCAGCAGGGATGGAGAATCTGTGGCCCTCCAGATGTGGCTAGACTCCCAAGTCCCATCATCCCTGCCACTTGGCCATGCTGGCTGAGGGTGACCAGAGTCCAGCCACGCTATCCACAAAGCATACTGTACAAAGTCAGAATTATCCACAGAATGGCAATGCTAATCATGGAAAAAGTCATTACTTCTAGAAAGCCATTGTCTGCACAGACATGCACCTTCCCCAACCCAAATGTGCAGATGTTTTGAACTACAACTCCCATCATACCTCCTGCCAGCTAGAGGGCATGAGGTTGCCATGGTTTAGCAGTGTCAATCGCCACATTTAAATTACATCCTCACATACTGAAAGACACAATGCAAGCAAAGCACAAATATGTTGTTGTTGTTGTTTATCTGGCTGAGTTTCCCCAGCCATTGAGGGCAGCTCCCAGTCGAGTGTTAAAAACAATACAGCATTAAATATTAAAAACTTCCCTAAACAGGGCTGCCTTCAGATGTCTTTTAAAAATAGGATAGCTGCTTATTTCCTTGACATCTGTTGGGAGGGCATTCCACAGGGTAAGTGCCACTACTGAGAAGGCCCTCTGTCTGGTTCTCTGTAACCTCACTTCTCACAGTGAGGGAACCGCCAGAAGGTCCTCGGCACTGGATCTGTGTTTGGGCTGAACAATGAGGGTGGAGACGCTCCTTCAGGTATACAGGACCAAGGCCGTTTAGGGCTTTAAAGGTCACCACCAACACTTTGAATTGTGCTGTGTAATATATGTGTAATATCACTTTCATGAAGACATCCTGAGAAAGGCAAAGCCCAGAAATCTAAAGATGATGCCTTTTTTCTTTCTTTTTTTACAGACCCTCAGAGGTCAATGAAAGCTCAGTAAATGCAAGAAATCATTTGCAAATTTCATTGACCCATTTACTACAGGATTTGTTTCGGTGTTTTTGTCTTGGACTTGGGAATGTCCTTATGATTGGCATCTATCCACAGTCTGTTTCACAACTGCAAAGTCTGCTATGAGATCATAGAATTGTAGAGTTGGAAGGGACCCCAAGGCTTATCTGACACCTTGCAAGGCAGGAATCTCAGCTAAAGCATCCATGACAGATGGCCATCCAACCTCTGCTTAAAAACCTCCAAGGAAGGAGAGTCCACCACCTCCTGAGGGAGACCGTTCCACTGTCAAACAGCTCTTACTGTCAGAAGGTTTTACCTGATGTTTAGTCAGAATCTCCTTTCTTGGAGCTTGAAGCCATTGGTTCAAGTCCAACCTTCCAGAGCAGGAGAAAACAAGCTTGCTCTTTCCTCCATGTGAGGTAAGAGCAGGCTTACTCAACCTTTGCCCTCCAGATGTTTTGAGACTACAATTCCCATCATCCCTGACCGCTGGGTCCTGCTAGCTAGGGATCATGGGAGTTGTAGGCCAAAAACATCTGGAGGGTCGAGGTGGAGGAAGCCTGGGTCAGAGACTTGGGTATTGAAGTGACAGCCTCCAGAACTTGTAAGCTCTCAAACACAATGTTTAAAAATCATGTTACAGAGCCTACAATTTTTGAATCACATTAGTGATATATATATTGAGAGAGAAAACCCAATGCATGCAACAAGTGAATAGTACGAGAACCCATACAAGTAACACTGACACACACTAAGTAGAATAGTAGAAGCATAACCACCCGACCCTCCGCCACTCCCCCTCTCCCTTTTTCCCCTTTTTTCTTCTTCCTAATTGTTTAAACCAATTCATAAACCAAGAACTCATACACTGTCCACTAATAATGAAACATATGTTGTAGATATTTTTCCACATTTATTTTGCTATTTTTGTGATATACAAATGACATTGGGGAGGGACAAAGCATAAGACTGAGGAAAGGCCAAGTAATACTTTTTCATTGCTCTTATGTAAAAACATAAATAAATACTGGCAATCTCCCAAACATTTCCATCTTTTCACTTTGCAAAGTTCCCAAGCACATCCTACAGGATGAGCATTTATCTCCTGAGAATCTCACTAAGCCACAGGGTTGTCCTCAAGCACTAGACTGAATATTGGCATGTAGGCCAGCAAAATGTCCCCAAATTCAAATTAATTTAAGCTTTTGCTCCAAAATAGGTCAAGAATAAATTACTGTTCCTGGACCTAGGTCAAGTAGGTCACTAGGCCAAGTTCCTATAAATTTCAAAACAAGGACACAGGGAAGAAACTTAGCTAAGCCACTTCAATTTTTACATGGGTTTTATTTAAAGTACTGTAGTGTTTAGGTTGTGCAACAACATTTCTTTATGCAAATCTCCATTCTTCTGTATAGGAACATCTTTTACGAAGAAAGCAAGCTATTGATAAGATTATGAACTGAGCAGCAACATTATGAACATGTCTGGGATAAAACACAAAAACAAGGTTTAGGTTACATTCATCATCTGAAGAGAGAATGTTATAGCTATTCTTACTCCTTTTAGAGGTGTAGCTTACCAGTTCAAACAGCCCAGTGACACATCTGGCTGCACAGAAAAATGGTAGGAAAATTCTTTTTCCAGTCTAGTGAATTTTTCTACAAGGCTGGTTAAGGGGGTGAAAGGAATTCCATTAGGTATCAACAATTCTAATTATCATTTTCACTTGTCCATACATTTTCCTAACTAACTCTAGATCTTTTGCAACACACGTCTTATTAACAATATCTGCCTTCTCTATTTCTATTTCTCTTTCTCTCTCTCGCTCTTGTATTTTTCCTTACTTTCGAAATTGAAATGAATATTCGGGCCATGTATCACATTCTGTATTTTGTGTTCATTGATTCGTGCTTGTGTCATGTTGTGATGTGTAATTAATATCCAGAGAGTGGGTTGGCCTATAATAAAAAAAGCAGGACTTACTGCAAAAGCAAATCGAAATGAGCAGAGGCAGGTTCAGGTGAAAACATGCCATCTTTTGAATCTAACATTGATTTCAAGCCAAGATTCTCTTGCACATTAGATATTAAAATAGCAAGGGATGTGTGTACAATATGATAGGTTGGGAAATATATTGAGTAATTTTTTGACATTTATATTAAAATTAATTACCTGGGCTTTATCAAGTGAAGTGTATCTTTGTTGCAGGAGAAATAATGCTATTAAGTAAAGGTAGGCATCATCATATTTATTGTATCGATCGATCAGCAGCTTCTGACACTGCCTTTTTGAGGTTGAGCCAATGAGTTTCAAAATCAAAGCAGGCAGTATATTTGCTCATAGGAAGGAGCCCAGAGCAGGTTGAATGGAGGCTGTATTTTTTAGGGTTATATGGCAAGTATTTATTTTCTAATTAAGAACTTGTCAGGCCAAGATTTCCAGCATAGTCTGGGAAGACCTAGATGCAGCTACTCTTGGGTGAATTTCTGTGCTATGATTATTCGTGGAACACCTATGTTATCAACAACATGCCTGAGATCACATGCTGAAGCTGCAATCCTAAAAGCACACTCACTTGGAATTGTTCCCAACGAACTCGGTATCCTCTGAGTAAACCTGAACATGTGTAAGATGGTGCTACGTGTCATTTTGGACTTAATTTGCAAAATGGAAGATCCTGTGTCCTCTCCTTTCATGAAATCCTTCCTCCTTATCAGGAATATTTATATCTGAAAGTTGTGCCATGATGAGAGAAAGGTTTGAGTGTATCAGAAGAATTTACCATCAGCTTGTTGCCTTCGTAAAGTGAATTGGGTTGTGTGTTTTTGTGTAAACCTGGTGAAGAACAAGGGAGAGGTTGAGTTATATACTAGTTTTAGTTTGTGGGGCGTCGTATCCAGTGGAATGGGTGTTCACCATGTCGCGAGACACTAGACAGGAACAAAGACTTGTGGGAAATAGGCGAAACCCTCAATTTTTCCTCCTATCTAGACACAAACAGTACATTCCTCCTAACTCTCCTGACTCACCTAAGTTTTTTACTAGTTTCTGAACCCTCCTTTTTTTCTTTAGATTTCCCTGATTGTCGTTTTAGTTTTACAGTTCTTTGCGTGTTGTGTCCCCCCCCACAAACCCTTTCATTTGCTCTCTACGTTTGGCCGTTCTGCTTATTTGCCACCTTTCTTTTATTCCTTAGTTGTTTACTTGCATTGATAAATTCTCCAGAACCGGTGCCCTTGCTGCGGCACCAATGGCCGTCCCCGCCTTCAGGAGCGCTCTTTTTCTTTCCCTCAGCAGCTGCCCCCATTTTTCTGGAGTCACAACTGTCTTTCTTTATTACGTTTTGGTGTGTGTGCTACTTGTGTGACTGCTGGTGTGGCATTTGCATTCTCTTGCTCTGATTTAAAAACCACTTGGCCACCTAATCCCGGGTCGCTGTTTTAACACGGGCAACGGAGTGAGCGTTCCTATTACATTTGCCTTTGAAATTGAGTCCTGACTGAGTGCCTCCCGGTTCGCTTTGGCGCTGACGGAGTGCCTGCCCTCATCCTTATCCTCCTGGTCGGCAGCTGTGATGGGGAGTGTGTGTCTAGCTTCCGTTTCCCCCAACTCCTGGTCCACGGTGTGGCAATTGGAGTTGAGTGGTTTGGAGTGAGGCTTTTGCCCCCTTATTCTCCTGGTCCACTGAGTGGCAAACGGAGACTTTTGGGGCTGAATTTCTATAATCCTCCTCCCGGTCCACGGTGTGGCAAAAGGAGTTGAGTGTTTATTTGGTGAAAATCAGAGGCTGTGTGTTTATGTGTGTGCCTCTTTGCCGTTTTAATGGCCGCCATGGAGGAAAACTGACTCTTTATTTGTATCCTTTCACCCGTCTACCTTAGGGGTTAAAGTTTCCAAAGCAACCTTAGGTAGGTGGATTAAGGCCTATATTTTCATGGCTTTACGAGTCCCTTAAATTACCCCGTCCATCTCACGTTCTAGCGCATGTTGGACATTTGTAGGGCAGCCACCTGGTCGTCATCTTCCACCTTTACCAGACATTACAAATTGGACCAGCTGTCGAGGCAGCCTTTGGCTGTACAGTGCTCCAGCAGGCATTATACTCAGCGTATTGCAGAGATGGGACCCGCCCAAACTGGTGACTCCACTATGGAATGTCCCATTCCATTGGATACGACACCCCACTCCCAAAACTACACTTTTTGTAAGGCCAGTTGTTCTTTTTCATTGACACACACGCACATAAATCTAAAGCAGCATTGCTTGTTTTGAAGAGAGACTATATCAGGGAGCAGAATCTAACCCTTGTAGTTCTCATTTTCAAGTGATATGTTTTAATCCAACATTTCTTTCTCGATACATTAACTAATTGAGTAACTTGTGTGTATTCTTTTGACTGAGAAAAACAAAGGTAGTAACAAAATAAGCGGTGCGCCAGAATTTTTTTTATTCTATTTTTATTTGCATTTTCAAAAACGGGAACAGAGCATATTTAACCCCCATATCCTTCCCTCCCCCTGTCCCACTTACAACTTTGTACCAAATACAGCATGTATACATATACCATATACATATACATGACTTCCCTTCCACACTTTCCCTGATTCCTTTGCTTTTCTACTACTCCGCATAATCCACATCTTTTTAATCATCCAGTTTGTTATCTATTAAATACTCCATCTATTTCAACTCTGGTGGATTTACTCGAGACCCGCTAAGCTATGTATTTGTCTATACTGGTTCTTAAAATATTCAATAAATATTATCCCTTCCTCCTTATATTCCTTATCTTTGTTTTCTCTTACCCTGTTCATCAGACTTAGCCACTTCAGCATATTCAAGCATTTTACACTGCCATCTTTCCTTGGTGGGAACTAGACTTGTTCTCCACCTTGGTGCCAATAAGGTTCTAGCTGCTCGTTGCAAAATTGTCATTTTCTGCCAGTGACAATGCAGATCCACAGTGAACTATTTTGAGTTTTGTAACGTAATGGGTTGGGTATTAAACAGTGAGCACCTCTTGCTTTTGAACATGTATGCTACCACCCATAAAGGGGTGTCATGTATATTTTATTGCACTTGATTTATGTTTTATAATGTTATTTTTAGCTGCTTTGTTGCACTTCCCCCCTCTCCATTTATCTAAACCATAGTTTTTAATTCTGCTAACTGATATGAGGCATGATCCTGCCAATGTGTTGTTGTGCGCACATCTCCCTGTGTGGGAGCGAGGTCAGTTTCTGGGTTCGCCAGCCAGCCAGGATGTGTTTGTGGGACAGAATTCCATATGTAGAAGCATTGTGGAAGAGGGAGATTTGGTTGAGCAAACAAGTAGAGCCTAAGATTTTAAGGAGGCCAGTACAAACCTGCAGGTTCTTATCAAACCAAGCATATGTAAGGTTTGATACATATATGTGGATTCTTCCCTGTGAACCACTCTGAGACCTCCAGGTACAGGGCAGTATATTTTGTTGTTGTTTAGTCGTTTAGTCGTGTCCGACTCTTCGTGACCCCATGGACCAGAGCACGCCAGGCACTCCTGTCTTCCACTACCTCCCGCAGTTTGGTCAAACTCATGCTGGTAGCTTCGAGAACACTGTCCAACCATCTTGTCCTCTGTCGTCCCCTTCTCCTTGTGCCCTCCATCTTTCCCAACATCAGGGTCTTTCCCAGGAAGTCTTCTCTTCTCATGAGGTGGCCAAAGTATTGGAGCCTCAGATTCAGGATCTGCCCTTCCAGTGAGCACTCAGGGCTGATTTCCTTCAGAATAGATAGGTTTGATCTTCTTGCAGTCCATGGGACTCTCAAGCGCCCCATAGACTGCAAGAAGTCTCCTCCAGCACCAGGGTGGTATATAAATTCAATAATTAATTCTCCCCCTTTTTATTTCATTTTCTTTTAAAGGATTTTGACCCTTTCTTGCCTACTTGAGTCCCTTCGCAAACTGTCATCCTTAATATATGACTTCCTTCCTTCCTTCCTTCAGGTTGCACCCATCATTAAAGAGAGAATGATGAAGAAAGGCAGCATGATGTTGGGCTACCAGCCGCATCGTGGCAAAGTCAACTTCTTCCGCCAGGTCATTATCAGCCCCCAGGTGAGCCGAGAGGACATGGACTTCCTGCTCGACGAGATTGACTCACTAGGCAAGGACTTGTAGTTGATGCTTCACAGCGCTAGGCTTTCCTTAGTTGTGCAGTTTACAGCATTGTCGCCCAACCTGTGGCCTTCCAAAATGTTGCTGGACTACAACTCCCATAATCTACGACCATTGGCCATGCTGACCGGGGCTGGTCAGAGATGGGGTCCGACAATATCTGGAAGGCCAAAGGTTAGCCACCCCCCTATCCAGTTTTCTGGGAGTAAGCCGCCTCGAACTCTAGGGGACTGACCTTTGAGTAGACATGTCTAGGGTTGTACTGTAAGAATGTTTGCGACATGATGGTATTAGACCATGTAATCCATAGATCAATGCCCAGCCGGCTGAAGCCACTGCCAGGAACGCCTAGAGAAGTGGTTGTCAATTCTTTGTAGCCTTGCTTGTAATAAAGAGCCGATGCTTTTCAAAACTAGACATTTTGTGTCTAACGTTGATATGTCATTGGCTGATAACTGAATGCTAATAATGGGCCCCGTTAACTGCTAACATATATTGTTATAAATTAGTTAAAGTGAATGGAGTTAAGCCATCGCTGTAGTAGGGCCAGATCAGTGGGTATTAAATAAAAAAGTACCTTTATATGCATTGTGAAGATTAGATGTTCAGGATTGGTGGGCTCCACTTATGCAAGAGTTTTTTTTTTCTTACTAACTAGGAAATTAAGTGTTGTGCACTAATTACCATCCACCATTTTTTCCTGGAAACATCCAAAATGCTACATACAAAATACTGGGTTGGGGCAAGACTAAGCTAATTCTACTTAGGTACCATTAAAATGGAGGGGAAAGTGGGTGATGATTTCAATGGGATCTAAGTTCATCAAGTGCGATTTAGTCTGAAGCCATCCTATTGTAATTTACACATCCATCATCCTTTTCTCTTTTTATCTTGGGTCAGAGGGATTGTACACAGTTTCTAAGACAGTTTGTATTAAATTTCTATTGCTAAAACATCAGCAAGGTATTTCTTAAGCATTTTAGAGGCCTATTGAAGTTAAATAAATTCCACATGTGTATGTGTGTGTATATATCTCCTAGAGTTGTATTTTTTTATGCAGTGTGGCTATTTAAGGTAAGGATTACTGTATTGATTCATCCACTGGTGTGTTTCTAAAGATGTAAAAACTATCAAATTTCACTTGAGCAGAGTATAAATGGAGGGATTACACTAAAAAAATAATATAGGTGTGTAATAAGTTGAAATTTGTCCATAATATTTAGAGACATAGTTTTACAGTAAAATACTTTTTGTGAAGCTGAAAAGACCCATACTAGGTTTAATCCATTCTATTTAATTTGTTTATTACAGTGTGTTTTAACCAATTGCTTTGTAATTCATGGTCTTGTTCTTCCATTATTGCTGTATGTAGAAGTTTTGCTATATTTGCAGGCATGGTGTAATGATTAATTTATTAGAGATCTGTATTTTACCTGCTTCTGTGAGATCTATGTGATGATATGTATAGTGCATAACAAATTGCCTAGAAGTGCTTTTTGTAGCAGCACATTTAAGTCTAATGTGCAAAATATGTGTGTTCTTAGTTGAATGTTTGAATAAAAAGGCATTGATAACTCTTAAAAACCAATCCAGACTATTTCTTCTTTTTAAAAAAATAAAAATGGAGCTTGAATACTTGTTAAAGAGGGACCTCACATATCTCTCATCTTCCCAGAACTAGTTTTAGGCCTGAGTAGGCCCTGTGGGAAGTTTCCTTCTGATGGACCCCTTCTTACCATTTAATTATTAAATCAATTTATATATACTGCCCTGGGGTGCTGGTGGTGAGCCTGCTGTTCTCACTTACCTACTCAGAAGCTATTGTGTTGTCTTGTTTTGTAGTCCCCACTCAGACAGGAAGCTCACTGAGTTGTTGTGATGCTAAAACGGGGACCATGTTTTCCACCTTGAGCTCCTCTCAGGAAAGGTGGGATGGAAATATATCAACAAATTCTGCTCAGTCCCTTTGTCAGCTGGCTTTCCGTCATTCACTGCAGGGGAGAGAGTGCGTTCTTCACCCCTCGGTTGTACCTCCATTTAAATGTCTGGAACAGTCCTTAGGGACAAGCATGGATGCTCTAAACCCACAGTTCAGATCTTGCGTGCTTCCAAGGAATTGCTATGCCTGCTTTTGCTGCCCTTTCTGTTGCCAGAATAACCCACCAACATGTAGCCAAATGATGTGTAGGTAAAAAGGTAAAGGACCACTGGACGATTAAGTTCAGTCAAAGGCGACTATGGGGTTGCAGCACTCATCTCACTTTCAGGCCGAGGCAGTCGGCGTTTGTCCACAGACAACTTTCCAGGTCATGTAGCAAGCAGGACTAAACCGCTTCTGGCGCAACGGGACACCGTGACGGAAACCAGAGCACACGGAAACGCTGTTTACATTCCCGCCACAGTGGTACCTACTCATCTACTTGCACTGGTGTGCTTTCAAATTGCTAGGTTGGCAGGAGCTGGGACTGAGCAACGGGAGCTCACCCCGTCGCAGGGATTCGAACCGCCAACCTTCTGAGCAGCAAGCCCAAGAGGCTCAGTGGTTTAGACCACAGCGCCACCCGTAGAGGATTCTGTCACGAGCAGGAGTTAAAAAAATTAGAATGACTGAGAAACCAATCTGCTTTGGTCTCTCATTGGCAGTTAGGATAATAAGTTTATGCTACATTCAATTTTTATTTCTGAATTAGCACACACTGTGTCGTTGCAACTGCTCCAGCTGGCCAAATTCTTTTCCCTTCTTACTTATCGCTGTGGATCTGAAATAATCTCATTCCTTAATTTTGTCAGCAAATCCAGGCAGGTTTTCAAGTGCCTGGAAAGTATCCACTCTATTTATTTACACCTGCAGGTTGGCCACTATCCTGTGCAAAAATGTTATTACTACATGCTGAAACATTGTAATTGTACAAATAATGTAATTGCACACAAATTCACTATGTCATGATTAAACATGCTAATTGCAGGTTGGATGAACTTGAAGCTGTTCTGGTTGGCAAATGCATTGTGTAACGTGGGGAAAATATTTTTTTAAAAAAAAAAATTAAATTAAACCAAGACGTACAAAATTAGATCCTTTTGCTTCAAATGTTAAATTACCCACTGCACTAATTTTGTTACTTGAAAATAATTAAGCAGGAATACTATTAAGATGAAATGGAAAAATACAGCAATTTTGTTCAGCAGCAAGAAAATTAAAACCAGACTCGGCAACTGATTTCCGTGGAGGAAGTCACTTAAAATCTGTGGCCTTGTTGGACTCCCAACTCCCATCAAATTCAGCCAACGTGGCCACAGGCTAGGGAAGATGGGAAGGCGAGTCCAACAACATCTAGGAAGCCACAGGCTCCCCAGCATTGCTGCAGAGCAGAGTGGATGAATCATCTCTCTTAACATTGCATATCCACACCGAGGGCTGGCAACTTAAATAAAATGTGGGGGGCAGGGCAGGTAAGCCCCACCCTGCATAACCGACCACATGACACGGGGCACGCCCACCATTTGAATAGCAATGCCCATCAACTTTGGGGCCCGGCCCCCTCAAATATTTTACGGGGGGGGGGCAAAGACCCCTCAGCCCCTAGTAGTTGGCCTAGTAGTTCACACCTCTAAAGTCTCAGCGTAGCATCTTGTGTGGAAGAAAAAGTTAAGGGGATTCCGAATTTAATAAACAATGGCAGCGCTCATTATAATAAGGAAATGTTAGTACAGTGGTACCTCTGGTTACAGACGCTTCAGGTTACAGACGCTTCAGGTTACAGACTCCGCTAACCCAGAAGTAGTACGTCGGGTTAAGATCTTTGCTTCAGGATGAGAACAGAAATCATGCGGTGGCAGCAGGAGGCCCCATTAGCTAAAGTGGCACCTCAGGTTAAGAACAGTTTCTGGTTAAGAACGGACCTCCAGAACGAATTAAGTTCTTAACCTGAGGTACCACTGTAGCTGTTTTTTTATCCCATTTCTGTAATAGCCAGCACCTCAGAAACATAGTTGCGTCCTCCGTTAGTTTGCTTTTATCACTTAACATAAGAGATTTGGCTGATTAATGTAGCTGAGTGCAGGTAAAGATATGATCATGCAATGATAATTCAGAAGTAATACGGTGTCCATTAGAAGGCAATTACAATTGATGCTCCCCGCCCCTCTGCCCAGTCTCAATCAAAGCTTTCGTTGCTTAATCTCACTGAACCATTTTGCAGTAAATACAAGAGCAGGTGTAAGGGGCTATGGCACCCAATTTTCCTGATTTTCTCAGCAACAACACTGCTCAGGCTGAGAGAGGAAGACTATACCCAGTTCCCTGGAGCTCTTTTTCCTGCGCTGTGCCAATATCTGCCCCCTCCCCTCAGTTCTCAAAAAGCTTTTATCACCCGTGAGCGAGACTTCATTTCTTCCCCCTGCTTCTTGCAAGTGCTTTGGGATTTCTTTAAACCTTTGGTGAGTGGAGAACCTGCACAGGGTCACAGGGGCAATATTGATTTGCTAAGTTTATGCAAGACCAAATTAACAGTGGGTGACAGGACAACGGGAAAGACATTTAATAAGTTGTATCCTCTGTGTTTTGTTCTCGCTGTAAATGAGCGATACGGAGGAGGAATTAAGAGACGGAAAAACTCAGCAAATGGAAAGTTAATAGCCTCTAGCTTCCATTCAACAAAGCACTTGTAGAAGGGACAGATCAGCAGGGATGACCCAAGACATTTTGGCACCTGAGGCCAACCACTAAATGGCATTGCCAGGCAAGAAGGGGTAAGTGACTATCTTAATAATGATGATGATGATGATGATGATTTATTATTTATACCCTGCCCATCTGGCTGGGTCCCCCCAGCCACTCTGGGCGGCTTCCAACAAAACACTAAAATACAATAACCTATTAAACATTAAAAGCTTTGCTAAACAGGGCTGCCTTTAGATGTCTTCTAAAAGTTTGGTAGTTATTTTTCTCTTTGACATCTGGTGGGAGGGCATTCCACAGGGCGGGTGCCACTACCGAGAAGGCCCTCTGCCTGGTTCCCTGTAGCTTGGCTTCTTGCAGTGAGGGAACTGCCAGAAGGTCCTCGGCGCTGGACCTCAGTATCCAGGCAGAACGATGCAGTTGGAGACGCATCAGGAACAAAGGTGGGAGAAGACCAGCAGCACCTATTTCACAAAGAGGCCAATGTAGAGGAGGAATACTGAATCTGCTGCCCCTGTGGATCCTGCCGCCTGAGGCAGTCAGCTTGCCTTGCCTCATGGGTGGGCAGGCCCTACAAATCAGCATAAGCTAGTTCTCTAGAGGCGATGCTTCCATAAGTGGAATAACCTCGCTCTGCTCACCTGACGTTCTAAGCAAGAGGTGTCAAGCGCTCCTTCGGTAACTAAGAGTTGCATTTGGTGCCTATAGCGGCATCTAGACCAAAGTCTAGAGTTAAGGTAAAGTTAACGTGCACCTATGGGAAATGAACATAGCTTAGAATGCTTAATTCTGCTGCCAATTCAAAAACAACAAAAAGATAAATAAACACTGTCAATTTAAATGGAAGTACATGCAGCTTAAAGAGTGCATGCAATTTCTTCTCCATTACTTCCGGCTGTCAATTAACATAGTCATTGAAACAGAAGTCATACGAGAAACATGGGGCGGGAGATGGAATTACTAATGTATGCAGATTTGTTCAGCATTGCCTTTAATGCGCTCCCGCAAAATAATTACTAGTGAAGTTTGCGGCTCTGCAGGCCACGCTATGATTGCTGCAGGAGCTGCTGTGATTATAAAATCCATTCCCATAATTAACACAATAATTAGTTTACTGAGAATCATGTTTAGAAAAGAAATGGAACCCGCTCTATTTATTTATTATTTTATTAAAACACATAACTCTGTCTCATCAGAGCCAGCTTTCAAAAGGAACCAATACACCAATAGGAAACTAGTCATCAGAAAGCTGCCAAACTAACCCCTAAATCATAAAAAAGCAATAAAAGAAACCACGAACAGCTACCAGCAAACAGCAATTCTTCAAAAGCTGCCCAACATAAAAGTGGAGGAGTGGAAAGCAGGGAGGTAAACACTAGGTGGCGCCAGAGCTAACAAATGCTAGTTTGCTGAGGGGCGGGTTTTTAAGTAGAAAAGGGGCAGATTGGGACTAGCTGAGGGCAAACTGAGGTTGGCAGAGCAGTGCCCTATTTGGCAAATACACCAGCCTTGCCCCTTGCAATTTCATTGTACACAGGTTGTACATTGAAAAAAGGTATTATTATTATTATTATTATTATTAATATTGCCCCGGAAAATTGAACAGAAGTAGGCTTCTCGTCACTAAAGATCATGCCACCTTCACTGGTTGCTAAGCAACACCTCCCTTCCTCCTCCTCCTCCTCTTGGCTAGCTGCCTGACCGATAACAGAGTTGACCCTTAAGTTACAAACTGAATGATTCTTGCTGTTGAACTTCCAATATAAAGTATGTTTTGCACACACAAATCTCAGGTGCAGTGCATTTCCAGTCAAAAGGATCAGACAGTATGAAAGATCTCTATCCAAGATATCTGGAGAGCCACTGCCAGTCTTGAGTATAACTAGATGGGCAAACAGTTTGACCTGTTG